TAAAGCATGAGTGCTCATTATTCAATTGATTAATGTGAATACATTTCAATGTGTACTTACCAAACAACTGTGTTATGGTTGTAGCCAGAAATAATTACCCGCAAATATTAGTTATATAGGCGTTCGACATTAATGAGTATGTGAAATCAACGACCCTCACGAGTTGACACTTCAGCCCGTTGTAGAATACATCTCTTCTGATAACCAGCCAGATTAGAAATTATGTGCTACGATACCTTTGCCTACAGTCAAATATATGTATATGTATTCACTCAATTATCCTCAACGTTTCCTTTAATTGCCTAAAAAAATGTCGAGCGAAGAGATTTGGATGTCACAATTATAAAGTTCCACTGTGTCTGTTTCTTTTCATAGTATTTTCGTGTAATCCTAATTGTAAACAAACCTTTAATTAATGAATCATTGTCAAAATCTTCCGTCAATTATAAACTAAAGTCAAATAAATTGTTACTTTAGTGTCAAGGGTTTATCCTATTAGGCCCTGATATACAAGATTTTCATATGCGAGCCTAACTACATATTGGTATGTAAAAACCCAGAGTTAGTGTAACGTTTTCACTAACTAATCAGAATTGACTACATTGCATGAATACATTCGTAAATGTACATCTCTCCCAGTCAGTACATGAAGCCAGATTTTCAACCACTACCTTATATTTGTTTCTTATGAAACTTAAGCACTAAGTATTGAACAGTAGCACAGACCTATCACTATCTCTCATTTATTCATTAGTTTTTCACTGATATGTCTAACTGTCCAAGTATATCAGTTACTCATCATTGGACTGAAAATTTTCTAGTTATGTAACCATCTTAATTTAAGTGATAATTTCTAGTTTAAACTTCTCATATAATCACACAAATGATGAATCTACATAATGAAAACAAATTTTTGATCACTCATGTAGACCTCTGTTATTTCAATTGGGTTTTTTTTTCTGAAAAAAATAATGGAACTTCACATGAATAGTATGAATGAATTTATGGTACAAACAAGAATTATAGTGTGTACTACTTATATCGATATAAGTAGTATATAACACTAGTCAGTAATATATAATATTTAGCAATAGAATTTATCATTGATAATCATTAAAACACTAAGGTGACATTTTTGTTAATCATTTTCAGTCATTAATTTGAAATATAAAAACAAAACAAAGTAAGTTAAATTCCTCTGAAATGTCATTTCAAAATAAGGAAGAAGTTAGCCTCAGTTATTTTATGTCATAATACAAAAATGTAATAAAAATTTACAAGGATTGAAATTGCCTACACAAATATTTTTAAGTCAATATTATGAAAATAAATAATTTATGGTTGTTTTTATTTCCATTCTACCTTCTGAACATCAATCTCTTGAAACAGTAGAATATGGATCAAGCATATTTTGCTGAATTTGATATTTTTAATAAGACCACAAATGGATTAACGTTTAGATCACCATTGAAAACTTGGAAGCACTGGATGATTGTTTCATTCTAGTATGAAACTCCTCAGTAATGCCCATTCACGACTTCGTGTGCGGGATTAGAATCCAGAACCTACGTTCATGATTAGAATAAAAACTCAATAAAATTACAAATAATTGATCACTGGTGGTGATCAATGTCATGTGTATAGTTCTTATTAGTGCAGATCGAACGCTATTAACCAAATTTCAATATGGCCACTAGTCTAGGTGACTCGACATGCGTGCACTATGTTGATATTAGATGGTGGTTGGAGGTAGTCAACCCGTGTCCAAGATTTCCTGCTACTTCACACTGGTCAACAAGATGTGCCTGTAATCTTGAATTTGAATTTATATAACTTTTTCATGACTTTAATTTCTTGTTGAGTGTCAGAGTATTTTAGCAATAAAGGTAACTGTGATAGTTTCACTCTGATATTGATGAAAATATAAATGAATGAACGGGAACATCAAAACATTTAAATACATTAGTTCCTGCTTGAATTAATTTGTTAAATGTTTGATTCATAAATGGTTTTAAGAATACAATAATAAGAAAATCACGCTTCAACATTTAATTCATTGGCCAATTTCAAAATAAAATATTTGAAATTCTTTTTTAGCTTATATCCTCCACAACGGACTACAATAATAATAAGCACCTATGCGTTTAGCAGAAACCGAACTAAGGAGTTTTGAGCCCCACAATAGATCGATTAACCATTGAACTGAGTTAGTCGTTTTCCAGTTTTGCCATAAAACATTCTGTTAAAATCCACTTATACCTAAGATACATGGACGACACATTAGTCGTTTGTGACGATAAAAATTAATCAGAGGATATCTTACACTCCTTCAATTCATGCTGCCCTTCCATAGACTTCACGTTTGAAAGTTAGCGAGACCAATCAGTTTCTTTTCTCGATGTGCGTCTGATGAGAAGGAGTAATGGTTCCTTAGAAAGATGTATCTTTAGAAAAACAAACATGGAATGGCTAGCTAACCAACTTCCATAGCTGAGTTCCTTTAAGTAGAAAGAGAAAGCTCATTCATTCTTTATGTCATATCTGTTACTATTACTGCATTTCGCCCTTTACTTATGTTTCATATTCTCATTATTTTATTCATAATTGCTCATGATATCACTTCATTTATGTTTTACACCTCTATGACCTTTAATGACCTATATTTACTGTAACAAAAACATTTTATTCATCTTACTACATTCACGTTAGAATTCGTTACTAACTTATTAAGGCCAATGTTATTATTCGTATTACGTAATCTAGTATTATTATGTTTCTATTGCGTTATCTTGGTTAATCCCTGTTCACATTTCCTCAAGGAACTAGTAGTTTAACAAAACGTTTTCATATATATATGATTGTACAGCTTGATAATAAATTCGTTGAAAAGAGATCCCTTCGCTGAATTTCATCTTTTTTAAGTGTTAAATTTTAATATAATTTCACACATCCTGATTTCCAAATTTTATTATTTAATACCATTGGTAACATTAGTCCGTTTGTTCTATAGTTTCAATCTTGTCAAACTTTGTTCATTTGTCGATATGAAATTTTACGACTTGAATTTCTAAGGTTCTACCATGTCCATATACGAATAACCTATGGTTTCAACTTTATAACTTTAGTAACCTTTCATTCATAATGATGTGAAAATATGAGTAACAATTTTGTTTCGATATATAACTATTAATATTTGAATTCATGAGCCAATTAAAGCTAGACCACCATAGAAAACTTGGAATCACTAGACGGCCGTCCTGACATAGTATGGAACTTTCTGGCAGCGTGCACCAACGACACCAATCGTCTGGCGCACAAACGCTCAAATTATAGACCACTGATCCGTCATCCAACGCTGTTAATGTCTAACTTCAACTAACCCATGAAATTGACCCATCATTCAACATTGTCTTCAGTGAGTTACTATCTCACAACTGACTCGGTTGAATTCCACTGGTCACGGCTTCTCACTAGATCTCTAGGAAATACCTTTTGGATACACACTGCTGAGGAGTCCCATACTAAGACGAGATGACCGTCCGATATTTCCAGGTTTTCCATGTTTGTCTATGTGTTAATTGACTCATGAATTCTACTATTAACTTACTAAAATCCCCACAGAACTTCCTTCTGATAATTTAATTATTATATTTATCCCCTACTAGATATTAAATTTTATTCTAAAAGTTGATTTCAATTAATTCTATTATTTATATCATGAAAAGAGATAAGCTTAATTCTTTATTTTTAATGTGGGAAAATGAACTAATTTCCTTATTATCCTTTTAGGATAGAAAAAAAACCCATCATAAAATCCATGCCAAATAGATCAATAAAATTTAATTGATTTTGTTTAACTTCTATTTTGGGAAATACTTCATTATATAATGATACACAACAATGTATACATGTCGTCATACACTAACATAATACCGATGGTATATGAATGTAGTAATTCATATATACATAAGGGTCCAAAATGGCAATGTGTAATATAAGAATTAGCATCAATGTAAGTAACTGTATTGCTACAACATAACTGTGGGCGGATTTCTTTATTTAACCAATTATTTTGTTTTAACAATCTAAATAATATGCACATATTGATATATTTCAATAGTTTATAGAATATGTATTAAACAACTGAATGGGAATTAAGGTAATATTATATGAGTGTTATTTCAACCAATAAAATTCAAGTGTTTAAGAAATGATCAAATGGTTTATAGAATTGATGTTTTATGTGTATGGGTAAAAAATGGTGTATTGGAAACCAAAGTGTACATACTTGCTTGTATATATATACATACATGTGTGTGTGTTTAGGTGTACGCTAAAGTCTGTACATATTTGACTGGTTACAAAAAAAAGTATCACTTAAGGGTAGGATAGACAGTAGGTACACCGATCATTATAAAACATGATGATTGTTTATATTTAATTAGTAAACTCGGTAAAAATCTGTTGAATAGTACGTATTCTTACTTTTTTTAGAAAGAAATAATTAATTCAACATTTCTGTATGATATAAAATTTTCGAAGAATCCTATTCAACAAGATTTCTTTGAAGAATATCAAAGAACACTGGAAAACAAATAATAATAATAATACCAACCTTATATATATATTAATACAAATATACATATACATACGTGAACTCGTCTATTCTCCAATATTTACATTTATCCATCGATATAATTGATATTCATTTAGTGTATGTACTATTAGTTATTATAATAGCCGAGTGTTTTTACAAAGTACCCCCCCCCCATTTACTTTTTCTTTCCTTAAATATCTCTTCCATCATATGTATATGTATACGTTGGTATTTTATTTAAACTAAACGATAACATCATTTGAGCACATTATATACAAAATAGAATACATCAAGTTTATTTTCGTTTAATTCAATCTATCTAGAAGCAGTATTTATAATCATTAAATTATAATTGATTTGATTCCATTAATTCAATCAACATATTAATACCAAAAAAGAAATTATGTCAGATAAAGCAAGTTCCTGTGATTCATCTGATTTCTCTGATGGTTATCCAACAACAACAACAATTAGTACAGTTGCATTACAAGCTGGTAATGCACGTATTGTACTTGCTGTATTACGTGTAAGTGTTCTATTGTTATTCATATTGATTGTAATTATATTAGTTTTTTTTTAAAAGTTTTTTAATTAATTATTTATTTAAACACATAAATATTGGTGCAAGGATGCACCAAATAAATATGCGCCACATAATTCAGTCGATTTGTATGAAGACTGAGATACTGTCCGAGTGTCCGAACCGAGACATGTGATTTTCTTTTGAAGCCATACTCGAAGCCTTTAATCTAAAGATCGAATCCACAAGGTAGTGGAGCAACGTTAAAAGTTGCAGTCCCATGGTAGCCAGTGACCAGTGATTAGTTCGTACGCCATTTGTTCCCTCACGATACTGGAGCCCATATGCACCATTGGTTTGGAATGTGAGATTTTCAACTCCCCTAGGTGGACTCTTCGTATCCACCATCCCGGTTAAAGTGCCAAACATTCATTTTTCGTGCTTTCAATTTCGCTCCAAAATCCAAGACCTATTATTGTAAATCTGATTGGTTCTTCCATAAATAATAGTTTCACCGAAACAATTATTCATGAACACTGAGAAAGTCGATAAATGTTTAATTAGTTTGGCACTTAAACTATTGAGGGGTTTTTTGATACCTTTTTATCATAGTTACATTTTAATCATAGAAAGCATTTGTTAAGACTTTAGTAATTTAATAGTAGAATTCATGAGTCAATTAAACATAGACAAACATGGAAAACCTGGAAACATCGGACGGCCGTCTCGTCTTAGTATGGGACTCCTCAGCAGTGTGTATCCTAAAGGCATTTCCTAGAGATCTAGTGAGAAGCCGTGACCAGTGGAGTTCAACCGGGGAAGTTGTGAGATAGTAACTCACTGAAGACAATGTTGAATAATGGGTCAATTTCGTGGGTTAGTTGAAGTTAGACATTAACAGCGCTGGATGCCGGATCAGTGGTCTATAATTTGAGCGTATGTGCGCCAGACGATTGGTGTCGTTGGTGCACGCTGCCAGAAAGTTCCATACTATGTTAGGACGGCCGTCTAGTCATTCCAGGTTTTCCATGGTGGTTTAGCTTTAACTGACTGATGAATTCAACCATTAAAATAGTTACATTTATTTAAAATATCTCAGTGCTTAGATAAAGAGAATTTTTAAAAACTCTTTGAAGGTAGTTGTCAAGATGCAATGAATTAAAACTCAATAATCTGTACATGTCAATACTGATAATCTAATGTTTGTTTGGTTTCATTTTTAGTGAAATTTGAAAGTTATGTTATCGTAAATCCCAGTTATGCCTTCGGAACTGCTTGTTTATAGTCACGAACTATGATGGTTTAACGACATGAGGTGTTCATTTAAATCAGTTTTCCCTAATTTATTGAACCGTATCAAGATGAGGTATTTCAGTTTGCCGTTCAAGTGAATTCCGATTTCATTTCAATCACTTGACAACATATGAGATATCCAAAACTTGATCTCAATTATAGAGTAAAACATGATTGCTAATCCTAACATTATGATGATTTTAGTTTAGAACGAAAAATCTTCTTACTCAAACTAGTAGTCCAGGATTAGTTATCTCAAATGATTCAGTATCTACCACTGTAATAATCAAAAATAAGTTTGAAAGCGCACACAGAGAAGAGTACATGTTCACATTTCCGAACAAGTTACAAGGAATCTCAGACTGAGAAATACAATAGCTCTGAATAATTCAACAGCTTTGTACTTAAAAGATACCGGGCATATCATTTACATTCCTTAAAACTCAGATGTGTCTATTAAATACATTGTAAACGAAACATTTTCCAACATACTAATCTAAACAATTTATAATCTACAGGTTACATGATATCATAGTCTGTGTGTAACTCACTGGTTGAAACTGAATGTTGGAGCCCAATGATACTTCTCGAAATACAAAGAGAGGATCTGTTTCTTCAAAATCACAGACAAATCTTCCTGATGTGTAAAAAATAATGGAAATACGTCTCATTCTCACCTAATTGGTTGCAAATACACATATTTTTATTTATTTATTTATTATTATTATTATTAGCCTTATTCAATATTATAATTTTGCTATAATATAGAATTCTCAGCGCAAAGTATTTCAACAATTTTCCCATTCTTATTTCTTGTTGAATCCTGACAATAAATATTGAGTGATTGCCAATTAGATGTTAACAGTTCAGGAATTGACATCTGAATAATGTAATTCTTTTCGACGTATATTGCCAGCAACCATAATGGCTCTGATTGAGTTCTTTTGTAACTTGTACAGCGAAATGTCGTAAACGTTTCACAAAACGCACCTGAATAGGTTATGAGACAAGTAGGCATAATGATGTGTTAGAACAAACAAAAACGACAGATATGTAGATGGCAGGAACAAGTAGGTCAGATATTTAAGCAGGTCATCCAACATTGTTAGCTTTATTTATCGAAGTTCATTTCAAAGTTAGTTATAAATGAACATTTAAAACAACTTTTCAAAAATTTCTAACCGTTACTAGTACTGTAAAGAATATCAGCCTTTCATGGAAACTGTTGTGGATGCGGAAGGATAGACCAATAATTATCATGTTAAGTCCATTGGTGTCCTTGGACTTTAAATGGACATTTCCTATTGGTCGATATCTGTTCACTTGTTGAATATTGTACAAAATGTTGTTTTCTATTTTTATGGTACGATGTGGTATATTTTGTTAGTATATAAATAGAGTATGTCTGAAATACAATGATTCATATCTCAGAGGCTGTGACTTGCGCTCTGGACTCAACTGGCTGGGCTAGACAGGGAAGCAGGGCCAATCGGGACTCTGGGTCGTTCGTACGTGTTTACGTGTCACTGAATCGATCGATATAAACGCTGCTTATCAAAACCTGCAGTCACCCGTTACAACAGAAACTATCTTCAATCCAAATCTGTTTCTACTAACCAGATAATTAAACAATAACTAATATTTGTTTTCTGTTTCATCATTTATCCTAACATTTTAAGCATTTGTGAATACTTTGAAGAATTCAGTCAAAAGACTGTTAATTATGAGTTGATTTTTAATGTTGTCAAGTAATTTATTTACTCATTAAAAATGTATAACCATTTGTATAGACATTATTTCTATTATATTTTTGTGATAATATAGTTGGATGAATCGATAACATCATCACTTTCACGTATATCCAGAACACCATTGCCGAATCAACCACATGAACTTGCAGAAGCTTTAAGGGTTCATCATAATGAACGCAATGAAATTGATCATTTAACATTGAATTTAAAAACAGAAGCTCAACAATTAGGCTCCATGATTGGTGCACAACCTGATGATCATGACTATAATAGTCAAAGTTGGAGATTTATTGAAGTTCCGAATAAATTCACTTCTGGTCTACCATTATCAACTATGGGAAAACGTTTACGTTCAGAAATGTGTTTACAATTAGCTGGTTTAGAAACAAGGTGGAACGCATGGGATAAAGTATGGACATCAAGAAGTATACAACTGGAACGACGTGGTACACATTTTGGACAGTTAACAACTATTGAGGTAAAATTATTTCGATTTAAGTTGTTTATTCGGTGTTTTTATTGGGAAACTTTCGAAAAGTATTCTCATCGTCCTCGTTACTTAACAACTTATGTATAAACTGACATAATTATTTAATCTTAACTTCCGGAAACGCTACATTGGTTAAAGTGGACGCCTACTTCATCTTCGCCTGCATGAGGATCAATTAACCGTCAAACACCGTGATCTATCCTCGATTACATCCATGCCTGTGAACAACTGTGTACACACATTCGACTGGTAAAATGTTGAGATCTTGGGCAGAAGGAATTTTCAGAAGCTCGGCACTCCGATCAATCAGCAGTCAACAAACACATTGAAATCGACCCAGTCTATCAACCAATCAGAATATTCGTGGACAGATATAGGACCAATAATCAAATCAATAGTATTGTTCAGAAGAACGATGAAAGCTCCATGACCAAACCATACGGCTCCAAGAACAAAACGTCATATAAATTATCCAACTGAGCTACAAATCTTCTTCATCATCACACAATAGTTTAAATAATGTTAGAAGCTATTACTTTCGCAAACGTAACCATGTTTCGAATCATTAATAAAATTAACTTATGATTTAATTAATGATAAGAGCAAAGTTCTGTTGTTATTATTCAAGTGTGAAATAGTAAAGATTCGCCAATAAACGATTCGTCAACATTTATAATTGAATGTTTACTGAATGATGATCAATGTCATGTATATCAGGTCCTTGTTAGTGCAGATCGAATACTGCTAACCAAGTTGCATTGTGGCCACAAGTCTAGGTGGCTTGTTTTATTTTGAAAACTTCACTGAATTATACTGATACATACATACTGAAAGCCATTGTCTTTCGTGTCCAATCCATTATTCGTCATTGAAAACTGTTATCTTTAGAAATCTGTATAATTTATTCTTATTTTATTCATTTTATTTGAACACATAAATACTGATAAAAGATGGCACCAACTATATATGCGCCACACAAAACAATGAGAATTCGAAGAGAAAAAGGAACAACAACGAACAGATTAGTGTAAGGTAGTGTAGTGGTAATAAAAATAATAATAATAGTAATGATTGGGGTAACGGAAAGGTACAATCAGAGGAAATCCTTCAGTTAAGGAAGAAACAGCCACTTTTTATGAAGAAAGTAAAAGAAGGTTACAGCAAAATCGTCACTAGCTTCTATTCTGATCCATATCGGATAACATCTCTAGCCATTGTGTTGTACCATCTCTCTAGGACCCCAACCAGGGAGTCGTGAAGGACCGACAGAAGCCAGTCCTTTGCAGCTTTTTTTCATGCCACGATACCATGTCATGCACTGACCACCTCTCCGCTTCTTCCAACTAGTCCCAGAGTCGGCAAATAATGCACGACGTGGAGTTCTCTGGGACGAAATTCGTAAAACATGTCCAAGCAACCGAAGTCGGTGTTTCAAGATGGTGACACCAATTGGATTATCGTCGCTGCGCCCGAACACATGATGCTGAACCTCTGCAGTACTGACATGGCGTTGCCACTGGATGTCAGCAATCCTTCGGAGACAACGATGATCAAACATAGATAGTCGTCTAACATCCTCAACTCGGAGAGGCCAGGTTTCACAAGCATAGAGCAGAACTGCTCTCACTGTCGCGTTGTAGATCCGACCTTTTACAGCCAGACTGACAACACGAAGGCGCCACAAGTGGGTTTCACTATACGTGCATTGATCTCATCACTCACGCCACCACAAGCACTTATGCAGCTACCTAGATACACGGACTTCTCGACTACTTCTATCTGCTCACCATCCAGGGTGAGTACAGGATAAGAATCCTGCCTGTCTTGTAGAAGTACTTTTCATGTCGAAGGTGTAAAGCACATACCATACCTAAGGACGGTAATTGCAAACTGATTAATTATGGATTGCATGGCTTGAGCGTTATCACACAGTAAGAAAATATCATCCGCATACTCAAGGTCGAGAAGTCTTTCTCCAGGCAACAGATCCACACCGCCATTACTTACATCCATCAGAACTGTTTCCAGAACCTCCTCGATGGCAAAGTTGAGGAGTAATGGTGAGATTGAGCAACCCTGTTTAACAAACAATGAAACTTCAACAATCTCCACAACCTCATACTGATAATTAACATATACTCACTAGTGACAATCTTTGAGAGGTAATTTTTGGAGTTCTAGTAAGGAGCCGTGACCAGTGGAGTCCAGTCGGTGTCGAGTGTAAAGCAGTTACCCACTGAAGATCGTCGCGCAATATCGCGAATTAGTTGGAGTTAGATATTAACAACGTTGGATGCCGCCACAGTGGTCTACAGGATAAGAGTTGGCTCACGAGACTGAAGGTCCTGGGTAAGAGTTGATTGTGTGAAATTGTGGATGCGCACTGCTGAAGAGTCGTCGGTCGTACAGTGTTTCCAGGTTTTCACTAGTGGTCTAGCTTAGATCGACTCGTAAATTCAACTGTGAAAATATTTTAAACATATTTTTCATTCATGTATTTGTGCACTTTACTCAGTATATAGTAATACTAGAATCCTCTTCTATACGATAATCTATTTTGTAATTAGTTATATAACAAAACTTAAATGTTTTATGATGTATATATTATATATTTTCAAGGAGATAGAAGCAGAAATTATTTCAGCTGAAAGAAAATTACAACAGATTATGGGAATGGTTTCATTAACTGCACCATTATCACAAGTTCAAATTGCTGATAGAGATCTTAGTCAAATTGAGGCTACGATACCAGTAAGTATATATGATTAGATAATAAATAATATTTTCAGTATAGAGTTGTGGAGATCATTAAGTTTTTGATTGAGATCATGAACCGATTGATGTTACACATGTGCTCAGTAGTGACTAGCTTCATGAGGGAATTCTCGGAGTTCTAGTGAGAAACCGTGACCAGTGGAGCTAATCCATGTCGAGTAGAAACACGTATCTACCTCAGTACAATTGAAGATGGTCGCGAAATTTCGTGGATTGTTTGAGGTTAGACATTAACACGGTTGGATGACAACTCAGTGGTTGAGGTGTTAAGCACTCGCGCGCGAGATCGGAGACTCTGGGTTCGAGTCTCGCGAGCGGGATCGTGGATGCGCACTGGTGAGAAGTCCCACAATTGGATGAAACGGCCCTCCAGTGCTTCCAGGCTTTCAATAGTGATCTAACATCAGTTGGTTGATGACCTCAATCAAAAACAACGTTTTGTTAGTTTTTAATGGTGTATTATTCTTTAAATTAAATGATTGAGTTTTAAAAATTTTATTATGTTTCTATGCTTACTTTAAACAGAAGTGAATCTACTCATTTTAGAGAAAAATTCAACTTTGATATACGATTAATTAATACTAGTATAAGTCATTGAAAAGTAAACAATATTATTCACTTGATGTTGTTTACTTGTATCTTCCTAATGTTATTTAGAACTGCAATTGACCAGTCTCTTGTTGGCAATATGTGCATCCTGTGCGGACTGCCTCGATATTGCCTGAAGTTATAAACTTTATAGGACGAAACGCGCGTCCTGAATTCCACTGCTAGTCACTAACCATCTTTGCTTATAAACAATATCATGTTGTTTTCAGAATAAGGTTAACAGTTTTCAATATATATTAATATATGCTTTACTCACTGTGAATAATATTGCATTTATTAAAGGTTAGCTAAAAATAAGTTATATAAACTCATGTACGACTTGAAGTTTGTAAATCATGGTACAAATCTAGACTACTATTAATCTTTGGCGTGACTGGAGACGTTAGAATGCAGTTAAATAATCTATCAAATAGCTTTGATGGCATTTTTTCTCTGAGCTGGATGGTTTGGTCGTAGAGCTTTCATCGTTCTTCTGAACGACATCATCAGTACAAACTTCATCTAGAAAGCTCCACGATCAAACCATCCAGCTCAGAGAGCAAAACTCCATCAAAATCATCCACCTGAACTACAAATTTTCTCCACTATCAAACAATGCTATACTATAAATAAAATCCCCATTAACTTGATATGAAAAGCTGGATTTAATAATAAATAACTGATATAAGTATCTATATATTTTTTATCACTTTCAGGTTTTACACAGTCGAATACGTTCTAGTGCACCTGATATGAAATTACAGTTAATTCAAGGTGAACCATCACCAACGGAATATACTGGAACAAATATTGATTTGTTAAATGTTTCAAAACGTCATGAACATCTTGAAACACGTTTAACAACATTCACACAAGAAACTGTACGATGTCGTACTGAAATTAATTTAACTCTACGTTTATTGAATGCAGTAGATACAGCACAGAAAGCCTTATCACAGATAACATTTAATTTAGATCGTGTTAAAAATCAACTACCAGAAATTTCTTCAGAAAATCGTTATCAGATTGAAGAGATACGTTTTGATATATCAGAACAAATTAATAGAGGACGAGTACTAGCTGATACACATATACCAGTCTTGGAACAATTATCTATTCAATATCCACGCCGTAAGTTTACTCAATTTTTGTTAATTAAAGTATATCAGCTAGATTATGTATTTATTTAGAGGATAATTCTCAATTCTAACATACATTCTTTAAAGAATAGCTGAATATCCGGATGAATATGGCAACTGTTTCATTCTACTGAAGGAATAACCAAAACAAACACAGAAATGACACACTAGGTAAAGCCAAACAGAAGAAATGAGGTTGAAGATCAATGAAATTACTTTGGGGTGTTTTTTATTGTTAAGATAACTGAATAACAGATTATCAATGTTTTACTATAATGAGAATGTAGTGAACGAGAACACAAATAGGCAAAATCAAATGTATTTCAACACAAAATCACAGAATATCTTAGTAAAATCTGAGGAGCATACTGTAAATTCTTCATTTGCAAAATGTCAATCAATTGTGATTACAATTGATTGACGTTACCACTGAGCTATCCAAGTCACCTAGACTGGTGGCCACATTGCAGCATAGTCGATAGCATTCGATCCGCACTAATAAGGACTTGACATACATGACATTGATCAACACCCAGTGATCAATCAATTGTAATTACATCTCAGTCCTACAGGAGGTCGGTCGCGGCCCGGTTAGCTCACTGGTAACGTCTCTGACTGTGAAATTGGGTGACATGGGGTCGAGTTCTTCAGGGAGCACCAGTTCCCGCAAGATCGCAGATACACCTTGCTGACAATTGCCAAGTAGCACGAAACCTGGTTCCAGGGTTTCTTGTCGACTACCTCCAACCACCATCTAATGTCAATCAATTGTCTTAAACTTAACTGTTCCTTTTGTAAAATATCCGTCAATCGTTTCACACTTCATTGTTCCTTGAATTACATATAAATCAATCTCTGTTCTCATTCTCCTTCCTTCAATCTTCATAACTTTCTGCCATCAGACATATCGTTTTCGATTGATGATACATACTACTAATATCTGTCAACATCAGTAACACACCACAAGATAATTATTCAATAAAATGGTCATAAATGTCAGTCAGTCAGATACAACGTAGGACCAGACACATATGCATATCGATCCAAGTTGCCATGCCTCATCAGCACAACAAGATGAACACCAAATTCGTAGATGTAGTGGCAATATATAAAAGAAAGATTGTATATATGGATATAATACATGGAGAAAGAATTAATTCTTAGAAAGAAAGATATAATTTTAACCTCACGGAAGACAAAGAGTGTATACACGCACGCCTTTGTGATCGATTCTGAGCCATATCACTCAGAGTCTCTAACCACTGGCTACGATAGTAGCTCAGACCTCAGTCAAGTAGTCTGCATCTCCCGACATGGCTCAGACTAGAAGTTAATAACTTCAAGGACTGACGCCATGTTTTGGTTTGGCCACGCCTAACTTTCTTCCTACCATCCCCTACACTAATTAGCGTTGAGCGTCGTGGTAATCAGTGTTCAGACATACGCAACATGTGGCCCAAACATCACAGTAGATGAAGATTCACAACCTCATCAACTGATTTACCATCATGATTCCCTGATACCCTGCGTCTAACCTCACTATCACTTACCCAGTGATCCCAGCAGATGCGAGCAATATTTCAAAGACATCCGTGGTCAAATATTTGTAACTTACGAGTATCTTCTACTCTTAATGGCTACGTTTCGCAGCCCTAAAGTAGAACAGAACGAACCGCCGCGCAGTATACTCGTCCTTTTATTGATAGACGGATATCTCACCTTCTCCAAAGGTGACGTAAGTTGGCAAAAGCCAAACGGGCTTTTCGAATCCGTGCTAAGATTTCGTCCTATACCAGCCCATTAGAGCTGATCAGACTTCCAAGATAAGTGAAGTTGTCAACGCGTTCGACTACTTCACTCCCTATCCTTAGTTCAGGTGTTGACGCAAACCAGTCGTAAATCAACAACTTGCGTTTGGAGGAGGAGAAACACATCCCAAACATTCTGGCATTGTTGCTCAGTGCTTTCAAAAGACTCTGCATTTTATCAGCGTCCTCACCAAACAGGACTATGTCATCCACGTATTCTAAGTCGATATATGGACCTCCTAGAAGGAGATCAACGCCCGAAAATTCAGTCGACGAGAACGTTGTTTCCATCAGCAGGTTCATGATGAAATTAAACAAAATTGGAGAAAGTGGACGGCCTTGACGGACAGCACTTGAGTTTGAAAAGGTAGATGACAGTTCGTCATAAGCTCTGACTCGACTAGCAGTGTACTATACTACTGTAAACTGATAGTTGAAGAATAAATTACTAAGAAACTTTCATACAATACAAAACACTAATGATTAGTTACATTCCAGTTATCATACATCATGTATCATTCAAGCATCCTTTCAACAATAATATTCATGCATTCATCTTGAAATATTCATATATTTCTTTTTACTATGAATTATGAAAGTTGTTCATTTCCTACCGTATTACTTTACTATCCCACATTGATTATCCTAATTTGATTCTTTTCCCTTTGTTCTTCTTTTTGACTTATTCTTTAAGCTATGGAAGCAAAACAATTTATCCAACCTATTGTAAATGAGTTTCAATCATCTATTAATAATTTAAATCAATTATCAGATGAAATTCGTATAAGAACAGAACAATCTATTAATTTACAACGTTTACAACCTACACATGTATATGATGATCAAATGAAAGCCACTACACTTACAATGCCAATAAAAGCTAAACCACCAATAATTATTAAACCATTAGAAAATATAACTATAGAAGAAGGTAAAAAAATTATTATGGAAACAATATTTGATTCTGGTCTTCCACCAGGTAAGCAGTCATTTCAAAACAAACTATTTTTTTAAATAGATGAATTCATAAGTCAATGTAAGCTAGAACACCATGGGAAACCTGGAAGCATTGGATGTTTGTTTCGTCCTAGTATTAAATTACCGAAATCTCAACAAAACCCCGCTGACTAGTAACTGACTTCAAGAAGTTTTTCCTGGAGTTTTAGTGAGAAGCAGTGACTAGTGGAGTTCAGCTGGGTTTGTTGTGAGACAGTAACTCGCTGAATACAATGGAAGATGGTCGTGCAAATTCATGAATTGGTTAGAGTTAGACAACACCGTTTGATGCCGGCCGGCCCAATGGTCTAGACATTCGTTCACATGACCGATAGATCCTCGGTTTGAATCCCGCGTACGGTATCGTGGATGCGTACTGCTGAGGAGTCCCAGAACGAAACGGCCTACCAGTGTCTCCAAGTTTCCCATAATGGTCTAGCTTTAACTGAATTATGAATCCAACGGTCAAATTACTAAAATCTCCACAAAACCCCCTTCAGATAACTATATTTTGTTAAATCTTCATTCAAAGCAAAATAACAATCTCGTATTTCTGATGTTTAGTGAATTAATTTAAGTCACTTCTTTAGAGAAGTAGTTCAATTTATTTGAAACTATCAATTCCAACCTTAGCATTGATACCTTTAAAAGATAACAATCGTTTATTTATTTATGCCATAATTTGTCCTTAACTACTTATAATCTAATAATAGTAAAAATAAGAGTTAAAATTATAACATACTTTGTATTTGAAACATTTGGAATATAGTTGGCTATAATATCATGATTTATATAAATACAATATCAAAACCGTGAATAAAATAAATATTCACACTTTAGAATAACATCATGAATGGATCAATGTTAGACTACTATTGAAAACTAGGAAACACTGAACGGCCTATGGCTGTTTCGTTGTATTATGAGACTCTTCAGTAGTGCGCGTCCATGATCCCGCACACCCGATTCAAACCTATAACCTTCGGTCTTGTGTGCAAACTTTTCACCTGTATACCACTGAGCCAACATTTTCATCGTTGAGTAACATCTACTGGAGAACAATTATTGATCAGAAAGTGTTAGCTAACTGTTTTATTTTAATGTAAGATTATTGCATAGTGAGGATTTTAATGTTTACCTCATCAATGGCCTTCATGTCTACAAGGAATGAAATGAATTCCGTAAAGCTTTAATTAAACATTAATAATCAAAGAATAAAATCTTAAAAATAATTCCTAACTTTGGTAATTAATAAGTCATCAGTATTTTGACAGGAGAAAATTAATAATCACCAATAAGACTAGATAAATAAAGGGTTATAAAATAATCAAGGAAAGATTAAGGAAGAGAGCTGATTCAATCTGTTGAATGTCAATTCGGTATCCCGAGTTATCGTTTCACATAATTAACGGATATAATTTTGTCTTTACTATAAAAAGAATAAAGAACTGAGAAGATAATATGCGTTACATAACACATTCTTTATCTTTCATCAAATGACATAATATTTACAACTTTTGTAGTGCTGTATAAAAGTGTAAAAGGGAGTATACTAAGGTTTATTGAAGCCTTAGTCATATGAAAATTCAAATCCCCTTCTGTGTGTTCAAAAACAGTTTGTTCTTATCTTAAACCTACCCTGGTAATATTGACTTATTATCCAGAGTGATTAGTTTTCAAATTGTATTCACATTATTATTATTATTATTATTATTATTATTATTATTATTATTATTATTATTATTATTATTATTATTATTATTATTACTCTTATCATTATCCTTATCTCCGCTTACCCCATTTCCTGTCTAGTTGACCTTTTATTTTTATATATAAATGCTCTTAACAAGTATATGTGTGACCAGATTGTTCGAAATGTATTGCGCTAATATATCATCATATAGTTCTGATAATCTTCGTCTTCTAATATCATTATCGAAATTTAGGAAAGAGACTAATTGCTTTAAATTTATAGATACTTGTAATACTTCATTTCAGATTTTAATATAAGCCTTACATAAGCATAAAAGATCATAAGCTTGGTAACAAAGCCTTAGATACAGTTGTCATAACTACTCATTTAATGAATGATTAACATTTAAATTTTTAGTAGGATAAAATAGAAATTAAATACATTATTCACATGATTAAATCACTGTTTAAATTCTCCAATTTTTATAGACGCTAACCCGTATGATACCAATCAATTACAAGTAACTTGGTACAAAGATGGAATACCTGTAGTTACTCCAGACTATGAAGTTAATTTAACAGAGAACACAGCAAGTTTGAAAATATCTGAAACTTTAAATGAAGATAATGCTATATTCACATGTTATATTAGTACACCATATGGTAAAGCTGAGACAAAATGTACGTTAACAATAATAGATACAATTAGTCCAGTACCAATCAGTGAAAGTTTAATTCAACCTACTAGGAATGTAAGAGAACAAAAACCTATTCGTGAACTTGGTGATCCGCCTGAATTTATCAAGTAAGATCATTTGTTTTTTTATTTTGTTTAACTGAAAACATGACAGTTAGGGTATTATTTTTCAACTAATAATCAATGATAACATTGGGTTCTTATAAGCTATAATATGTGTTTTAAGTAACCTATGTAATGAATGGGAAGACAGGTGAGGATCTCCTGCTAAGATATGAGAACCGTACATTGAATAAATCACTTGTGAATTCCCATCATTTGTTCTTCACTGTTATAAATTGTCGTTTGAATACTTACCAACTGTTAGTCATGTACAATCATGAACAATCATAACAGGATCTCTTGTTATAACTGTAAACATTTACAACCTACCGTAATGTATATTATTAAAACATTTTTAAAAACAATCAAATCAGTGTGGTGTATGCTACCGATGTCGACAAATAGAATTAGTATGTGCTAATAATCGAAAGTCAAGGTTGCGAAGATCGAAGAGAAGAGAACGAGAACTGAGGCCACTCACCACCATTCTCCATCCAACTCTGTCCCGAGCATTCTTTTCAAGCTGTTTCCAGTTGCTATTCATTGTTTTTCTGTCTGCTTTTAATTCTCATTGTGATGGGTTCCCTGGTCTTCCTCTTTTCCGTTTTTATTCAGACATCCAAGTTATCGCTTGCTTCGTGATACAGTTTGGTAATTTCCTCAATATGTGTCCTAATCATTTCTAACATCTTTTTCTAATCTCCTATTCAATTGGAAATTGGTTTGTTTCCTCCTACAGTAGGATGTTTTCTGATGGTATCTAATTAACGGACAGTGAGAAAGTTCTCTGATACTCTTTTTTAAACAAAATATTTTAACAATTTAATATCTAAACATTCATGAACTCCCATTCTGAAATACGAAGTAGTAGTGTAGTGATCAAGAACACGGGTGGGGACAAACGGACGTATTTAGCACAACAATTACAGTCTATCTCAACAAAATCTGAATACCATATAGTCAATCGTCAATTTGCAAAATATTCATGCATCAAATCAAACTGGACTGTTTTTGTTGCAAACACCAATCCATTGTCTCCCATTCCATTGTTCATGCATTTTCTTACAAATCCCAATGTGTTCTCGCTCTTCCTTTCTTGATCTTCCCTATCTTCTGCTGCCAGACATTACGTTCTTTTAACGCACGTTATATACTACTTACGTCATTAGAAGTAGCTCACACCACCGTTGTAGTAGTAGAAGAAGAAGAATGATAACTCTAACTTAGTATTATCTCAAAAATATGAAATTTTATTTAGTTTTATTGATGTTCTTCACTAACTAATTGTCACTTTCATTAGAGTAAATGTACCTTAATAGATATTCACAAGTATTTAGAATATGCTCATCATATTGTCCATATTGATAGTAGAAATTTTACCGATAAATACTTTGTATATAATCAAATATTAATTATAATATTAATGTTTATTTTAATTATAGACAACTTAAATCTATGTGTATAGATGAAACTAGTGAATTGGTTTTAGATTGTCAAGCAGTTGGTTTACCTGTACCAATTTTATCATGGTATAGAAATGGTCAATTAATTGATCAAAATCCTGATTTTAAAATTACTCAATTAGCTGGATCAGGTATATTGAGGGTAAGAATACACATATTAATTTTTGTTGTTGTTTGCTTTAATATTATAGTTGACTGATTGATGTTAACTTGTATTTCGAAATCAAAATAGATTTATTTTAATGGATAGTCTACCATCCATTCAGTCAGTTATCAATGAACTTGGAGGTTAAACGGTGTTTATCTCTTCTCTGTTGTGCAAACAACCGATAGATACTTGTTCTTAAGATGATGGAGAATATTTGTAGCTTAATATAGTGTGGTTGATGTAATCTCTTAGTCGAATGGAGAGATTTCTCCTTGAAGTGCTTCATGATAATATTGTTTGGAAGAAAAATAAAAACTTCACAACAAAGTGATCCAAATCAAAGATTAAAACAATTTCTAACTGGGTTGATATCGATCATGAAGGCCTGAAATTGTGACTACAGAACCAAAAAAACCCCAACTATCTGAGGTCGTTTGCACGTGACCACTTTGTGATGAGTTTTTAATATTTCCGCTCCATACTCTTCAGAGCGTACGGCCGAAATTTTTCAGGGCAAGGTCTGGTAAGCTTTCTTAGAGCCGATCTTCTCTGGCATCCTTTTCCCATTGAAGGAATGAGCTATACCAAAAAGGTGCTGATTACCTGAAGGAAGTGCTTTACCGCTTCTATATCCTTTGAAAGTAGTAGTAATACAACGAACATTCTGTAACATAACAATAACATGATAATCCCTTATATTTCATTATGAATTGAATACTACAAAGTTTAGATACATTTTCTAAAATACCAACTTGATACGATTGATCCAACGTTAACTAATAGTGTAGTAGATTTTTAATTTAAATAGTCACTTGTTCTAATTTATATATCCTAATTTTTTGTTTGTTTTGATAACAGATTCCACAATGTCGAATAATGAATCATTCTGGATTATATTTATGTCGTGCTACTAATCCTTATGGTGAATGTTCAACCACTTGTCAAGTGGATATAAATCCAGCTAAGCCACCAATAATTATTCAACCATTACAAAATGTTAATCTTAAAGTTGGTGATCGATGTAAATTAACTGTTCAGTATAAGGTGAGAAATATGAATAATTATTAATATTGAGATAAAGATATATTTTGAAAGAATAAATTGTCACTTATAATTTCATATACATAGAACATTGCTAAGTATCTATCTAATTTAGTCTATATTCAAACTGATATTATGCACTGAACTATTAGGAATGAAGAGATTATTGGATATCTGTTTCTTCCTACTATGAAGCTTCTATGACTCAAATAAGGATTGAAACTATGTATTTCAAGTTACCTGACGAACACATTATATTTAGGCTGCTTAGTTAGCTTTTACAGGTCTACATTTCAACAATAATCAATTTACAATACGCTCCAATCACCAAACTGTTTTTAGTGAGTTATTCTTTCATTCTCCACTGTATTTGGGTAATTAATACTTCGCATTAACAACACAGAATTAAAGTATATTACAAAACAATGAACACAATTTGAAATACTTTAGTTCGCTTAAAAGAAAAACTTTCCCTATATGTCAACACAGAACTGTGTCTACAAATTAAGATGTGTCGATTGTGATGACTTCTGTATTAGGTAATCATCTTGCGAAAACCAAAGAACATATTAAGTACATAAAGAAACCACATAATAATACCGGAAAATAGCATTTCATGTCATTTTCAAAAACCACCAAATCAATTTCAAAAACATCAAAACATTACAAAAAGCAAAGATGAATAGTGGCTAGCAGTGGAATCCAGGACAAAGCATGTTTCGTCCTATTTGGGACTCGTCAGCTGGATGTACCTGCATGAGTTGATGTTCACTATGGGACTCGAACTCAGTGCCGTTAGCTTCAAACGTCATTGCGTTATCTTTGCTTATAATGCTTGTAAATTAAGGCAGTATCGAGGCAATACTCACAATATACACATATGCCAATAAGAGATTGATCAATTGCAGTCCTAAACATCAATGGGAAGATTCAAGTAAACAACGATACCAAATGAATTATTACAAAAAGATTTTTTCGATTACAATGAAAGGAGAGTAGCTGAAGCTTTCCATATAATGCTTAATCCTATTGCTCTCAATAGAAAAGAACGCCTCACTACACATCCGACTTGGACTATCTATCCAAAATACCATATCTGATATTATTCATATTTCACACTATTATTATACATACAAATGAAGCTCTATCCTATCTCACCATGGTCACATTTCTTCATCCCTGACCTTATACACCTACACACACACACACACACAAATTTACATACATATCGCTTATAAATCACCTTGACCGAAATGACATGACATTGATTTGTTCAGACCATTTTTTTATTGATCGCACATAATATTCTTGTGTTGTTTCTTTGTGTTAATTAAACCTGGATCAATTTTGATTTGATTATTTATCTACTCTGAAGAAGTGGCTTACATTGAGCCACTCATTGGGATATTACAATCTACCCAATGCTCAATTCATTCGAAACGATCAAGTCAAACTTTGGTAATGATACCTACATTCTCATCAGGACGTTTTGTTAGTTTCACATTCCCGAAACTGACTAATCCAGATACATACTGATTATTTTAAATCCTATAAGTGAAAAACGACTGCACCGTGTTTAGAGTAACTGAATTTGGCAATCAACGCCTAACGAATCAAATAAGTTATTTTTAACAGCTCATATGAAATAAATTGTAAAGAACAAAATGCACTAATCACAAATGTATTAAACAGATTGTGATTTCGAGACTGGAATCCATTAGTCGACTACAATTCAAGTCAGTCAGTGTGAAATTTTAATCCTGACATAGAGGTGGACAGTCCTCTTTAATTCTAATGTACTTAACCTTAATGACTATTTACTAATAAATAGACCAAATGTTTTCATATTCAATAAAGAATTCATTGGTCATATTCGCATCTTTGTAATCTAGGATACGTGACATAATCAATATAAATTATATGTTAATTGTCATTCTTTTAATCGAAATGATATAAAGCGAAAATTACAATACAGTCTGTCAATTGAGATAATGAAACTATAAGTGTTAGGCCACCACTGAAAACCTGGAAGCATTGGACGGCCGTTTCGTCCTAGCATGGGACTCCTCAATGATGCACATCCACAATCCTCCACACCCAACTCAAACCCAGAAGCCTTGGTCTCGTACGCGAACCCTTAACCTATAGACCACTGAGCCGACATCCAACGTTGTTCATATCTGACTTCAACTAATCCATAATATTGTGTAACTATCTTCCATTGACACGGATGAACTTTTGTGATCACGAACGTTTACTAGAACTCCAAGTACTGTCTGTTGAAGCTGATCACTAGTGAGCACAATATAATTATCGATATAGGGTGGTAAAGATTTTTGAGTTTTACTGGTCTAACAATGATCGTTTCATGATATCAACTAAAACGCAACACTTTCTACAACCCTATACTGAAATCTATCAATCTTTTAAGAAATATATACATTTACATTTATGCAAATAATTTTCAATTTTGTTAGGATTTTAATATTGGCTGATAATCCCTGTCAGCATGTTGGGTACTAAATCATTTCATAGCAAGAATCTAATATACAAAAACAACTATCCTAAATGATCAACATTATTTATTATTCACTGAACAATTATTCTCTTAGAAATATGTATCTTTTTTTGTAAAATTGTTGTAACCAGCAAATAAGAAATTTACTGTTCTATCCAAAATGTTGAATAATTGAATTTGCACAGGTACATCCAGCTGATCAATCCCAAATAGGACGAAACATGTGTCATGGATTCTATTGCTAACCACTATTCATCTTTGCTTATACATTAATTAATATAAACTAACCTTTAGGTAATGTTATTCGGTTTATTATTATTGATTATATACAGATAGTAGTTAATATATGATTTAAAAAAGTGAATTCTTCATTCGGTATTCCCATGATCAATGACAGTGTGTCCAAATAAACTCCCTTTATTCTACCAGATATTAGTATTTCCGAGGAGTTTCATATCTTATATATGTTTGTACAGATCTAAAAACTTCTGTCGAATAATTAGGATATTCTGTTTCTCGTACCATTAAATGCACAAATATTTAAGTGAAGTATATTCGGTGAAACCATAATTTATGGACGGCCTTCGAGCGACGTTAAGTGGCCTTGAGAATGTCCACCAACTGACCAGGGCTAAACGGGGGTTTTAAACCTGTGCGAAGGATAAGGATTATGATTTACAATTGATGGTTAGGAATAGGGATTAGATTTAGGGTTTTCATCACGAACCGACATAAGCTAAAATGCCAAGACGCTATTTAACCATATGGATAAAGAATTCCTCGCCGAAATCCAAGACATGTTATTGTAAATCTAATTGGTTCGTCCATAAATTGTAATCTCGCCGAATATTCTTTTCAGTAATTTCTCATTACATTCTATAATCATATATCCAAATTATTATCTTAAACTTATACCTAAGGTTATATGCAAAGATAGATGGTGAGTAACCGTGGAATCCAGGACGCGCGTTTCGTCCTGTTTGGGACTCGTCAGCTGGGTGTACCTGCATCCCAAGTTTGATATTCACTTTGAAATGAAGATACTTTAATCTGGGATCGCAGGTAGAATTGAAACAAATTAGTTAACGTTTAAATGATCAGTGTGTAATGTTAATTGAGTTACAGTAAATAAAAACAACAATATAATTGAGGTCATTTTTCACAATGTTTATCTACATTAAAGAGTGAACTTCCAGTTGAAGTAGATTGGTATCATAATGATTTGCCAATTCAAGGAGAAGTGGGTCGTCGACGTATTACAATGGAATTAAATAATATGATCAGTTTACATCTTCTTATGGTAAGTTTTAATCATAATTAAACAAATTTTGAATTACTATTCTCCCATTTTTTAATGAAATAATTTTCAAATATTGCTGGAAAGGTGAACTAAGCAGATTTCATTTTAGTCAGAGGTATACATCTTGCACAATTTACTTTGGGATGGTTTATAAACTTTTAATTATTCAACATTACATCACGTAACCTTGCTTAGTTTTATTTGATAACTATAGGCACACTTAGTGACATATCTCGCACAGTCAGGAGTCCGATGCTTCCTGAAACATTGCTAGTCTTATGATTCACTGTTACTGTTTGAAAGGTCTTACAGATTAAACTGATTGATCTTTACATGGCTACATTGAATACGTTTTCTAGTGTCTACATCATGGCATACACTGAAATAATCTCAAGTTTTTACTATAATCAGCACTATATACCATAATCTTTCTGGTTAATAAAATACCTCATCTTTCACGTAACACTAAATTTATAGTGCAGTGAACAAGAACAAAAGTGGGGACAGTCGAACATATTTGAACACAAAATTACAGAAAAATTTAGTAAAATCTAATATTCATACGGTAGATACTTCATTTGCAAAATGTCAATTAACTGTATTAAACTTAACTGTTCCTTCATTTCTATAGGACTTATTTACTGTTCTTGCTCTCTTTTCTTCTATCTTCTTAACCTTATGCTACCAGGTATTTCACTTTTGACTGATGATACATACTACTGATAGATATCAACATCAGTAGCACATACCACAATAGTAATTTTTTCAAGAAAACTATAAGCAAAACATTCACATTCTATATATGATTACAGTAATCTGCCTATTCAGGGATGCTCTATATCTTTTGTGATAAGTGACATAAGTTACAATGTGTTTTATCTAAAAGGCATAGGTTTTACTGTAATACATTCTAATTTTCATTTAAAAAATGCATAAGCAAAAACAAGATACATCTTCTCACTTTTGTAATCATTGTCAATCAATAGTACTTTTACAAAGACGTACACCATAACTTTCAGGGGGCATGACTTCTTTCACGGATTAGAGTATATCTTATTTAAGAATGATAGCAAATAATGAGAATCAAGTTAAGGGCTAGTTTTACTTGTTACTTATTAACATGGTATATATCTCAGCGGTTATCGTTAATATTAGTCTAACTACATTGTCCAATTTGAATTAAGAGAACAAATTTGTAATTATTTTCATATCTTTCATGAACTAAGTACTTATTAATGAATATTCCTTTGTCTTGTGATTGAATGGTAACATATTTATATTTAAATGATTTTACGTCTTCATTCGAATAATTCAAAAGTAGATTAATAAAATTTTATGTTGAATTAAACATGTTCAGATCCTGAAGGGATTATTTCTTATGATCGTTATTTCATGTTTCATTTATTTAGGTTTCTGATTTAGAAGACGGAAAGTATACTTGTACAGTTCGTAATGCAGCAGGCTCAGCTACTACATATTGTAATGTTACTGTTCAACCAACAGATACAAGAGAATCTTTATTACCGTCACAAGTGACACTACGACCAACAGCTCCACGTCGTAGAAGGGATTTACAGTCCGATTTAGATGAAGTATTTGAACCAGTTAAAATACCACGAATAGTTCAATCACCTACCGGAGTCACAGAAGAACAAGTGATTCCAGTTAGTACAGTTAAAGGAGCCTATCCAAAATATACTCAAAGAGCTGTTTCAGTACCACCTACAACAACAGCCTCTGTACCTTTAAGGTGAGTGAACTTTGTTACTATAACTTAGAATTTCACTACTGATATGAAAGATTGAATGGATAAAATCTTAATGGTTAGTAAGATACCTTTATTGATGCTTTTTTCAAAAGTCTGCGACTTATTATACGTTCTTAGCTCATGACTAAATAATGTGACAGCGTTTTGTCTAAAACCAAATAACCGTCAATTGGGTCAACGTACTATAAGTTAGTATGATAAACTTTGTGGCATGTTTATAAGAACTGATAACACTACCAGGTTAACCAGATTTTAATAGGTAAAGTTGATCACAAATCTTTAGCTTAATGACTAAGTATCAAGTATCTTGAGCAAATGATACGTTCCGAAGTACTTACACATTATACACTATTTATTACATGTTTGCTTTCATGACTAATCTAACAACAATCATGTCTGATTTTTTTTAAATTTTTAAAAAAATATCTGAAGAATACAAACAAATGCCACAGGAGGACGTCCAGTATCAGATTATGGTAGGCCTCCACAGTTTATACTACCATTGCAAAATTCTGGAGTGAATGAAGCAGAAAAAATCAAATTAGAATGTCAAATTACTGGGATTCCTGCACCACAGGTAAAATATTCATTTCTTCTTCGTATCTTTTACTATGAATTTTTTAAACAAGTGAATAAGACGATGGTGTTTGAAGCCAGCGGTACTGGGTTCGAGTCCCAGAGTGAATATGAACTCAGATAGTGGTACATCCGACTGATGAGTCCCAAATAGGTCGAAACGCCCTTTGTCCTGGATTCCACTGCTAGTCACTATCTATCTTTGCTTAAAAAGCTTCTGACTTAAGGCTATATCAGGGCAATCCTCACAGTATGAACATATGCCAACAAGCGACTGATCAATTTCAGTCCTTAATAACGACGGGAAGATTCAAGTAAAACAACACCAAGTGAATCTAAAATTTAATTTTCTTATAAATTAAATCATTAGCTTACCAAATAATTTCATGGTATTAATGTTTATATGGAAAATGTTTTCATTGAAAAGTAAATCGACATGAACGATCTATAACCAAAGAATTTAAGAAGTTAGATAATATTCAGGTTTATAATAGCAATCTAAAAGTGACTGTCTAGTCACGCAACCTAAATGTTCTGAGTTTGACTCCTTACTGACGAGGTGACTCATATAAGAATAAACTAAACGTATTATGCTTCTGGATTCTCAGTGGTTGTCCAGTAGATGTTAAACCACTGTCTATACTACCTTTAAAATAATCTAGCCATTGATTACAACAGCCTCATAGTATCAGCTATAGTTTTGTTTTTAAATTGACTCGGTGTTTAATTGATGTGGGATAGACTATCTTCTTAAGAAAATCGCACGTGTATTTTGATCACTCCTTGTCAATAATCGCTGTTATTTCGCTATTGGTAAAACGTCTAAGTTGAATGTAGAAGGAAGGAAACATCATGTACTTAATATTTGGTACAATATTTTGAATCATTTACTCATGAGAATATAAATCAGTCTGACAAGTTGATTATCGGAAATTAATTTCATGGACTTTCAGTTTGGTGTTGCAGAGATTTTCGAAATTTCACTTAAATCATGAACCGATCCGTCGTTCAACCCTTTCAGGTTTTTAGTGATGGTCTAACATACATCATTTCTTAATTTTAATTAAATACTGGTTCGTTAAACCCAATTTCTTTTTAAGGAACTTTTATAAGCTACTGTTAAAGATTCAGTAGTATGTTTGTAAATGGTTAGATTTCAGGAATGTGAACAAAAAGAAAAGGGTATTCAGAAAAGAAAATTTTCTTTTTGGATGAAATCATTTACTTCAGCTGTACATTCATATTTATAGTTGTTTGATATATTTATATATATCATAGAAAGATATGCGCAACAATCAAAGAATTCCGAGAAGAGTATGGTCAGAATTATGACAGATAATTGTCCACTTGACAGATATGAAGGAAAAAATGGGCGAAAGTTCAAGGTCATAATAACAATTGAATTATAATCATTGATTGGTTAATGGTTAGCTGAAAGTTCAAAACCCATCAGAAATCACACCAACAGATATAGCTCTCTTGATCCATTCAAAATATCAGCATAAGTTGTAGAAAAAAGTGCTTCCTTGAGATCTTGACTAATGTCAAGTTACACAGAAAGATCTAATAATCTTGTAGAATTGATTGATCGAGTTATTAAAAGTTTCTATAAGGATGGAAGTAAAAATAGTTTCATTATACATGGCATTTTGGATTGAAATAAAGTACACTTTTATCTGGTCTTTGTTTCATACAGAGTATATGGTTATGAATAATGAAACGCTGGATGTCCTAGATATGACGCATTTAGGAAACATAGTAAGGTTGAGGATAACTTCAACTAAATATTCCATTTATGGAAAAAGGCATCATAACGTTGTAGACAGTTTATTTACTGGATTTAACGATCTTGGTTGAAATAAAATGAGCTGTGTAACACTTCTGATATTAGTCGTTTAAGTTAGACTGATTTGTAGCGAAATTTATGTACGCTACCCTCCAAGATTATGAATATCATTTATACCTTAATTCTACTAACTCTAAGTATCAATCTTCATTACCAAATATTACCTTCTGTGAATCTAACAGTACCCAGTACCAAAGATTGAAACCTTATATTGATAGAAAACTTTATTTAAAATTAATTATGAAAAGTAATTCACAACAGTATCTCAACAACAAAATCTGTAGAAACATTCAGATAATGAAACTGTTACTGGCATTTACATTTAATACAAACTCTCTATCTTGTTAGATCATTGGTAGATCAATTAACCCGATTTTGTGTTTATTTTTACTCTGACATACGATATCGACACTTATCTTATCATACGATGTAATGCTGTCTACAATGTTATCATTTTCATTTGTGTTTTAAAGATTGATGCTTATTATTGAACAATGTAAGTTCATTAAGGATACAGATTTAGTCAGAACTATAGCGATTAGTCATGTCAATTAAGAACGATCATTTATAATCACATACTATTCTTATATCTCGTCACAATTTAGAACAGACGTTCAATTCTATCGAAAAAATTTAGGATTTCTGTATTATCACATTGATAATTATACTCATACCGTGATCTTATTATGACAGCACGATTAAGTTCATTTAAACTCCAGGCGGAGTTACTTTTCAATAGAATATATAAATATATTTTTACTTACATTATAAAACATATGGTCAAAATATGATGAGAATGATTCACTTGTTTGTGAATAGATGTATAATTACTGATGAAAATCAAGGTTACATAACAGCAGACACCACACAACACTATAGAGAACGAGAACATAAAGGTGGACCGACCAAATGTGGAATTACAGAATCTCTTGGTAAAATCTAAGAACCATACAGTCAATAATTCATTTCTAAGATGTCTATTAATCGTCTCAGACTTTATTATTCGTTCTGTTCTTGTACTCTTCTCTTCGATCTTCACAACCTTCTATCACCAGGCATTCCACTTTCGATTTACGATACATATTACTTATATCTGTAGATATCAGTAGCATACACCACAGCGCATTCATATTTTATTAAAATATTTATCTAATGAATTAATACACTTATTTTTATAAATTAACACTATAGAATCGTTAGCATTTTTCTGCATAATATTACTGAAATGAATTCATTTTTAAATATTACATTATTTTTACTATTTTCTACTTTTAAAGGTTACTTGGCTTAAAAATGGTATCCCATTAGGTAGATCTAATTCATACGTAACTAAAGAGATTGGACAATATCACTGTCTAATCTTTTATGATGTATTTCTTGATGATCAAGGTGAATATACATGTGTAGCTGAAAATCCTTATGGAAAAGCATATAGTTCATGTAGAATGGATGTTGAACGTGAGTTGAATATTTTTAAGAGTCAAAGTTTAGTTTAATATTCAGACTACTTCATTTAACCCATAAAAGGGTGAGACTATAATTTATAGACGAACCAATTAGATTTAGGATAACAGATCTTGGATTTTGGAGCAAAATTCATTCACCCATTCGTCCAAATAGCGTTTTGATATTTTAGCTGTCAGTTCGTGATGAAAACCATAAATCTAAATCCTAATCCTTACAATCAACTGTAAATCATTGTCTCTATTCTTCAAACCGCTTTATAACCTTTATTTAGACCTATTATGTAGGTGGATACTCTCAGGGTCACTTCGGCGTCGCTTAAAGGTCGTCCATAAATTATAGTTTCACCGATAAAACTTTAATTCTACTTTCAATATTAAGTCTCATACTACCTAAACGGAATGAACATTAAATAAACAGGAATTTGTTTACCTAGAAATAGAATATTTTTGAATGAATAGCTGACTTAGTGCTTACATTTACACACATATTATACGATCACGTTTTAATATTCACGATTGAAGTAAAAGATTAAATTAAACTCATCTTGGATATAGTTATAAGACGACTATATTGAAATTTCTCAATTTACGATCATAAATTGTTCCTAGTCACCCTACAAAGAATAACCGATGAAAAATATCAATATACTCACAGTCGGTGTTACGTACCTTGGTACAGACATTCATTATTTTCAGAAGAAACTATATCTATCAGTGTAGGATTGTAGAGATCGTTAAGTTGTGGATGCGCACTGGCGAGGAGTCCCGCACTTGGACGAAACGGCTATTCAGTGCTTCCAGGTTTTCAATTTTGAACTAGCATTGATCAGTTCATGATCTCAATCAAAACTATATCCATTAATGCAATGTGACTTAATTAGTACTATTTACTTTTCGATTGATGATAGTAAAGTGAGTTGTGGAGATTACTCCCATTTGAATCCCTTAGATAATACGAACTACCATTAGCTAGCGCAGTGATTCTAATGAATCATGAATAGAAAAACTGCTATCCAGAGCTCTAACTTACTTCAATTCAAAACGAGCAATCTTTTAAAAAGTAGCATATTATTTTGACTAATAAGTTGTATTTAAACCGTTTATAATGACAAACAAAATCCCATGATACCACCTACTTTCACATAGTGCGATAGCCTTAATATAGATTTCATATAGATAATAACGGAAACAAGTTTAATAAAAACAAGTATGTATGTTATATAAACACATACCTCTAAAAAGAATGCATATAGCTTTACATTTATTTCTATGCTTACATTTTAGCGATTTGTGAAGATGAACAACCAACTGATAGTGAACCGACGTTAGTAAAACCATTACCGCCAAGTTTATCTGTTGTAGAAGGTGGATCAGTTGAGTTAACATGTCAATTCACTGGAAGGCCAATACCTTCCATAGTATGGCTCAAAGATGGTAAACAACCACAATCTTCAACTAATTTTCAGGTTAGAATAGTTAGTCTTTTTTTGAAGTACAAAACACATTTTTCTAATTGCTCCTGTAATAGTCAGGTCGAAATAGAAAACTCTAGAATTGACAAGGAATGAACAGAAACTACTTTAGGCAGATACGATGAAAGACGACCAATGCTTTAAATATACCCATGATAAAAAATCTGTAATGTACGCATGTTTTATACTTTGGAAGACCAAGTATCACTACCACAACTAAGAACATAGTGGATTAATATGCAGTGTGAACTCCTTTTAGTTGACAGACGAACATCGCGTGTACTCTATAGGTGACATAAGTTGGTAAAGGCCACCCAAGCTTACGAAATCTTTAGCGAGATTTCGTCACACAGTAACGCACCAGGGTTGATGAGACTCCTAAGATAAGTTAAGTGATCAAACCATTTGACTAGTTTATTCCTTATCACTAGTTCAGGCAGTGACGTAGAGCAGTAAAACTTTGCATGTTTGTCGATATCGCCAGCAAACAGAACTATGTCAATTGCGTATTCTAAGTCTTTAAGCGAACCTCCTAAATAAAGATTAACCCCTAAAAGCTTAGTTGAAAAAGATGTTATCTCATTAACTATACTAAACAACTTACTGCTCAATATACTGTAACTAAATAATATATCTGACTAGAAGATATCAAACTCATTGTCATTACTCAAATTCACTACAAATGTAACTAATCTGTGTAAAATATTATTAACGAATTAATCATATGTATTTGGAAAATCTAATGTTTCACTTGGCAATCTGATCCAAGCTATTTCAAGATATCATAATCAAACATCAAAATTATTGATTATAAATAGGTACATGGTTCTCCCGTTCACTGTATACTGAATAGATCATCCAATCCACGTTATGAATGTTTAAAGTAAATATTTGCTTTAGTGTGTAAGAGATATGTGATGTGAAACGAAAAGTGTGTTCAGATAACAGATTAAGTGTATCCATAGATTTAGTGAGAAGAAGGCTTGAACCAGATTGACAGGCCAAATGTTAGATTTACTTCAAACTCATTCACTGAGATTTTACAAATACATTCTACCTGCTTAATGACTCACAACAACTCGGTGCACAAATGCTGTGATCCTATTCAATCAAATTTAGACAAAAGTTCTTATATAATTAATCATATATATGTATATTAAGTTGTAAATATAGACTCAAAACTTTGTATCCAATGTACTGAACAAGATGATTAGAATAATGTTCTAACGCCACCTATCGATAATTCTAATCCACGTATTTTTGATGAAGTTTTGTTCTCTTAACTGGATGATTTGGTCGTGAAGCTTTCACCGTTCTTCTGAACGACATCATCAGCAAGAACTTCTATCTGAGGTACAAATCTTCTCCATCATCAGAGTTATTATCATTGTTTTATTGGATAATTAACAAATTGATTTATTTTATTCTAAAAGTATTCATGTATTGACTTTTAGACATTTCAAGATTCTGGTTTTGCACGTCTTTATATACCAAAAGTTGAAAAAGATAAAACTGGTGTATATGAAGCTGTAGCAACAAATCCATTAGGTAGTTGTTCTACTACTGTATATATGGAAATACTTCCATCTATGCGAACATCTATTGATTTATTGCCAACAATTTCACCAGTGATGAGTGGAAGTTCACCGGAATTTACACGAATATTTAAGTAAGTTTGATACATAAATATTTTATCAGTATGAGGGGTTTGTGGAGATTGTAGTAATTTAGTAGTTCAATTCATGAGTCGATTTAAGCTAGGCCAACATAGAAAACCGTTGGATGCTATCTCAGTTGTCTAAATGTTAAGTGTTCGCTCGAGAGACCAAAGGTCCTGGGTCCAATTTTCTCGTACAGGATCAGGTATGCGTACTGCTGACGAGTTTTATACTGGGACGAAAGGGTCGTGCAATGCTCTCAGGTTCCCATTGATGAACTAATTTAAATCGACTCATGGATTCAGATGTTAAATTATATAGATATTTAACGGAAAAAAGTTGATAATTAGTGAATTTATTTATTTCTATTCATACATTATATCCTTTATTTGTTTCAAATACTTACAGAGACGTTTATATTGAATCAGAACGTTTAGAAGAAGTGGTACTTGAATGTTCAGTGGTTGGTGTTCCAACACCAATAGTGTATTGGACACATAATGGAACAATTATCAGACCAGATGATCAACGTTATACTATTGGCCAAGGACCTGGTCCAAATGATCATTGTTTAATTATCCGACGACCAGGACCAGAATCAGCAGGTAATTCTACATTCTAATTATTATATATTATAAAGTTTTTTTTTATCTGTTTCTATAATACTATGATCTTATCTCGGTTAAAAATGTAGTCATTCTTAATGGATGTCAGTCATATATAAACATATTTCTAAAATACTAGTATACTTTTACTGTTTATTCGCCATAGGTTGCTAGTTAATCCAACTAAAATAGAATGACACAGTTACTTGATAAATCAAGATAAATATAGACAAAATAGTTGAAGTACCCAATCCATCAAATGAAGATTTATAGCCTACCTTTAATGGTGAACATTTTCTGTTAGATTTACCTATTAATAAGTATTAGATTGATTTGTCTTAACTTAGTGAAAGGTGATTTATTAGATTAACCGTATGAAATTATCATTTTTATCTACGAGATATCAAATATATCGAAATACTTTTAGTTTCTTATAGAATTTTAATAGGAATAAGTTTTTTGAAAAAGGGCTACCGGAAATATACATAGTTTGACTTATTTTATTAACAGCAGTACTCCTCATGGAGATGAGAGTGTAATTGGTGGACGACCTTTGAGCAACATTAAAATGACCTTGAGAATGTCCACCTACCTACTGGGGTTAAATGAGGGTTATAAAGCGGTTTGAAGAAGGATTATGATGCACAATTTATGGATTGGGCTAGGGATTAGATTTACGATTTTTGCCAAAACACTATTTAGATAAATAAATGAATGAATTTCGTGCCAAAATCCAAGACGTTTTATCCTAAATCTGATTGGTTCATTGATAAATCATAATCTCACACTTTTGAATGCAAGAGAGCGTTCATGCCAAGACTTTTCTGAAATCAAATTTTTAGTTGGTAGAATTTTTAATACTATTATAACAATACCATATACTTTTCAAAGGCCAATGAAATCTAATATGATCATCTCATGAACAATATTGTATAACATGTTCTAATTTAGTTCTGTATTGATAAAAATAAAGTTTAGAGAATAAGTTACTTGTTTCTGTTATCACCATCGAATAGTTTTAATCTAAGTTCATTGAATTCTGGGATTCATAAAGTAAGATATAAATGTATCTGCTTCATTATTGTGAAGCCTTTATCCTGCAATTCCCTAAAAGGCGTTGTCAAATTCTTCACTTATAAGCTTATATGAACATCATTAAAATATGAGTTAAGATATTGTATTCTAAGGAACAAAAACTAATACAAGGTGTAATACATAAAGGACGAAGTTAATTATTTAAACCAAAATATTATGCTACTTGCTTTCTCTAAAAAGTATTCATTTTCTATTAAATATTTTATGAGATTCTTGGTTAGTTATTTCATTAAGTTTAACTGTGAATAAAAAGTACTATGTTAGATAAGTGATCGAAACTTCTAAGCCAAACTGTCTGAAGTTCCTCCAATAACTTTTCATCTTGAAGAAATCGAAATAAACTAAACATTTTGGTGGAGTTTTGTTCTCTGAGCTCAGTTCTTACACCCAGATTCCATAATAAGTGTAGCGAGATTGACAGTTGCCAAATGCGGTAAGTAGAATATAAAATAGTATGCTGACTTAAATTAGTCCCTTAATCATATACGTCTTCTTCTGTTTCTATTAATTTTTAAGTTATTTTTCTAAAACACTTTATTAATCAATAGGTCGTTATCAAGCTATAGCTGAAAATCTCCATGGAAGAGTTACTTGTTCAGCATTTATAAGTCCTATTGCTTATAGTCAAACAATAATTAAAAGACCTCCATCTACGATGAGCTTAACAAGGCATACAGTTACACGACAAATATGTCCACGTGAAACATCATTACCTCCATCACCAGCAAGTACTGCTCCAATCATTTCACCACAATCATTTGCTACAGTTCAATTACCTTTATCACCAGTACGATTTCAAAGAGAAACATCAGCTCCACCATCACAATACTATTTGACAAGACATCATTTACAAATAAGACCAAGACAGCCAACACCACCAATTCAACTCACTTTTGCATTACCACGCAAAGAACAATCATTAAGTCGAACAGAGGTAAAATAAATTGTTTACAGATATTTTAAAATTAGTCATTAAATATGTTAAATACCTCTTTGTAGGCTGAAATTTCTTAGTATGTATAAATTCTTAACTCTATGATTCCATTAGCATAATAATTGGTCTAACATGCATCCATTCATGATCTCAATCAAACCTCAACAATCTTCACAACCCTATACTGATAATTGTAAATTAAACAATGTTAAATTCCTTACATTTCACTCAGATCACTTTTTGATATCAATATATAAGTTGATCACATTTAAATTGTCAATGAATTAAGTGAACTTAAACGATACAGTAATAGTCTAGGGAACTATTCCAATCTTATTTCTGTTAGATTTTAATGTTTACCTGATTAATATTGACTACTATTTGATGATTCTCATGTGTTTTGACAAATCGAATATTAATCTGAAAATGAAACAATGTGACGGAATCCAAATATGTGGTTTTACTAATGTTTACACTGTAGGATAACGTCAGAATTCTATTGGGAATATTTATTATGAGCATTGAAATACATTATAACAGTTTGAATGTGTTTAGTACCCATTAAGGGGAATAAATCTTTATGGAACCCAGAAATTTTTTTATTGTCACCAAGTCATATTTTATACAAAACTTCTTGTGAATTAGTATCTGTACTTTATCACTGTATTGGTTCACGTAATATATATGTCAGTACTACGATGTTAATAAAGTAGACTTTAGAGAACTCTATATTGTACTAAACATAAATTGAACGAAGCGAATATTATCAATATGGGATCGTGGAGATTATTGAGTTTTTGATTGAGATCATAAACCGATTGATATTAAATCAACATTGAAAACCTGGAAGCATTAGACGGTCGTTTCGTCCTATTGTGTGACTCCTCAACAATGCGCATCTACGACCCCGCGCGAGGGATTCGAACCCATGGTCTTTAGTATAGAATACGAACGCTTAACCTCCAGACCACTGAGTCGTCATCCAGCCGTGTTAATGTCTAACCTCAACCAATCCTTGAAATTGAGAAACCATCTTCCATTTTACTGAGGTAGATACCTGTCTCTACCTGACATGGATTACACTCCACAGGTCACGGCTTCTCACTAGAACCCTGAGAATTCCCTCATGAAGCTAGTCACTAGTGAGCACATGGTAATTATCGGTATGGGGTTGTGGACATTATTAAGTGAACATTATTATCATGCATACAATAAACGTCGTTTAAGCTAAAATGAAAACCTGTTCAATATGATTATATCAGTTAATTCATACAGTAGTAGGTGAGTTCTTCAATTGTTTTCGGATTTCCTTAACTGAATATGTAATTTAGCCAGTTTTCGAGATCGAACCTGAGAATTTTGACTTCCTACACTATTATGTAACAGATAATTATAAACATGGAAAGATTCTCTGTTTTATAACAAATAATCCTAGATTTGAAGCATTAGTGAATTTAGGATATAAAAATTAGTATATCATTTCTAACGAACAAAAAAACTACAGTGTTCTCAAGTAGATGGACACCTTCCAAATGAATTTATTTTACCTCATTACCTGGAGATCTTCCCAAGAAAGAACCTACAAAACACAACACTAACAGAAACAGTAATTCTATAGAGAATAATATGTAAAGTTGATCATCTTTATGTCATAGTTCCTTAACTAATATTACTTTCATTTTTAATTCTTTAGATAATACGACCTATTGATAGTCAATTAAAATTACAAGGACAAGTAAAACATTATAGTAGTACACAACATTTATATAAAAAACAAATTACACCGATTGTGCCAAATATTGAAACACGTTATTCACGACGTGTTGCTAGTCAACCACGTCTTTCACCAGGTTATTCATCAGAAGAAGAACATGAACATAGTATGTCCGTCGTACCAATGGTACGCCATTATAAAACACGTATGGAAAGAAATCTAGTAAGTAGACCATATATCATGTCTGGTTACAGTTCAGTAAAAGAACATAAACGTACATTACATCTTACACCGATGAGACGTGAATATCAAACATCATTAGAACATAATTTACCAGCTAGGCCAATATTAGAAAAAGGTTATGCAGCTGAAGAAGAACGTGAATATGAAATGAATGTTGTACCTATTGTACCTCATACTGATTATAAAACTGAACTAACAACTGATATTTATAGTAAACCAGAGCTGACACCAGGTTATACTACAGAAACTGAACATATTCGATCATTTGAAATTACTCCAATGGTACCGGAATATCATACAAAAATGGAACGAAAAATAGCAAGTCATCCAATACTTGAAGCTGGTTATTCATCAGAAGAAGAACATGAACATAAATTGGATATTATTCCCATGACTACTTCATATAAAACTGAACTGAACACTGATGTATCCTCTAAACTAGAATTGATGCCTGGATATGCTGTTGAAACTAAACATCCTATCAAACTTGAAGTCACACCAATGGTTCCAGAATATCGTACTGAATTAGATACAAAAGTTGCTAGTCATCCACATTTAGAGGAAGGTTATACATCAGAAGGTGAACATGAGCATCAAATGGAACTGATACCGCTAGTACCTGAATACAAAACACAACTGTCAACAGATTTATCAGCAAAGACTGAAGTGATTAGTGGTTATGAAAGTCGATTACATTATGAAAAAACTTATCTTATGGAAACTCAATTAAAACAAGTAAGATAATGATGTTTAACACTAGGAATAATATATATCAGTTACAGAGTTAATCTTTGTCAAAATTATTATGATATGGATTAAATTGCAAGTTTGTATTAGTATACTTTGTAACCCAACAGAATTAAAATGTAGTGAATAATTGTATAAAAGGTTTAGTTATCTGTCTTATAAGAAAAAGAAAATCAACTAATTGTCCGATTTCCATACTTAATTACAGAATTCTAACATTTCATGACAAATCTTCGGAAAAAGATCACATAAATCAGTGAATCTGTAATTTATGGATGACCTTTGAGCGACACTGAAGTGACCTTGAGGCTGGACACCTACTGATTAGGAATAAATGAGGGTCATCAAGCAGTTAGAATTCTCATTTACAGTTGATGGTTGGGGTTAAAAATAAGTTTTAGGGTTTTCATCACGAATTAACATAATCCATAATGTCAAAACTCTCTTTAGCCAAATGTATGGATGAATTTCGAGTCGTGACTCGTTATCTAATATCTGTTTGGTTTGACCATAAATTGGACTTCACTAAATCGTTGTTTCTGATATTCTATTCGTTTTTAAAGAAGTTTATTTAGAGAATTAGATGAAAACAATCATGATAGTAATTCCTACACTAGTTCATATGGGATTTATCGTAATTCATTAGGATGTGTAACCTTATCTGATACAGGAACATAATCAAGTTATCAAATATGTTTTGAGAGGTGAAATGAACAAAATAAGAACATCTAGTTGATGAAAGGGAAAACATATAAATTATGATTTACTAGGAACGTTTGCGCTAAGTTCTATTTTGATCAAGACTAATTCACAAACATTTTTTGAACTGGAATGATATACAGTATTTCATTCATAAAATGAAATAAGGTAACTGTCATTTTACTGAAGTTGTATAAAATAGTGTAATCTGGTTAGTATTTCCATGATAATGTGATTGTTCTATTCAAAAAATCTAGAGTCATTCATCTAAGTTATTTTCGTTACCAATAGTTTGATAGAATATTGACATTGTTTTGAGATATGGAATGGTTCTTGTTATATCCTTGTTATCTCGCTTAGTAATTATACTTGAAAAAAACAAACGAGGAACCACTGCAATTCTCATGAAGCGAAGAAAGAACACAAAGACTGGTACAAATGAAGATTCATTAACTCCAAAAATAAGAAGTCGACCCTAGTCGTATATACACTCATTTATACATTGATTGGTCACCCATTTAGGATGAAACCACATGTATGGAAAGATACCCAGAATGATAACAAACCACAAACCATAAGCATAGATGAATGGTGGCTAGCAGTGGAATCTCACTCCATTACACAAGCAGGTCCTTATCAGGACTCAGTAGCTAAGTTGATAACGCGATGGCGTTTGGAGCGAACGGTAATGGGTTTGAGTTCTGGAGCGAACATCAATTCTGGGATACAAGTACACCCAACTAACGAGTGCCAATTAGGATGAAACGTGGGTCCTAAATTCCGTTATTAGCCAGTATCCATCGTTACTTAGAATGCTTGTGACTTAAAGCATTGAGTAATCATCGCATTGAATTAAAGAAAGGATGTAATGTAGAACAAAAGCCACAATGAGTACGATTTTGCATATTTTTCCCCGCCGTATCAGTTTCACTTCTTCTACTATTATCTATGGTAAATATTTGGTGTTTCTGTTCTATTTTTACTATCGTTATTGGTAGAAAATGAAGCAAAACTCAGTTAGTTAATCAAACAATGTGCTATGAACAGTAGTTTACACACCATGTGTCCCTTTTACGCATAATATTTCTGTATACTATTTATTCCGGCTTTACAAATTGATAATATACAATCGATGTGTTTTGAGAAAATTCCTATTATACTGTCTATTTCTTTTGTTTTAATAGTATGAAACTGCTATTTCAACTCATCTACCAAGTAGGCCATCTTTAACATCAATATTTGAGTCGACTTTTGAACATGAAACAAATATGAATATCGTTCCAGTTGTACCACAGATTGAACATCATAAAAGTCAATGGATTACTGATTTCTACGCTAGAGTATGTTAAACATTTCTAAAAATGTTCTGATGTTATTTTGTGTGCGTAGAGAGCGACTACTTGAAGTATAGATGTTTTAACAGTTAAAAATAATATTCAAATTAATGAAAACTATCAAAATGAGGATTTGTGGAGATCGTAGTAGTGTTTATAGTTGAATTCATGAGTGAATCTGAGCTAGACTACCACTGAGAATCTGGAGTTACTGAACTGCCGTTTCGTCCTAGTATGGGACTCCTCAACGGTGCGCATCTACGATCCATCCCACGCAACTCGAGCTCAAGACCTTCATTCTCGTGAGTGAACACTTAACCTTTAGACCACTGAGCGAATATCCAATCGTATTAATGTCTAACTTTAACAGATCACTGATCCTGCGCAACCCATCGTCAGTTTTTGGGTGGAGACAGTCGCGGATGCGCACCACCGAGGAGTCCCATACTAAGACTAAACGGTCGTCCATAACTTTCGGATTTTCAATGGTGGTCTAGCTAAGATCGACTCATGAATCCAATTATTAATAAAGACCAGTTGGTCATCACAAATAACAGTCTGAAATAAACTAATATCAACTAAGATGTGATAAACGGCTATCATAACCTTCTGCTTAATTGTGTATTTTTAAAGTTTCAATGAGTACCTTAAAATAGAATCATATGGTTGAAATTCAGTACTAAATAGTTTAGTGATTTCAACCAATCCTTTTTATTATGCTATGCCACGTGACTGGAAACTAATACTTTTTCGTTTTTTGACCCAGAACATTTTTCTGTTAAGTACTCATCACTTTCTACAGCTTTCACACACTAATTTAACTTACTCATTTTGGAAATATTGTTTATCCGATTTATTTAAATGGAATAATTTAGAAAGTCTATTTTTGTAGTAACGCCTAATGGCTGAAAACCAGAGCTTACAACTCATCTAAATCTATAAGTAAAAACACAGATTTTTTAATCAGAATAGGGGTTTGTTGACAGATGCTTGTCCCAGGATGAGACTCCTCAGTAATTCATATCCACGACCTTACATTTGGCAATCGGACCCATGACCGGCCTCGCACACAAACCCTTATACTATGAACCACTAAGCCGGCGTCTAATCGTTTTAGCGTCTAACTTCAGTCAATTCAATGTATTGCGCAACCCTTATCTATTTCCTGTGGCAGAAAACTGTCTAACACCTGACATAATTGGACTCTACTGGTTACAGCTTCTCACTCAGACTTTATGAGTTGCATCTTGAAGCTAGTCACTGTTGAGTGCGAACACGTGGTCATTGTTTGACCAATCCTGAACCAAAATAAAATTGTACCAGAATCATAATGAACCGCAATACAATCATCAATATGTTTTTGTTAAACTTAATTCTTTAAAAAATCGAATACATGTACCGCTTTGAAAAAATAGTTAAGTAGCTCATCTACTTTTTAACTCACTAGCTCTTGAAAAATATTTTCTCCATTTTGATTTTACATTCATTCCCTAATGTTCTCATATTTTTTGAATAAAAATATTCTTCTTCTATACGGATAAACTAGACAATTCATTTTATTGTTTATCATTCATACTCTTCCAGTACCGTCCAGTAGATGTAATTGTTGAAGTACCTATTCCACCAGAGTTTGTAAAACCTCTAGCAAATGTTGTAGCTGATGAAGGAGCATGTGTTGTTATAGAAGGTCTTGTAAATGGAACACCACAACCCAAAATATCATGGTATCGTTCCGGACGTCAATTATCTGATGGTCCTGATTTCCGTTTAGATTATACAAATAATTGTGTACGATTAACACTCAGTGAAGTAAGTTATTTTTTCATTATTATCAAAAATAAGTTAATTGTAATTAATGAATTTTTTTATTAGTTTTTTAAATATGTTACATCATATTCAATTAATTAATTGGGTTCAACATTTTAAACGAAGTATCAAACATTTCGAAAGATCTAACTAAATATTTCTATGTTAAAAGATTTTATATGAATAAAAAATCTAAATGGTACTTTGGTTTGTGAAAAGTGTCGAATATCATCGTCTATTTAACTGACTGACTTTGGACATTCAATAATAGCCAAGTAGTATTAATCCAATTTGGATAATGCTGACTAAGATTTGTTATAATGACTATATCGAGCCAATCTGTAAAAGATGTAACTATGTCAACCAAAACTGATCAAATTTCAGTCAAAGATATTAATAACGGGATAATCCAAACCATTTCAAACTGAATTAATTTTCACAAATATTGTACAAGTGAATGGTTAGTTGGACTCAGTAGCAAAGTGGCAGGGCACTGTGTTCGAGTCATGGAGTAAACATCAACAGACACCCTGGATTTCACTTTTAGTCACATTCCGTTCATTCTGTATCAACAAGTAGTGTTGTGGTGTATGCTACTTATGTTGGTGAATATAAATAGCATGTAACACCAATCAGAAGTGGAATGTCTGTCAAAAACAGAATTGAGAAGATTGAACGAAAAAGAACCGAAAAGGAATAGAACTAAAAACAGAATCAGGAGAATTATGAAGGATGCGCACTGCCGAATCATCCCATACTAGGACGAAACAGCCATCCAGTACGTCCAGGTTTTCAATGGTGGTCTAACGTTTATTGATTTATAATGTCAATCAAAAACTTAACAATCTCCACAACTCTACACAGATAATATGTCTCAATTTTTTTTTCTTAAAAATTAAAGGCATTTCCTGACGATGCAGGTGAATATACTTGTGAAGCTGAAAATATTGCAGGTCGTGCACAAAGTACTGCAAATTTAATAGTGCGAGGTCGTTTAATGACACCAAGATTTATTAAAGGACTTGAAAACCAAATAATATATGAAAGAGAATCAGTTCGATTAATTGTTAAAGTAGATGGACATCCACCACCAACAGTTACATGGTAAGATTATTTACATTATTTAAAATGTGTATGGTAATTATTATGGTTATTTTGTTAAATAATTGTTCATTTTCATTTGAGATGTCCTTTTTTGTCTTACTTACTTACGCCTGTTAATCCCAATGAAGTACAGGCCACCGAACAGCATTATCCAACCCACTCTGTCCTGAGCCTCCCTTTATAGTTCTATCCAGTTCTTGTCTGTCTGCATTCCTCGGCGTAATGTGTTCGTTGGTCATCCACTTTTCCTTTGACCTTGAGAATTCCATGTGTGGGCTCGCCTTGTGGCGTAGATCGGTGAATTCTTCAATGTGTATCCTATTCACTTCCAGCGTTCCTTCCTGAATTCCCCCTCCGCTGGAATCTGGTTTGTTCTCTCCTACAGTATGTTGTTGCTGATAGTGTCTGAACAACGGATCTGAAGTATTTGGCGTAGACAGCTATTAATAAACACTTGTATCTTCTGGATGATTGCTTCCATAGTTCTCCATGTTTCCGCTCCATACGGTAGAACTCTCTTGACATTTGTGCTGAAAATTCTGGTCATGGTGTTGGTTGATAGTTGTTCCAAAGCTTCTCCGTCAAGTGTGATTCGGTTGGTGCATGTTGTGTTGTATCGAAGAATCTTGCTTTTCCCTTTGTGTATATTGAGACCTACTGCTGCTGAGGCTGCTGCTACATTGATCTTCTTATCCTGCATTTGTTGTTGCGTGTGCAATAGAAGAACCAGATCATCTGCGAAGTCTATATCGTCCAGCTGCATCCTGGATGTCCACTGTACCCAATGCTTCCCTCCCAGGCGTCGACATTTTTTCTCACTGACTGAAAAACAGTTTTAACTTAATTTTTTATATCAAATATAACTTGGATACAACAATATTAATTACATTAATTGAATTTTATAAGTGATTAATAAGTTGAATTTCATTTATTTAATTCAAAAACAATGTTTAGTTTTTATCAAAAATGATTTGGTTTATGAAATTTCCGGGTAAAACGTTTCTAAATTAATCAAATTTTCATTATAAATGAACAATAATGAAATATCAGAAAGGATTTTTGTGGATATTGTAGTAATTTCAATGGTTGAGATCGTAAGTCAATTGAAGCTGGACTATCATGGAAAACCTGGAAGGACTGGACAGTCGTTTCGTTCTATTGTGGGACTCCTCAGCAGTGCTCGTCATCAGCTTCAATTGACGCATGATCTCAACTATTGAAATTACTACAATATACACAAAAACCCCTTCTGATATTAATCAACATGTGCTCAGTAGTGACTGGCTTCAATAAGTATTTCCTGGAGTTCTAGTGAGAAGCAGGGACGAGTGGAGTTCGACCGGGTCTGTCGTGAGATAGTAACTCATTGATGACAATGGTAGATCTGTCACTCAATTTCGTGAATTGGTTAAAATTAAACATTAACACCGTTGGACACCGGCTGGCTCAGTGGTGTAGAGATTAAACATTCGCACACGAGTACTGGTATGTCCTGGGTTCGAATCTCTGGTTACTAAGAAGAGGTATAACCTGATTAATGAGAAATAATTTTCTAGAAAATTTAATAAAAATATATCATTTAGTTGTATGTTGTACTCTATCGATGAACAGAATGATCAAATCCATATGTAACATAATACATTATTTACAAAATTAATTCTTTTAAATATTTCAGGACTCGTGATGGTCATGAAATTACAAGTTCTCCAAACTATATACTTGAATGTGAAGGTAATGGTATTTATGCACTCAATATACCTGAAGCATTCTTTGAAAATTCTGGTCGTTATGCTGTAATTGCTGAGAATCCAGCTGGAAAATGTATCTCTTCTGGTTTGTTAACTGTTTTAGGTAAGTTGTCACATAGCGGCTTAATAAATTATGAAAATCATACATTAAATACATTCTTTGAAATTCTTCTTTACTCTGTCCCTTATATACTCCATTATTCCTCTAATTCTGTTGTAAATATGATTACTCTTTTGATTGCAACCTTTTGCCACTAGGCATTGAGCTTCCAATTGGTGCTACATACTACTTGTATCTGTCAGCATAAGTAGTATGCACTACGGCAATAATTGATTTAATACATTTTTCAATATCGATTGGTATATTTTACACTAGTAAACTATCGATTTTATTTAAATAGTCATCAATAATTTGAATGATTTTAACTTCTAATCATTTGGTTTAGTATAGATGACAAGTCTATAATGGTATGTATTGCATTGAGTCAACTAGCACACCAATATCATGCATACCTTGAAATATCCAAAACATGAATAACCCAACACATCAACTATCGTTCAAAGGTCTTTTTTTTACCTTAAACTCTCTTATTTCTATTTGTTTTACAGAACCAGAAAGACCTTATCCTCGTGAATTAGATAAGTTATGTCTAAGCCAGTTGACAGTGCAAGTAGAAGGTTTAAAACAAGTTCAAATACCATCTCCAGAACCTCGACCGTACCCTGAGAAGCCATATTTCACAAAAGTACGTCAATTATGAATATTTGTTTATTGATCAGATATTTGTGATTCACTTCGATTGTGGCTGAAGTGAAAATGGTTATTTTTATTTATTATGTATTGAGATGTATATATAACTGATACTTGCCGTACTGCAATTGATAAAACTTGTCCAATTTACTTCACTGAATATTAATACATGTGTTGAATTCTGGATATTTTTTGTCTAATCCTAATTCATACTTTTATTACAGAAAAAAAAACTTATCAGTATGGGGGTTGTGGAGATTGTTAAGTTTTTGGTTGAGATCATGAATCAATTGATGTTAGACCACCGTTGGAAACCTGGAAGCACTGGACGGCCGTTTCGTCCTAGTATGGGACTCCTCAGCAGTGCGCATCCACGATCCCGCGAGCGGGATTCGAACCCAGGACCTACTGGCTTCGCGCTTCATGGTGGTCTAACATCAATTGATTCATGATCTCAACCAAAAAAAAACTTAGTTTCACTATCAAGATCAATCCATTCATAACATAAATCAGTAATCGATTTGCATTTTTGATTACCCATACATAATATTATTAATTGGATAAGGATATTTACTGTTTTACTACATTCCAAGGTAAATTTTGTCTTGCTTAAAAAACCTTTTGATGAATAGATCGACATATTGATTAACGTGAAGTCTAGTATATTAGTTGATAGGCTAATGAATCCCACTCTCGAATAACCCGAAGGTTTAGGCAATCTTACTCTTAATTCTGTCAATATGACATAGTGAGCAGTAATTCTCTTCGTATGACTTGATGATTGTTTATTATGACCTATGAAGTTAAAAGACAAGTTTATTTTACAAGCATCTGATTATACATGTTTCTTGTGCACTCTGAAATCACAGGATGTTAATACATTTCCGAATGCAACATGATTTTAACACGGCTAACATGAAGACATGAAATTGTCATCAAATCTACATCAAAACGTAGCTATTTTTTCACTTCGGTCATAGTTATTGCTGCTTTAATTTTGTTCAACTAACGTTTCTCAGACTAATGTAACGTGACAAAACACTTAATGTGTTCAAATGAAACGTCTAAACCCATTTCCATCACGTAGAAAAGTGCGACCTGCTTGAGCATCTGGGCTACCTGTTCCTGCCATCTAGATATTTCAACAAGTCATTCATTTTTCTTTGTTTTAATATATCATTATGTTTATGAATTGCATAACCTATTCTGCCGCGTTTCTGAAAATTGTACAACTTTTCATTGTCAAATTTACAAAAAACTCAATAAGAGACAATGTGGTTGCTGGCAATATACAGCGAAAAGAATGCACATTATTCAGATGTTCATTTACTGGACTGTTAACATCTAACTGGCGATCACTCATTATTTATCGCCAGGACCAACCAAGAAGAAAGAAACGGAAATGTGTTGAAGTACTTTGCGCTGGGAATTATATATTGTAACAAAAATATAATATTGAATAAAGCTAATAACAATAATAATTATTATTATTGTTTCATATGTAAGAAACTAAGATGAATTTCAGCTAGAAGTAAACACCTAAAATGCATTTGTATCAAACATTCATTTTAAACTTATTAGAACTTTTGAAGTAGTTTAGTGAATTCTTCAAGAAATCATGTTGAATATCTAGAAAAAAAATTGTAATTAAACTCAATGTTATCTTGTATATTACCATGACATTTACACTAATTATTGTCTTTTCTAACATACATCTTTTTCATATTAGACCTTCAGTCCAGAAATAGAATTATATGAAGGTGAACGATTAATTTTAACAGCTGAAGCTTGTGGCAATCCAATACCATTCATTAAATGGTACCTAAATGGACAACCTTTAGTTGATAGCCCAGATCATCAACAAACTCAAGTTGGACCACCAGTGTCTGATGTGAATGAATTACAACCACATCCAGTAATAATGACAGGACATTTAATTATGAATGAACTATTCCCAGAAGATTCTGGTCTTTACACATGTATAGCAGAAAATATAGCGGGTCAAGCAGAAGTTATGTCTAATATAAGCGTTATAACAAAAAGTAAATGATTAATTTTCCACATTTAAATTTTTAAACTTTCTGAATTGTTAATCTAATAGCCGAATTTTTCAAAGATCATTATGAATTAAAACTAACAAAAGTGACAAGAAGCTTTGTTTTAATATTAATTATATGAATCCAAGTAATCATTTATATATTCCACTGCTCATTCAATGTATGAGCTTCAGTTTAGTCGAATAACAAATCACAACCTCTTTTTTCTACGTTCTATGATTTCAGGACATAACTAAGGTTTGGAAAATAACTGTTAGTCAATCATCTTTTAAGATGCTACTAGTGTGTTTAATTGATGGAAAGTGAAGATACAAATGATTTCAAATAATTTGATTGGAATAGTTTTCATTTTAATAATGGTCAGGATAAGTTTCTTCAAAAGGTGTTTAACGTTTTTGGAAAGACACAACAAATTTAATTTTATGGATTTTGGTAGAGTTTCATCTACTAAGATGGATGATGGTAAATCAGTTGGTGAGGTTGTGAATCTTCGTCGACTGCGATGGTTGGGCTACGTGTTGCTTATGCCTGAACACCGATTACCACGACGTGCAATGCTGACTAGTGTTGGGGGTGGTTGGAAGAAAGTTAAGAGCGGCCAAACTAAAACGTGACAACGGTGCTTCAAGTCATTAACTTTTAGTTTGAGCCATGTTCGTAGATGCAGACTACTTAGTTGGGTTCAGCGTGACTATCGTGACCAATAGTTAGAGACTCCTGGTGACATGGCTCAGAATCGATCACATTGGTATAGGTGTATACACTATCTGTCTTCCCTTAAACTATGAGATTAGAATTGCTTCATATCTTTCTTCCTATGAACTGATTCTTTCTTCATGTACTATATCCTTATATACAATCTTTCTTTCATATATTACCACCACTGAATTAGCTACTTCTATGAATTTGATGTTCATCTTGTTGTGTTATTGAGGTATGGCAACTTGAACCGATACACATATGTTCCTGGTCCTACGTTGTAGCTGACAGATTTACTGACTAACCAAGATTGTTTGTCTACTCGTAAAGCTTTCCGAGTCCTTCAGAACAAGCTTCAGATAGATATGATTTACCTGAATATCTTTACATATAATTGACAGCCTGTTCTATCGATCTTAATCCTGATTTGTTTTTAACAGAATAGCTACTTATTTTGTTATTTATTTAACGAAAAAAGTGTGTAAATTTATTACAATCTTCTTTGCTATATAGATTTATGCTTAGTAATGATTTAATTTTGTTTAAAACTAGCTATAAGCGATACAAAAAAGCCAACTATTCAACCACCGGAGTTTATTAAATTCCCAGAATCTCCAATAAGAGCTCAACTTGATCAAGAATTGATATTAGAAGTAGAAGTTAAAGGTTTACCATTGAATTCATTGAATTGGTATCATAATGGCATGATTGTGCATAGTAATCCGAATCAATTCATTCAAATTATACCAAATACAGGGATTACAAGATTAATTATTCAACAAATTCAACCAGATGATCAAGGAGAATGGTTAGTGACAGCTACAAATCCAGCTGGTTCATGTTCAAAATGTCTTCAAATAATTTGTGAAGAACCTATGTGAGTTTTTATGAGAGTTTTAAACACATCAAATTTTATATTATGGATTTATTTCGATCTCTTCATTGAATGAAAAACTATGAGAAATGCAAAAGCAATTATATCAATCAGTATGTTCCGCTTAAAATACCTGAGTTACCTATTCACTGAACAATTCATCTACATCTTTGTTAAGGTGTATTTTATAACTAGTAACCACAGGAAGTTTTATAACGATTTTTTAAAATCACTCAATCAAAGAATTAATAATCTCCACAACTCAATACTGATAATTACCATGTGCTCACTAGTGACTAGCTTCATGAGGGAATTCTCGAAGTTCTATTGAGAAGCCGTGACCAGTGGAGTCTAATCCGTGTCAAGTAGAGACAGGTGTCTACCTCAGTACAATGGAAAATAGTCGCGAAATTTCGTGGATAGGTTGGGGTAGACATTAACACTGTCGGATGCCGGCCCAATGGTCTAGGGATTAAGCGTTCGCATGCGAGACTGAAAGCCCTGGGTTCGAAACGTGTGAGCGGAATCGTGGGTGCGCACTGGTGAGGAGTCCCACAATAGGACGAAACGGCCGTCTAATGCTTCCAGGTTTTGAATGTTGGTCTAACATTAATCGGTTTATTATCTCAATAAAAAACTTAATAATCTCCACAACCCCGTACTGAATCTAACTACTTGGTACAGTCCTTTTCCCTAATTATGATTCAGAGATAGTTGATTTTCATAAATTTTGTCAAACAATCAATTTTACTCAGGATTTTATTAGGTCATTTTCTCTTTAAGCTTTGATTAAAAAACCAGTCTCAGCTTACTTATCTTCCGCTGAATCATCTTAAAATTGTGTTTGCTTAAAAATTAACGACTTATCTGTAAGTGTTGACTAGACCTCCAAAGTGTTCTAGTATTTTGCTTATTATTCCACTGATAAATATAGCATACCTTAGAAATTGTAGTAATTAAAATTAGTCAAAAGATCAAAATTGTTGAAATTAGTTAGATATTGACATCGTTGGACACCAGATCAGTGGTTCGACTCCCGTGTGTGCGATCGTGGATGCGCATAATTGAGTCATCCTATACATAGGAAGAAACGCCCGTTCATTGCTTCCAGGTTTTCAATGATGGTCTATCATTGATAAATTCATAATCTCAATATATATGAATTAATTTTCAGATTTGTTCTACCAGAGCCAGTTGTTCATACTGAATATGAATTGAAATTAAGTCACCCATCAATGGATACCACCGATTTATCGCATACATATCAACAACAAACAATATTTATACAACCAGAAATGATTCCACCGAATTTCATTGAACGATTTCCTAGTGAACTTCAAATAAATGAGAAGATCCCACTGCATATACATGGCAGAGTTTATGGTCTGCCCAAACCAAGCGTACAATGGCTTAAAAATGGGAAACCATTGTATTCAGATGAAAGGATACATTATCATGTATTGGTAAGTATCAATTGCTTTTATTTTTTTTTCATAGAATTCAATGGTATTCTGTATTCAGGTTCATTAACAGTATATTGATTAATTCCAATATGCTTATCAACTTTAAAAGCAATCCATTAGCATTATTCATTTTATAGTTAGTGATTTCCACCTACTGATATATTCAACTTAAGGGTGGAAGCAAATAACTGTTAATAACATTGACAGACAGGATAACAAAATTTTTCTAATTTGATCATGAAACCTTTCACTATTCTGTACCTGTAGTGAACGAGAACACGGGTGGGGACAAACGGATGTATTTAGCACGAAAATTACAGACTATCTCAATAAAATCTGAATACCATAAAGTCAATCGTCAATTTGCAAATTATCAATGTATCATATCAAACTGTACTGTTTCCGTTGCAAACACTAATCCATTGTCTCCCATTTCATTGTCCATGCGATTTCTTACAAATTCCATTGCGTTCTTGCTCTTCTCCATTTTCTGCTGCCAGACATTACATCCTTTTAACGCACGTTATATACTACTTATGTCAATATAAGTAGCTCACACCACACTCGTCCCCCCCTTTAAAACATTCGTCCTTGTGGTGGTTCATGCTCGCCGTGCAACATTCTCCGTCTCTGCAGTCTGTGCCGCGCTCTCCGTCAAAATGTCGAGTCTGTGGCGCGCTGACTTCCATAGCTCCGTCGACCTGCCAACGCCGCCCCGCCAGAACACTCCACCAGACGCCACCTCTCCGCACCAGACTGCTCCAACTGGCACCTCAACTCCAGGCCCGCAACGGCGTCCGCAGAACAGCACCCTCCTCCTCTCCCGGTTGGCAGCGACACCAAATGTAGTGAACGAGAACACGGGTGGGGACAAACGGATGTATTTAGCACGAAAATTACAGACTATCTCAATAAAATCTGAATACCATAAAGTCAATCGTCAATTTGCAAATTATCAATGTATCATATCAAACTGTACTGTTTCCGTTGCAAACACTAATCCATTGTCTCCCATTTCATTGTCCATGCGATTTCTTACAAATTCCATTGCGTTCTTGCTCTTCTTTTCTTGATCTTCTCCATTTTCTGCTGCCAGACATTACATCCTTTTAACGCACGTTATATACTACTTATGTCAATATAAGTAGCTCACACCACATACCAACTTCTCATTCAAAGTCACAGCATCTTAACCTTCACAGATTGGACTAATTTCTAAGAGGTAGTGTAATGTTCAACTAGTAGGTTACTGGCTCATACTTTACTTCATCAACTTAGCATGAGACTCTTCAGAAATGTGTATGCACAACCTCGTCTTCAGGAGTTAGATACCTGAACCAGCGGTCTAGAAGATAAGCGTTCGCGCATGAAGCCGAATGCCCTTGATCTGATCTCTGGTGGAGTGGTTGTGGGCGCTTACTGGTAAGGAGTTCCATACAAGGACAAGGCATCCGTCCAATAGTTCCTGGATTTTACTGGTCGCCTAAATAAAATCATTCTATAATCTTAACTAAGAAAGTCGAAATATCCCTATATATCCCTTATAATAAAAGTTTGTAAACGTTGAGTTCAACTAGAAGATGATTTTTGTATGATTTCTATATATTCTACTGCCTAAATAATATAGTAATCTTTTTATATATTTATTTTATTTTAACCCTTTTCATTTGTACCTAATGATTTGTAAAATGACTGAAAGTCTCCAGATTATAATACTTATCTTTTTAAAACTAAAGTTTTGCATTCTAGTAACTCTTACGAACAAACTGGGAAGATTGATATCATCATTTGTATGATGTAATAGTAGATAATGTTGTTCAGCAACTAATAATCTATAGTCTTACCATTGAAATAGCAAGTTCATTAACTACGGTATTATATAATTTAGAAATTTTAGTGTTAATTCCATTTTGTTTGAATTTCAAATTTACCTTGTTGATAAATGCTAACTGATACAATTAATTAATTTGATGAATTACCATCGAAATCCTGTTACAATACAACGACATATTTTCAATACTGATGTACGTACGTACGAAGTTCTACGTTGTTACTAACTGACTGACTGACATATTCCCAATAACCTATATCTTAGTGATAAACACATTGTATGTGAAATACTTATGAAACAATAACTAGTCGTAAGTTAGAGGATAGCACTACATTCCACTCGTTGTTTGCTTTCAGACAGTAATTAAAATACCCGAGGTACAGACATTGACATTAGAATTGATTATTTATGTATTTTTATCAGAGAGATATTGAGACCAATATAATTATAAACGATTTTGTTTATCAGGACAATGGTGAAGTGAGATTGGAAATTACAGAACCAACTGAAGCTGATTCTGGGATTTATGTAGCATCAGCGAAAAGTCCTGCTGGAGAAGATCATTGTATTGTTAACGTAAGTAAATTTGTTGATGATTATTTATTTGTTTCCTGATAATTAGAAAAAATCCATTCATCTCTTTTAAGCAATGTGATATCCTCACGTGTACCTTAACATTCAAGAAATGTCGCAATCTTTTTCTTGTAGCTATCCGTTGTACCGCTGTCAAGCGTTGCCCCAACTGGTCAACCACCAGTATTCTGTCGAGGTCCTCTCCCTTGGTCTCCGACAGAAGCTGGTCCGATAATCACCTGTCCTGGTGTGTTAAACCTACAAGAAGGCCAGCCTGTTCGCTTGGAAGCTGAAGTAATCGGGAAACCAGTCCCAACAGTATCATGGTTTATTAATGGTCGTCCGATTACCATGGATAAAACGCACAAGGTAAATACTCCCATATGTTATAAGTACTTTTGACATGAAATAACTAGTTATATTTTAAAACTCATTTCCATCAAAACCTAATATCTATTTGAAAGTCATTGGACAACTGTTTTGATTTTATCAGTCATATCTCAGTGAGGGGTAGACATGACTTCACATGCAATAAAATGAATTATTTTCCGAGAATCCATGAACGCAAACGAAGCGTCTTGTCAGTACCTATTTTCCATGGATTTTCAAGCTTATATCGGTTTATTGGAGAATTATCTTCATATCTTTTAAATGTCTGTAAACCAAATAGTTACATCTACTTTTCCATTCTCTAAACCCTTACCATTTCAGATCGTCCCCATGCGTGCGAATGTATGTTCACTAATTCTAGACACACCCGTATCTAATATTGATTCTGGTGTCTGTAGTTGTATTGCTACTAATCAATTTGGTCAAGCGGAACTTCGATTTAATATACATGTTGAAGGTAAACCACAAACAATTTCACAGTCTCCTCGGTTCATACAAAAGCCACCTACTCAAATAACAGCACCCCTTAATGAAGAAGTTACATTGCATGCAGTTGCAGAAGGAATACCACAACCAGTACTATCATGGCATAAAGATGGAAAGTAAGTTTATTGGCCTATATTAAATACATTGGTTAGATGAAACATATAAGCTTGTTGTGTTAGGAGACAGAAAGTTTATCTTTACTTTGGAAATGTTCATTAGCACTGATGTAAAATGATCTCGACCACGAAATACAAATTTAACCAAATCAACCAATCAAAATTTAGAAAAATCAATATTAATTAAAGTTATGCATCTTAGTGACTCTGACGAACACACTGGGAAGATTAGTATCATCATTTGTATGATGTGATAGTAGATAATGTTGCTCAGCAACTAATAATGTATAATCTTTCTATTAGAGTAGCAAGTTCATTAACCTTTGCTGTAAGAATGATCTCAACAAGAGAAGTGGTTAAATTTTGATTTGTAATTATTAAGTTTGTTCGAGAAAAGTTTACATCCATATCAAATTGAATTCAGTCCAACAGACACAGAAAAAAAGTTCCTTGGTAATCTCCAGTTTAAAAAACCAAATAAGTGTAACTGTTAAATCTAGATTCATATTGTTATACTAAAAGATTAGATAACTAGGTAGATACCGACTTAGGTTCTTTGTAAACTGTTTCTCGAAGTATGTTATTATTTATTATTTAAGCACATAGCCATTGGTACAACGAGGCACCAAATAGATATGTGCCGCATAAATCGTTCGATTTTTGTGAGGGCTGGGATACTACACGGGTGCCAAAACCAACACAGGTAGTTTTCTTAAGGGGCCACACCCAGAGCCTTCGACCTAAATGTTTGATCCACAAGGCATTGGAACAACGTAAGCAGATACAGTCCCATGGTAGCCGGTGACCAACAATTGGTTCATTCACCATTTGTTCCTTCAGGATCCTGGACCCAGCCCATGTACACCATTGGTTTGGAATCAGGGTTTTCCAACTCCCCTAGGTGGAATCTCTGTGTCCACCAACCCGGTTAGAGTGCCGGTCATTCGCCTTTCGTCCTTTCTATTTCGTAAACAACAGTAATGCTGTGGTAAGGCAGTGAGTAGGAGTTTCCTGGCAGTGGTTGTATGTACGTGGCCATGTGAGAGCATTTGGCTAAGGAGGGCTGACCCTCCTGAATCTCGGTCGTACCAGAGCATTTGTGGGTAATGTATATAACTTTCACCGAATTAGCATTTACTAGTTCATCAGTTATAAAAGATGTAATCAAATTTATCAAGTAATAATTCAAGGAAATAAATCTATTCAATAATTATATTTTAGGTTATTCACTGGAACGTCAGATGGTCGCATTCAAATTTCAATAAATGAACTAGAAACAACACTTCATTTTGCAGCTTTACAATCTGAAGATTTATGTACATGGCAGTGTTTAGCAGCAAATATAGCTGGAACTGCTTCAGCAAGAACAAAAATTTCAACACCAAGTAGGTCCAGCTTTTTTGTTGTTGAGAGATAATAAATAACTGTTACATTATTTTTATTGAAGGGATTATATTCATTCAGTAGTTGTTTTTAAATATATTACTCGTAAATATATTCGATATAAATTATTCTTAGTATAGATTGTAGTCATATTGAGTAATGTGTTCTCTAGTATTAATCTGGTTTTGTTATATCCTAGTGAAGATTAAGTTACGAGCAACTTCTGCGATCTATTATTGGACTTCTAAGCTTCACTTTGACCTACAGACTATTATTATAAGATTTGCTGTTTTTCAATTATGTTTAGTTTATTCATTACAGTCTCCAACGTTCAGTCACGTTTTGGTTTGATTTTGTACAAATGTTATTTCTTATTTTATGGTCTGTTTGGCTGGTATATAAACCAAGTATGTTTGAAATAAATGATCCGCATAGCAGAAGCTGTTATTGGCGTTATGGACTCAACTGGATGGGCTAACGAACAAAGGACCGATAAGGACGCTAAGCTGCTCATACCGGTCGAACGTCATTGGTTTAGCACAGCACTAAGATTGCGATTATGCGAATAAATCACACGATAAAAAGCCGGACTTAAAGTCACAACAGGTCCCCTATTTAGGGTCGCGAATCCCCGTTCTGATATAACGTGATTGGTTTTATTAACATCTTAACGTATCATTGTAATATAAGTGTAATAGAAGAAAAATATCGTAAACCATCCGTCACATCAGATGACTTTTCTATTTTAATGATCTTTTTTGTTTATTTCATATTTAGTTGAAGAGAAACCTAAAGAAATAGTTCGAAAGTTTAGTATACCGAAGAAACAACCAGAAGGGTAAGAAATAATTAGTTTGTTTATTTCCCATTAATTATTACAAACGATTATAAGTAGTTTTCTTTAATAGTCTCCAATCTGTGTATGTAGTCACTTAATCAGAAACACTCTCATTTGTCATCTAAATAATATAGTCATCATCACAGTCGTTGTGATGAAAGTCGATTGGGTGTTACGGTGTGAAACTGATTAACAAAAATATATTATTTAAACTCTCATAACATCAATCGAATATAACCGACATGAAAGAATCCCTTATTTTCTATGACCTAATGCATTGAATTTCATTTATAAGTAAAGTACTTATGGTTGATCGGTAATTATTCTAGAATAGATTATGCAATACATCTATATACTTTCTGAAAGGACGGAGTAGGTCTTACAATAGTGGAGGACAAAAGTTTCTAAAGCATTCGAGGATTAAATTCCCCTTATCTTCGAGTTAGGATAAAAGTACTAAACTTTACATGTGAGACCTGATCTCAAAACATACCAGAGAATTGTTCAATGTTTTCTGAATTCTAGTAACTCTTCAGTTAATCCCAACCCATGACTGTTTATTATCACATACAGTTAGTCAACGCCGACAAGCATTGAAACGTAGAAAAAATAAATAAATTAGTAAACTCCGATAAGTAGAATGCATAATTTTAATATCCTCTTCAGTAATACTGATGTCCTAATCTGGCCATTTTCTTTAAAAACTAAGTCATGACTTTATTTATAGCGGTTAATGAATGTTTTTAATTATAATCACACTTTAAAAATAATTTGGATACATTATACTACTTACAAAATGTGAATACTATAATCTACAACAGTTAGAAAGATCTGTCACTTGAAGGGAGAATGTTTGTGTTATGTTCTCTCATATGATCAATTTCTTATTGGATTACATTATTGATGAAAATATCAGACTGAAATGAACTGTTAAGATGTTTACAAGATTTCAACACTTTTTTTTAATCAATTTTTTACTTTCAAATGATCACTTTCTCCAATACAACCAGTGATACACATTATATGTCAATATCCTTTAAACACCAATTTGTAGGCGTAGATTGTATACTGAAAACATGATTTATCTTAGTATAATACTGAACATGTTATAATGTCATATATTCAAAAATGTCCCCAATTCTAAAAATTCCCTCTTTCTTAATTAGAACAAGAAATATAAACAAACAATATTGTTTTTCAATTAGATTTCCTTTTGACTTTAATATAATATACAGTAATATTCACATATATGTATATGGAAAATAGTAAACCAATCAAGACAATTTGTTTTTCAGGCTACAAGAAATAACCTCCCCTTATCCAATAATAATGTCACCACCTCAGTCAGTATGTATAAATGAAGGTGAAAATGCTCGTTTTACAGCTCATGTTGTTGCAAATCCATCACCAATTGTAACATGGTACGTCAATGGCCAACCTGTACCTTCCTATGGAATTATGCCAGCAAAACAACCGGAAAGTGAAGAAATACGATACATCAGTAGATTTGATGGTTTGATTTATTATCTAGATATGCAGAAATGTAAACCTGAAGATGCAGGTGAAATATATATTGTAGCTCAACGAAGTGATATTTCACCGGAATTAGTAAACATTGAACCAAATGCTGTTGTAAGTGCATCTGCTAAACTGGAGGTCATACCAGTAATTGATTTACGTGCACAACTCAAACCAATACCAAGTAAGTTAGGAACTACATAAAAATTTAAAATTAATTGTTTTACACAATTATGAAGCAGGCTTTATACAATAAAAGTGGAAGACATCAGATCAGGCTTACTAGCCTATCTAATAATTGGACACATCCTCTGTCTTAATTAAATACATCAATTGATTTGATTAAAACATTGCGAAAGACAATAAACTTCAGAAAGTCACTGATTTGACACCCAATAAGTAAACTTAATATTTCCACATAAAGCTTTTTGACAAATGATCCCATCATTTTAAAATTCATTTACCAAGTCTTTGTTTCAGCAAATCCAAAATTTTATAAACAACCAGAACCTGAAGGCAATGGATGGCCGTTTCGTCCCAGTATGGGAAGACTCACAAGTGTGCATCTACTACCACGCACACTAGACATAGACCCAGGACCTTCGGTTTTGTGCACGAACTCTCAACCTTTAGACCACTGAGCCAGCATCCTGCCGTGTTAATGTTTATTTTCAATCGATCCATCATCTTGCTCAACCTTCCATCCATTGTCTGAAGTGAATAACTGTCTCCACTCAAAATGGATTGGACTCCATTTTTCATATTAATTAAAATCCAGAAATTTTATCTATGATGACAAAGAGAATTGTTACAATGTCTTAACACTTTAGAAACTAACTTTGTTACACAGGTTTAAGGTTTAGTCAGGAGGAGTCAACAGGTGAAGCACGCATACTTGGTGCTGGAATAAAATCAAAAGACCCTATTATATTTGTCCTGCACTTGTTTTACAATTTAATTCAGTACTTTCTACAACATAGGCGTCAATTATACGAGAGGATGAAGCTTTTTCATAAAACACTACTCATATTTATTTTCAAAGTTTAAATCACCAGTCAATCTAAGCTAGACCACTATTGTAAGCCTGGAAACATTTGACGACCGTTTCGTCCTAGTACGGGACTCCTCAGCAGTGCACATCCACAATCGCGCACTCGGAACATGAACCTCAGTCAGTCAGACAACCACAACGTAGTACCAAGCAAATATATGCTTCTGTTCAACTTGCCGCACCTCATTAGCACGACAAGATGGACAACAAATTCATAGAAGTAGTTAATTCAGTGGTGGTAATGTATAGAAGAAAAATTGTATATAAGGATATAGTACATGAAGAAAGAATCAGTTCATAGTTTAAGGGAAGACAGATAGTGTATACACCTATGCCATTGTGATCGAGTCTGAGCCATATCATTCAGAGTCTCTAATCACTGGTTACGATAGTAGCGCAGACCTCAACCAAGCAGTCTGAATCTGCCAACATGGATCACACTAGTAGACTAGGACTTTCGGTCTCTCGCGCGAACGCTTAACCCATAGACCTCTGAGCCGAGACCCAATTGTGGTAATATCTAAGTCCGATCGATCTATATTTACGCATTAATGCTACAATACCGTGATGGATAGTTTAAGTAAATTTATTAATGACTAGCTCTAACCTATGGTATTCGAAGAAAAATTTTCGTAACCAAACTCAAGTAGTAACTTGGTAGGTAACGTCACGGTATCACGTTCAATCCTAAGTAGTATATATCTAAATTTCAATTGAGATTCCACTCCATGTTTAACATGTATATAAAAAATATGTACATTCTTTTCTTTCTTCCAGAACCATCTGTTGAAGTGATGACTGAAAAAGTTATGCCAACACAAGAAGGTCCTGCAATGCGTGCACCACGGTTCTTGAAATTTTTACAACCCCAAACTGTTCCTGAATCTTCAGAAATAACGTAAGATAATGTTCAATTTGAAGGTTTTTTAAACATTGAGTACAGTTACTATCTCACACTAAATAAACATTGGTGCAGAAATACGTCTGTAATGAATAGACTCTCAAATGATGATATCCAATTCATTGTAATATAAAATTACAGACTTCTTTCCTTAAATATGTAAACCATACGTTCAATACTTCATTTGAAATTTTCCATCAGTTGGCTTAAACTTTATCGTTCCTTCATTGCCATAACAATTACTCACTATTCCCTTTCTCTTCAAACCGTCCTTTCCAACCTTTTGCTACCAGGCATTTTACTTCTGATTGGTGTAACATACTACTTATGTCGATATAAGTAGCACACACCACACATCAAGTTCTTGTACAATAAAAATAAGATTGTTATATATGGTAAAAATTAAAGAGTATTATGATTATAAACTGTTTGTGAAGTTGGGTTTTATGGACATTGTAGTAATTTCAATGGTTGCGATCATGAGTCAATTGAAGCTAGACCACCATGGAAAACCTGGAAGCACTGCATGACCGTTTTCTCCTATTTCGGGACTCCTCATCAGTGAGCATCCACGATTCCGCCTCGCGAGATTCCAACCCAGGACCTACCAGTCTCGCGCGGGAGCGCTTAACCACAAGACCACTGGAAATTCATGAATATTGTAATTGAGATAACTTCTCAAATGTCCAAGTCGTTGTAAATAATCCATTTCACTCACAGTTACACCAATCTGCTCATTTTGGAAACAAAATAAAATTGACCTCCAAAGTATTATGTTGTTATGTTAACTGTAAATCTCATTATATTTTATTCCACTATATATAGGTTTTCAGTTGAATTTGATGGTGAACCAGCACCTGAAGTTACCTGGGCACGTGAACAAGTCGATATAAATAATAGAGAAAACTATAAGGTATGCAAAATATTTACATTTTACAGTAATTTTCACAATTTGGTATAGAATAGATGAACTGTGGATAATAATGAAATCCAAGAAACATGTATCATGTTATTCGAGACTGATAAGCGAGATATATCTGAATCTTAGTGTTGTTTACATTGAGAATTCGACTCAATATCTTACTCTTCTAAAGCTATAGAGCTATCCACTGAGCTACAGAATTCAAATAATCATTCACCTGTACAATGGGTGTAATTTTTATATAATTATTATTAGAAATAGTTTGAATGATCTATAGAATGTCACTTAGTTTAATTTTAAGTAATGTAATTGTGAAATATTCTAAATATCAAATAATATTAGATAATGTCACTGAGTTTCCATGTACTAATTTGTCTTGTTGTTATAACTATTTAAAACATGTAAAATGTGTAACCCACTACCCCATAGTTAAGAAGTACCGATTTGATGATAAGATTGATTAACAGCAATAGCATGCTGTGGGAGTGAATAAACCAGCCTTTAGCTGAAGATGAAATTAGGAAAAGACGATGGAAGTGGATAGGATATAATCATTATGGAAATCCTCACACTGTATCACAAAGCAAGTGTTATGACCTTGGTATGTCTGGGTTTGCTATCACGCGACCTATCTACCAATCCGGATACGACTTATACGAATATTCACACTAGGCCAACCAATGACGTTCAACCGGTGTGGGCAGTCTAGCATCCCTATTGGTCCTATGTCCCCCGAGCCCTTTCACTTGAGTCCAGAACACAATACCAGCTTCAAATCAGAGCAGATCGTTTATTTCAAACATACTCGGTTTATATATCAAACAGACAGACCACAACACACCATAAATTAGAAAATAACATATGTACACAAATAAGCCAAAAAGTGGCTGTGAACGAGGGGGACAGTAATTAATAGACTGAACATAGATTAAGAAACGTAAATCGTACAATAAAAAATTATAGATCAAAATAAAGCTTATAATAAGAGGAATATAAATATACGTAATGTAATTGTTGAATAATTATACAATAAGAATATTTATAGAATATTAGTCTATTAACAATCTTCGGAAGTTACCTGTAACTTAATCTTCACTGGGTTATAACAGCAAGTACTAAATTGGAATCCCGAAGTGAAACGGAAAAGTTATTATAGAGCACACTGACTCAAGAATTCAAAGTAGACATGAAAAGGAAGAATAGCAACTAGAAACAGTTAAAAATAATTACTTAGGATAGAGTTGAATAGACAATGCTGGCGAGTAACTTATGCACCTCCATGAGGGGTTAGAGGTGTATGAAACTAAGTAAGTAAGCTGAAATATATTATTTCCAATAAGTTATTCAATAATCCTATCCTGAAGGTGTAGTATTGTGTACCATATATACCATGTGACCTTTAATATATTTTAAGTTAGAATTAAAAATATATCTTCATATAAAACTACAATCATTTTAGACGGAATTTAACAGTTACTTGAATTGGTATTATCTGAAAAAGTCATTAGAATGAGATACATCGGTTATCTCATTGTTGAGGTTTAGATGAATTGTATGAACTGCTTTGTTCAATACATTCCAAACCTACTTATAAATACTTTTTTTTTCTTTCACAAATAGATAACAACAACTTCTACAACTAGTCAACTTGTTATTTCAAAAGTTCTCTTAGAGGATACAGGGAATTTCTCAGTTACATTACGTAATCCAGCTGGGCAAGCTTGTAGTAAATCAAGGCTTACAGTGACACAAATTAAAGTATCAGGAAAAGCTCCTGAATTCATACCACCATTAATAGAATCACAGATTGTAGAAGCTGGAGAGCCAATTACATTTGAATGCAAGGTTAGTAATATATTTTTAATGTATTTCTTGATTTACTGCACTGAATTACAATTATAATGAAGATTTAATTAACTCTCACTTAATAAAATGTTATAACGGAAAATAAAGTGAATAAATGTATCAATTGACCAAGTTCATATGAACTGGTTAAGTGATGACCAACTTCACTTCTTTCAAATTTCATAATCTCAAATTGACCGTCCAGTACTTTCAAGTTTTCCATTTTTGGTCTAGATTCAATTGACTCATGAACTCAACTATGAAATTATTATAATATCCACAAAAAACCCATTTTCGATAATATTCATAATTGCTATTAATTAATGTTCAGCCACTTGATTACATAATCAATCGATTATTTTAGTTCTATAATTTCTTATTGATATATTTGATGCTCTAAAGTCTTCTCTTGCTTATGATATTTATTTACATTAATATTTATATGTTTTTCGTCTTATTGTGGGACTCTTCAGCAGTGCACATCTACGATCCCGCCTCGAGAGATTCCAACCCAGGATATATCAGTTTCACGCGCGAATGTTTAACTTCTACACTAATGAGCCGGTATCCAACGATGTTAATGTCTAACTTCAACCAATTGCGTGACCATCAACGATTTTGTTTAAGCCTTTCTCATGCAAAAAGTCAAACTCTTCTTTTTTGTTTAAAATCAGTTAACATTTTCTTTTAACTTACTCACTTGGTGATTTCGACTTTGTTTTCAATGTTTTCTCTTTTCTGCCCCTGTTGTTCATATTACCAGAGATGACCCATTTGGTTCGACAATTAATAACTTAACCAGTTAATGTATAATCAAATAGTCTGAAATGTTTCAGATATATATATCACATCTTATAAAACTATCTAAATTTATAAATTTTTAATACTGGTGTTTTGTATAAAGAATAATTATTATTGATTTTAATTTTCTATTTGATTGAAATTTAGGTTACTGGTGAACCAACTCCACAAGTTCATTGGGAACGAAATGGAGAGCGATTACCTCTAAAAGATCTTGAATATATACGCGTATTTGATGCGCCACCGTTTCATACTCTTGTATTATGTGAAACTGTACCAGATGATTCTGCTGAGTATCGTTGTGTAGCAATAAATGCTCATGGACAGTCAGTTTGTAAAGCAAATGTTACTATACAAGGTAATTTTAAATAGAGTCATTGTATATCAATTAAAAAGTACTGAAATTTCATAACAGCTTTTTTACGTCCCCTTTTATCAGATATATATCTTTTAGTCAGACAGTTTAGTTAATAACTCTGGAATGTGAAGATATAGACTGCTGATTCTAATCTCGATGGGGATCTGAATGCTAAAACGCAGAAACACTTAGTTGATAAATCCTAAACACAGAAATCCATGCCCTTTAAATATAATTTCTGTTCATTTCTTGATAAATAAAACAAGGTTGTTGAGGGTTTATAAATACTAGAAACAGCAATGTCAGCTACAAAGAAATTTCATTGTTGCTGAAATCTGAGAGTTCTAATCATATTTTATTAGAAATTCAACATTTGAATATAAAAAATAGTGTGACATTTGTGGTCTATACGAGAATACAATCCAGTGAACAGAAATAGTTAACCGATTATCACAAGGCATAAAAGACTTCTGTTCAATCAGTAGCAGCGTCCTATGTGCCCATTATTGAGTAGATCCATACTATGAGGAAACAGCTGTTCAGTCTGTTATAACTCGTGGTCTCGTGTCTTATTAGTACACAACATAATAATACCGCCAATTAGAAAACGATCAGTCTCCGCGATACAAATAATGTATTTCAAACATACTAGGTTTATATACAAACCAAACAGACCATATCGCACCACAAAATAGAAAACAACATTTATACAAGATCTAACCAGGAGTGGCTGTGAGTGTGTGCTATCAGATTTTAATAATTTAGTTTGAATAATTTATTTCCTGATAAAACATTTTTAATTTTTTCCCCATACAATAATAATAATAAGTAAAACGTTAGTGATTTTGCTCAAATGAAAACCTAACACATAATTTTATTTCTATTTTTACCTCAAAAAGCTAAACCAGCTGCTATTGTCCCACCAAGAATTATTCAAGAACCAAAAAGTGTAACTGTCATGGAATCTCAACCAGTTCAACTAATTGCACTAATAGAAGGTACACCGAGTAAGTAGAAATATACAATTCACTAATATTGATGATTTATATTTTCATATACAGAACATGCCAATTCAATTATACAGTTACTTTGAGGATTTTATCATTAGTTCAGCTTTCATGTACCCATTTAATAAAATCAATAACTTATCAAGTCCACCAATGATTAGTTTATGTCAATAATAGAAATAATCATCAAATACGCTACCAATGTATACCCACGCGAATTCTATCTATCCTAAACTCAATCACAGAACACGAGCAAAGTTACCTGATTTACATCGTATTGTTGAGACTCCAAAACTCACGTGATTATAACATCAGTTATATTATTTTATGCCCTATAAATAACTAGGTCATCTGTAGTACAAGTAACAGGCACAGACTACTCAGTACTAATTTGTGAATGATAGGTATATCAATCGTTAGTGTAATTATTATAAACTAACAATTCGAGGAATATAGGAATATTTGAGATGAAATATTCAGTCCATATACACAGTTTAGGAAATCTTTAAAAATTCCATATTTAACACTTATTCATACTTAATAGATTTACATTAATATTATACACTTTCTAATTACTCACACAATTACCCACATAAATTATTCGATTTGTGTGAGGACTGGGATACTACACGGGTGTCAAAACCAACACAGGTGGTTTTATTAGGGGGCCTCACCCAGAGCCTTCGACCTAAAAGTCTGATCCATAAAGCAATGGAGCAATGTAAGCAGATAAAGTCCCACGGTAGCCGGTGACCAACAATCGGTTCATTCACCATTTGTTCCTTCAGGATCCTGGAGCCAACCCATGTACACCAATGGTTTGGAATTAGTGTTTTCCAACTCTCCTAGATGGACACTCTGTGTCCACCAACCCGATTAGGGCGCCGGGCACTCGCTTTCTGTGAGTAGGACTTCTCTGGCAGTGGTTGTATGTACGTAGCCATGTGTGAGCATTTCGAGAGGTAGAGTTGACTCTCCCCACTCTCGGTCCTACCAGGGCATTTGGAGGCAGGAAGTAATAGATCATAGATCAACCAACCTATTATAAGAGTTAATAAAAAACGTATATCATAAAGACAATTCAATATAAAATAAATATATTCTATTTGCATTGATAATCATAATTCATTTCTCTTGTTTGTTTTTTATATTCAGTGCCAGAAATTACTTGGTTACTAAATAATGAAATTATCAAACCATCACGTTACTTTCTTCCTGAAATTCGACCAGATGGTTATACAATACTTAATATTTCTAGTGTTTATCCAGAAGATACTGGAATTTATACAGTACGTGCTGTGAACTCTGGTGGAGAAGCTCAAGCATCAGCGGAAATCTTAATTTCTGGTTGGTTTATACTTTTACTATCATGTAACCTCTAGGGTATATATGTATGTTGAGTCTTCTGTAAACAGACTCTTTCTTATGACCAAGAATATTTTGATATAAATTGACTAAAGTTACTGTTTCTGTCGATCAATCTAAAAGAAGTACTGATTTATTCATGTGTTTCTCTAGTAAATTAGTTATGTGAAGAGTATAATATGAACAATGTTTATTTCTCACGAGTATACTTTGCATTTCACTATGATGAACCGGTTAAATGTCTATTGATTTAAAGAAGAAAAAACAATTGTCCATTCAGAATTAAGATAAGCTAATTTAAAGTTGCCAACATTGTTTGATAATAAAAACTAACAATCAAAATATCGTGATTCAAATATGATTAGGAAAATATAACACTCAAACTTTTGTAAAATGTTCACTATTCTAGGTATGATGAATGTTTGTCTATTGATTTTATCAGTTGAATCATTAATTGATTTTATGTTACAATACACTTATATACTTACTCTTGTTACTCCTCATGATGAAGCATCAGCCACACACAAGAATTCTTCAACCAACTCTATCATCGACAAACCTTTAAACTTGTTTTTAGTTGCTATTCATCCTTTACATGTCTGCTTCTAATTTCCGACGCAGTGTGTACCTAGACCTCCGTATTGTTCGTTTCCCTTCAGGATTCCAAGTTAGCGCTTACCTTGTGATGCAGTTTGGTAACTTCCTCAATATGTGTCCTATCCACCTACAACATCCTTTCCTAATTTCCTGTTCAGCTGGAAGTTGGATTATTCTATCCCATAGTAGACTATTGCTGATTGTATCTGGCCAACGGATATTGAGTATCTTAAGTAGAAAAATGTTTAGAAATACTTGTACATTTTGATGATTTCTGTGGTAGTTCTCGAAGTTTCAGCTCCGCACAATAGAACCGTCTTGACGTTCGCATTGAAGATTGTGACTATGATATTGGTTGACTGGTTTATGAAGTTCCATTTGTCCTGCATCTTTAGGAATAGTGTTCTTGCTTTGCCAATCCTCTCCTTTGCATTTGTATCAGATCCTTCTTGTTCATCAATGATGCTACCCAGATACGTGAAGGATCCCACCTCTTCAAGAGTTTTTCCATCAATTGAGATTGGTTTGATGTTCTCCGTGTTGTATTTATAGATCTCGCTTTTTCCCTTATGTATGTTGAATGTTATAATACAAGTTCGGTAAAAAAAAATTATGGAATTTTCTCATTTGTATTATATTTTAGCTCCATTACAAACTGCTCCACAATTTGTGAAACCTTTACCTACTGGGACATTAGAAGTAAAAGAAGGTGGAAGAGTATTCTTGGAAGTTCAAGTTTCAGGCGAACCTATACCTCGAATTGATTGGTATCATAATGGTCAATCTTTACAATCGGGACCAATTTGGAAAGTAAGTGAGCCATTTATGTTAATATTATTTGGATTCATGAAAAAACTAATTCCTACTTGTTCTACGTTATTGTACTGACGACCAATCCCTACACATCATTATCATGGGATGATACAAACAAACAAAACCAAGGGAATGAACAAATTTATAAAAATTTTGTATATTCACAATTTCAGGTTAAAACTGATAGATATACTTCACAACTTGAATGTAATGTAATCTCCATGAATGATGGTGGTGAAATTCTTGTCAGAGCAACTAATTCAGTTGGTCAAACAACTACGCAAACAAAAGTGGTGATAATCCGATCAGGTATGTTAATAATTAAGTTTTCTATGTCACTAAGCTTTTTTTCAGAAATAAGTACAAAATATTCATAATCAATAAGATTTCCACTCATTCATAAACTACAGAGTTCTAAAATCAAAAACACTAGTTATCCAATATGTTGTCAAGTTACTCTTAACTTTCGATCTGTCTAGTTCACCATTATTTTTTAATACTTCTCCAGTCAGAGACGTTACCATTGAGCTATCCAAGCCGCGACTGACCATCCGTAGGATTGAGATGTATTTACAATTGACCTTATCTCAACATAATTTAATCTAGACAAATGTTAAAAATTCCATTGAGTAACTTCATTCAGCTGAAAACAAGTATTTATTTTGTTTAAAATTCCCTAATAGGACCCAAACCAACTCCACCAGTTTTTCAAAAACGTCTTCAACCTCAAGTAAAGGCACCAGAGCATCACACTGTCACGTGAGTTATTAGTTAATTGTAATTTGTCATAGCAGTCATTGTATCTTCATTTTTCACACTTGTTACGACTTTTTCTAACCTTTCTATGACTCCTTTAACTCAGATAGTGTTTGTAATAGATAGTTGATTGTTTACACAGCACGACTTGTAAGAACGCCTGGGTAACCGAACGAGTATCTCGCACTATTTTATATTGTTCAAACTGAAAGATTATTTTAATATTTATTCGTAATATCTAAGGCCATGAAATATCGTAATTAGTATATCGCGGTACGGCCCCCAAATGCCCTGGTAGGACCGAGAGTGGGGAGAGTCAACTCTACCTCTCCAAATGCTCTCACATGGCCACGTACATACAACCACTGCCAGAGAAGTCCTACTCACGGAAAGCGAATGTCCGGCGCCCTAATCGGGTTGGTCGACACAGAGAGTCCATCTAGGAGAGTTGGAAAACACTGATTCCAAACCATTGGTGTACATGGGCTGGCTCCAGAATCCTGAAGGAACAAATGGTGAATGAACCAATTGTTGGTCACCGGCTACCGTGGGACTGTATCTCCTTGCATTGCTCCATTGCTTTGTGGATCAGACTTTTAGGTTGAAGGTTCTGGGTGAGGCCCCCTAATAAAACCACCTGTGTTGGTTTTGACACCCGTGTAGTATCCCAGCTCTCACACAAAACAAATGATATTTGTGTGGTGCATATATGTATCTGGTACCCCCTTGTACCGATATTTATGTGCTCAAATAAATAAATAAATAGTACTTGCATACCTAGACTCTGTGATACAAGACTGGACAAAAGGTTTATCATTATTTGTGAGTGTTAAAATATATTCAAAAATGAACAATATTTGAGCGAACAATTGTTTCCAATGTCTTCATCATCAGCCTCTATAGTTATAAGTCCATAATGATTGTGATATTTTTACAAAGGCCAAAATAATGCATGACATTAATGAATTTGACAATGTTATATGTTATAAATGTTATGACCTTGAATCGCTTTACCCCGTGATACTTGTTATGACTCGACTTTGATCTGTCTAGATTTAACTATGACCTTGACGCGATAGGGTGAGCGGCTTAACCTTGAAGTCTATCACGCGTGAGTTCGAGATGGGGTAGAGAGATAACTATTCTAGAACCTAATTGGTTGGCAACCACGCAAGTGAGAGAAGACAAGACAGTTGGAACACTGAACTCTGAATTATCTGAATTCGGATTAATACAAAAATGTACATGAATAAATAACTGAATATCCTGACCACAACATACGATAATTTGGAAAAATACAGTTATGCCCGAAACAGGGAATTAGAGTAGAAAATACAGTGCAAAATATTATGTTTAAATTACAATATTTTCGGAACCAAAAAGAGTATGCTAGTGAATGATACATAGAACGAAAGCTCATGTTATGTAGAATAAGATAGGGACAAAAATAAATATAAGTGTTTTACAGGGTTTGAATGAAATGCAATAACGTCCCAAGAAAATAGCTTTCGTGATTATCTGGGCTTCTTAATTCTCCGTTCATAACAATAAATGGTAAACGTTTGCATCTGTTACGATATATCTATATACTTCAAAATTGTGTTATTTGCAAATTAGATAGGTCACTGAATGATTTGGAGTAAAGTGTTCAGTCACGATCAATAGAATAGTAATATAGCACAAATGAAAACGCGAAAAAATCGTGTGAATAAAATACATAGTAGGAGAATTTCATCTCGTCAGTTGAGATAACAATGATAATGATGATGATAATAATAATATTGTTGTGTGAATATAATATGTAACAAGGGGGGTGGTGTTATCAAGGTAATTACGATAAACGAATTGGGAATGATGGATGTGAAGATTAAAATAGATATAATAAAAAAAAAGAGACGGACAGTTAGATTACGGCATCTCTACATAGCTGAAGGCATCTGGATCATCCTCTAGAAAACCAAACTTATGTATGCAGAAAAGGGTATATTCAGCCTCTACGAATGGATTACCGGTTACCTAAACTGACTATTAGAAACATCTTACCCCCTCTTTTTTATTGATCTTTACATCCATCATTCTTAATGCACATGAATTTTTTTATTATTATCGTAATTGCCTTGATAACATCCCTCTTATTACGTAGTATATTCATACAACAATCTTATTATTATTATCTCAATTGACAAGATGAAATTCTCCTATTATGTATTTTATTCACACGATTTTTTTGCATTTTCATTTTTGCTATGTTACTGCTATACTGATTGTGACTGAACACTTTACTCCAAATCATTCAATGACCTATCTAATTTGCAAATAATACAATTTTGAAGTATATATATATCGTAACAGATGCAAACGTTTACCATTTATAACATATAACGTTTGTCAAATTCATTAATGTCATGCCTTATTTGTGGCCTTTGTAAAAATATCACAATCATTATGGACTTATAACTATAGAGGTTGATGATGAAGTCATTGAAAATCATTGTTCGCTCAAATATTTTTCATTTTTGAGTAAAAATATATTGCAACGATCATTGTGTCGAATGGTAACTTCCAACTAAAGTTACGTCCTTGTTCAATAAGTCCGAATTAGTTGTTTATGTACTGAATTCTCAGAGAATAACTTCCAAAGTTAAGATGGTGAAGGGTTGTAGATCAGGTGGATGATTTTTGATGGAGTTTTGCTCTCTGAGCTAGATGGTTTGGTCGCGGAGCTTTCATCGTACTTCGGAACGACATCGCCAGCACAAACTTCAGATGAAAGCCCCATGACCAAACCATCCAGCTCAGAGAACAAAACTCCATCAAAAACTTCCAAAGTTTCACATTTCCATGTATTTTGCACGTCTGAATAATACTAAAGTGTAGCAACAACCATTTTGTTTCGATTTTGTCTACACACACAGTACAAAGTACATTAAGTATAATAGTGTGTAATCGGGCGGTTGATTATGATCTTTATACAATCCGTCGTGAAATCACTAATCGGTACATCATAAAGATAAGCCAAGTACCTGTAAATATATTTTGTATTACCTTAGACTCAAAAGTTCACGGGATTACGTATACAAGATGCGAGACTCTAATGAACCATAAGTAATAAATATCAATATGCATATACATAACTGAAGCATAAAACAGGTGATAGTTAGTTAACTGTAATTTATGGACAGAAAAAGATATTTTAACGCAATGAATCAAATGAAAGCTTATAGTCAGAATAATATAAAATTACTGTCAACCGATAGCTTAATAACCAACATATAAAATATACAAATTGATTCTTTCGGAAATACATTTGCAAGTCTGATCATTCCCTTTCCAAGCTTCGTTTAAACAGGTTTGTGATAATGCATAAATTAGACGAACTAATCGATAATCATATGGTTAGTTTAATAGGCTGATAAGTGAATACACCCCGTTTATGTTCACACTAGAAGTAAATAAATTCAACACTTGATTTCAAATCTTGTTAGCTTGAATCCGTTACCTCAGCTTATTACCAGTCTATGATATCCGAACCTCACTTCTTAAAATGGCTAAGACTTAATTAATTGGTATCATGGAAGCGGAAATGAAGAGGATGAATAGCAACTGGAAAGAACTGGAAAGGGTTGTCCAGGATAAGGTTGGATGTAAAGTGCTAGTTGGCTGCCTACGCTCCTCCACGAGAGGTAACAGGAGTAAGTAGGTAGTAAGCAGTATGTTTTTTATCCGACAACCTTTGTCGTATGGATACTCAACTTTCCGGTATTTAGTTAAAACCGTTCTTATGGCATGATGTGACTAAACTATGTAGTGTGACGACTTTTGACAAAAGGATTGTTCAACGACATGGAAGATAAATTAAGTGTTAAACCACTTCAACTCGATTGCGAACTCTCATATATGTAGGAATGACTCTTAAGTTACTTTGTTGAGCATTTAAATATTTCAAATATCTTTTTCAATATTTAGGTTCGAATGTTCAGTAAATGGATGTCCGGAACCAACTTTACGATGGTTTCATAACGGTGTAGAGTTCGAACCAGTTTTAATATCATCCTTTTCTCATGAAATGGCTGCTAAGAGAGAATTATATATTGATGAGGCAACACATACATATACGTTATACATACATGATTTAAACGCTTTTGATGTTGGAGAAATTATGGTGCGCGCAGAGAATGAACTTGGCGTAACTATGTGTAGTAGTGTATTAGAATTAGAAATTCTTGATGGAAAAATTGTTGAACCACGTTTCATACGTCAACCACCAGAAAGAATTGAATTACAACCTGGAGATAGCGCTCAATTAGAGTGTGAAGTGGAATCAGAACCACCTGTTACATTTAAATGGTATTTAAATGGATTACAATTAGATCAGTCAAATAAACGATTTAGAGTTCTTGAAGATGTAAATCGTACAACTCTTATAATTCCATCTGTTCAACAAGATATTCTTCCTAGTGAAGTGACTATTGAAGCCGCTGGTCAAACTGGTACAAAGATTGTAACATCTTCAATTCTAGTAATGACAGCTAAAACAGATGATTTATCAGTACCTGAACCACCAGAATTACGTTTTAGTCGACAACTTCCATCAAATTTAGCATATAGTGAAATGGATGATACAATAATTCTTGATGTGGAAGTTGATAAACCAGAAATATCATCAATTGAATTACCTAAACCTACATTTAGTTGGTATATGAATGGAATAGATATATTTTTATTACCACCTGATAAGAAACCTGAACGTTATAATGTTTCACAAGATAATCCATGGCATAGTCGATTAACTATTAATAAACCTGGTACATGGGATTTTGGTGAAATCACTTGTTTTGTAACACGTTTAACTGATAAAAAAGAAGAAAAAATTTATACTTCATGTAATCTTGAACTTACTTATCAACCAATTAAACCAGACGAACAATCTAAACCAATTATATCAAAACTTGAATTTGCACCACAATTTATTCAAGGTTTACCAGAAAAATTAACACCAGAAGTTGGATCAACTGTTGTAATGGATATTATATTAAAATCAAATCCAATACCTGATATTCAATGGGTAATAAGTTCACCATTAACAGCTGAACGATTTGAATATTTCGGTCCAGAACAAATTGATGATGAAACATTACAATATCGTGCTATATTACATAATTATCAACCTGATAAAGATGATAATACTATGTTACAAATGATTGCCACCACATCACTAGGACAATCTACATCAATATGTCATATACAACCAATAGAACAACAAATTGTTAATATACAATTTGCTAAAACATTAAATTCACAATTAGAAGTTGTATTAGATCAATCAATTGAATTAGAATGTTCTATTATACCAACTAATATACCAATTGAATTTCGTTGGTTTATTAAAGGTGTAGAAATTACTGCTGAACATATACCATATGAAATAAATACTACTGATTTTACATCTATATTAAAAATTCCTAAAATTAATTCTGAATTGATTGGTAGTACTATTAGTGTATCAGTATGTTCTCCATATACTAATGAATTAAAAAGTTCTTGTGAATTATATACAATATCTGAATCTAATTTACCAATTATTGAAGATATAATTACTGAATTACCAACAATTCCAGAGATGTTAACAATTGAATCAAAAATAATTGAACAAGAATATGAATTTAGTTTTATTAAACCAATTCATTATGAATTATATCAAAAATCAAATGAAGAATATACTTTAGAGTAAGTTTAAATTTAAGATAAGTCCACCTTTGAAATGTCCAAATATTATTTTCTTTTAAGATAACAGATTATTGGTTTCAGCGTGGAATCCACTCATCTATTTGGATTAATAACGTCTTGATAATTTATCTGATGTCAATTCGTGATGAAAAACCTTAAATCCAATTTCTAATTTTAACCATTAACTGTGAATCATAATCCTTATTCTTTAAGCTACTTTATAATCTTTATTTAGCATTAGTTAGTAGGTAGACACTCTCAGGTCACTTTAGCGTCGCTCAATTGTCGTTCATAAACTATAGTCTCACTATTAAAGAAATATGAGGTGCATTCAGTTACCAATTTTAAGAATGATCAAATCATTTACTTACTTACTTACTTAACTACCTACTTACTTACTTGCTTACTTACTAACTTACACCTATTACAACTCGTGGAAGGGCATAAGATTCCCTCCACCACTCTCTATCCGACCTTTTCCAAGGCAATCCTTTTCCATTCTTTCGCAGTTGTCATTCTTCCTCTACATGTCTGCTTCTAATTTCCGACGCAGTGTGTACCTAGACCTCCGTATTGTTCGTTTCCCTTCAGGATTCCAAGTTAGCGCTTACCTTGTGATGCAGTTTGGTGACTTTCTCAATATGTGTCCTATCCACCTACAACATCCTTTCCAAATTTCCTGTTCAGCTGGAAGTTGGTTTATTCTCTCCCATAGTAGACTATTGCTGATTGTATCTGGCCAACGGATATTGAGTATCTTAAGTAGACAATTGTTTAGAAATACTTGTACATTTTGATGATGTTTGTGATAGTTCTCGAAGTTTCAGCTCCGCACAATAGAACCGTCTTGACGTTCTCATTGAAGATTGTGACTTTGATATTGGTTGACTGGTTTATGAAGTTCCATATGTTCTGCATCTGTAGGAATAGTGTCCTTGCTTTGCCAATCCTCTCCTTTACATTTGTATCAGATCCTTCTTGTTCATCAATGATGCTACCCAGATACGTGAAGGATTCCACCTCTTCAAGAGTTTTTCCATCAATTGAGATTGGTTTGATGTTCTCCGTGTTGTATTTAGCATATTGCTTCGTCCTTTGTGTATGTTGAGGCCTACTGATGCAGAGACTCCTGCCACACTAGTTGTCTCCATCTGCATTTGTTCTTGTGTATGGGATAGGATGGCTAGGTCATCTGCGTAGTCCAGATCGTCTAATTGATTTTGAGCTGTCCATTGTACTCCGTGCTTACCCTCAGATGTCGAGGTCTTCATAATCCAGTCAACCACCAGAAGAAAGAGGAAGGCAGAGAGTGAACAGCCTTGCCTGACTCCGGTTCTTAATTGAAATGCATCTGTCAGCTGAAGCAAAATATAGCTTGGTTTTCTCGCTTACGAATGTCTACCGTAGATATCCTCCCCGTGCACACTTTACGAGAAAACAACGCAACTCAGAGCAAGAACACGTGACTGGTCCGACTAGAACGTATATTTTCACTTCAACAACCGATAATAACAAATAAGGACAAGGGCATGAAAATATATACCACTTGTATTACTTATCAGATTATCTACTTGTTTGACAAAGTAAACAACCAATCACTACTTTCCTCACCCATACATTATGAAGTTTGTTTAGAGTTGGTGATTTTACGTTTGCTGTTTGGTCGAGATTATGTTAGTTCATCTAAAAACAGAAATTTCAGGTTTCAGCAGTAAGGAAAACTTAAATAAGTGATCACTATTGTTACTTGGAAATCTAGTATATATTGTTCTGACGTCTGATATTTGATTTAAGTATTATAATATATATTAGTAAAGATCTGGGTAAGGACAGTCGACTCTAAAATATGACTGAAAAATCTAACTGCCGTGTATTTTATTCTACTCTTAACATACCGTCAAATGAAAGTTAGGACGATAGGCACTCACTATACCTGTGCAACATACCTAAGTGAATAAGGGTAAACAAGGTGTTCAGATAAATTACATTTCTTTAAAAACTCAACAATAAGACTGTCCTACGTATATTACTATCAGCACTCATAAACGACATTGTAAAGATTGCTCAGCAATCTATTTTTAAATGATTGATTTCCATCTAATAGGTAAACAACTAGTCCTTAACTTTGGTAAGTTTTGTATGTTGTATTCGTTGCTGATTTATCTTAGCCATAGCACCATCGAGAACTAGGATGTATTGAAAAGCTGTCTCGTTTTAGTATGGGGCTACCTAGAATTACACACCTAATCAGGACCTTCATTGTCCACAGTCAACACTTAACCACTAAAACCACCAGGTTTGTACCCATGCGTAAATTCCCAACTGTCCGTCTAGTGCTTCCTGATTTTTAATGATGCTTCAACTGAAATCACTCAGTAACAAATACAACTTTTAAACTAAGCTAATTCTTAATGTATTTTAATTATTTATCATTAAACATTTAGATTAGAATGTCAGTTAATAACAGATCAACAACCAGCGTCTATTAAATGGAGCCATGAAGGTACTGAACTAAATATTTCTGATCGTATCGAACAGGTCTATGAATATGAAAGTGGCTTAGCTATACTAATTATACATAATATTACACCTCAAGATATGGGTGAATACACTTGTACTGCTACACAAGCTCATCTTCAACCTTCACAAGTTGAACCAATACAGAAAACAATCAGTACGAGTACTGTTGTGGATATAGAAGGTATGCTACAAAATTACAGTGATTACTTAAATATTGCTTAATGACAAATTTCCCGTTTATTACAAGTATATATATGGTCTGGAATAGGCTGACATCAAGTTAATAACATAGGTTGTAGTGACTTGATAAATCACTAACCATAAATTTCAATTCAGTTAACATGTTCTCGAACTAATCCCAGTTACAAAGTAGTGAAAAGCAACAAATCATTCTCCATACTCAGTACTGACTTAAGTAGACTTATCTCGTTAAAAAAAACCAAGTACAATTAATAAGGATAACAAAATAGTTTATTATAAAATTATTTTAATATTCATGGGTAATCACAGAATTTAATGTGCAACACGTTTCACAGAAATTAATTGTGAATAACAGAAAGGGATTTTTATGGATATTATAGTAATTTTAATAGTTGGTATCATGAGTAAATTGAAGCTAGACCACCGTGGAAAACCTGAAAGCACTGGACAGCCATTTCATCCTGGGTTTGAATCTTACGAAACCGGGTCGTGAACGCGCTGAGGAGTCACACGATAGAACGAAACGGACATCTAGTGCTTCCAGGTTTTTCGCGGTGTTCTACCTTAAGTTGACTCATAATAGTAAATAATCAGAAGACTTGATGTAACAAACGAAAATACAAACCTACAACTAAAATTTAGTGAAAATATTCACCAGAATTACCTGGTTTAAATAGGGAATGGTAAATATGACAGTGTCAATTGAAACAACTAGTGATTATTTAAATATCATAATTATAACCAAGAAGAGAACTTCGTTCCCATAAGAAAAATAAGGTAATTTAAGTAATTTCTAAGAGAGAAAAAACAATATTCATAGAGTTCAAAACGTAAAAATTAATATACAAACAAAAATAGATAAAAAAGATTCACAAAAATTCCAACAACATGGGAAGCATGGATGTTATGAATTGAATTGTGGGTACTTTTCAGCACATTCCGTTTGACGGTGATGAACATGCTATTCACATCCGCATAGCGGGTCCAAATAGTTGTCTTGATCAATGGTGAAATTAAATCTTCGAGTCTGTGCACTAGCTCTTCCACAACGAGTCTGGGTATCAGTGATCTAATTTATATTCTTTTTGTCTGTACCAATACTTGATTATTGAATTGGACACACATTGTTAGTCTCAGATGGATGAGCTCAGATATCGATTATTCCTCAGTGGTTTGGGAGTTTTCTATTCACGTTGTTAGAAGGCAGTTAGCCTTTTGTTTTGTTTTACGATGGTGATTACAGCGAACAACGAGGGAATATTGGTGGACAGAAATTGTGGTCTGGTCACGTTGTTGGTGTGATTGGTTGAATGTTCAGTGTGAATGTGTGTGTGTATGTGTAGAGATTAGTGAGTTTGCTATTCACAACACACAAGCACATTTGTCAAGCAGTCAATCAACCAGTCGTTGGACAAACTCCACTTAATATACCCCTTATTATAGCTTGATGATTAGGTTGAAATGTGTTTTCGCATAAATCTGCCAGTGATTTCTTCCATCTTGTAATGTGATATAAACAATGTGAATAAATTTCAATTTGTTTTGTTCTTTGAAATCAGTTCCTGAAACGACAGAAGTTGTGCCAACAGTAACTGAGAAGGTTCTCACCTTCTTACAACCAGTAACACCGAATATCCACACTGTACAAGACCATAAGGATCTTGAGTAAGTTATCGTCTTGCGTTTATTTTTTTCTCTTGTAATATTGATGATGACGTGATATCGAATAATATGCAGTGTAATAGAATCGTGGCTTGAGACACCAGTTTTCATTTGTGTGTTTGACTAATTTGTGTAAATCGTAAGGAGAACAGCCATCCTTGGAAGAAAGTTCATACAGCCATTAAAAATTGCCTATTGAATTGACTGGAATGTGAAAGTGCTTGATTGAAACCACCAAAACATTTTGGATGATAATGTGACCAACCGAACCGAACTGACCTGACCTGAACAATACTGACATATGCAACATCTAACCGAACGCGTTTTTGTCGTTGATGTGGGATATGTAAATGGTAATTATGATAAGTGCGAATTTAAAATTGAGTGAGAATTTCCTTGGTTGATTGATAAGTTGTTTCAAACAGCTCACACAAGTAATTGGTTAGAATTGGATAGATTAGTTGAGACACTTTATTAGTGAAAATGAACAATGTAGAAATGTGTTGTATGTGATGAGTAGGAGCAGTGACCAGATTGTGTTTCGTTCGTATATGAGGTTCATGGGACAAATGGATATGCATCGATGTTGATTTTTACGATGCACTTCGAATCTAGTATTTATCATTCAACTATGTGAATTTCAACTTCATATATGTCTATTGAAATATATATGTTGCACAGGACGTGTATGATGTTGAGTTCGATCTCAACTGAATGTTGATAATTAGTGAATGACGAATGCATTGACCATTAGGTGCCTAGTCTCATATTACACTGTTATCAATCGGAATGTCGAAAACATGATGCATTGAAACATAAACGAGTATTCCATTATTATATTTATTTGTAGACTGGAATGTCAAATTCAAGCAGATTTAAAGCCAATTCAAGTTGTCTGGGAAGTTGATGGCAAGGAATTAACTCAATCTGATCGTAATGAAATGATCTATTTTGAAGATAGTGGAGTAGCTCGTCTAATAGTACACCAAGTGGTTCCATCGGATTCTGGTGAATACACTTGCAAAGTTCATGGTGAGGTGATTGAAGCTGAGACCAAACAACAATTGACCAAAACAATTTCATCTGGCTCAATTGTTACAATTGAAGGTGAGTGAAATGAACTAAGATGAGGTGATAAGCAGTTAATAAGAAGTAACTTAACAGTGATTTCCAGTTTCTACCACTTCTCTAGATCATTTGGACTTGTGAAAAATTGTGTTACAGTGAGACAGATCACGAGAATCACTTAATTGAACTTTCAAAATTTGTGTTGTGAGAGGGATTTCACCGAGTATATTGATTGACCACGTTAAGTGGTGGTAATCACTGATAATGCTGAGTATACTGGATTGCTCACGTTAAATCATCACAATAGCCACTTACTTATCATCTCCCCCTTTCACCTGATTCCTGAAATCATTGTTGTTTATCATTGTTTTAATTAGTTAATAAATTGTATCTCTTACTGTGTGTTAACTATTTGGTGAATGGGATGCAGTTGAGCATCTAGAAACGTTCCGGTATATTTAGAGTTGACTGAGTCAAACATTAGAAAGATTTCGCAGTCGAAGTTGTGTGCACAGTAGTCTACACGAACGAATTGATGTTGTTTAAGATAAGTGGTGACTTTTGATAGGTATGAGATTTGCATTGATATAGGCGAATGTGAAGAGGAAGAGGATGACCACTTCACTGATGTGATGTTGTTTGCAGTCGGAACAATCAGTTTTGTGAATAATATTTGCATTATCTTCTCGTACTGTTGCCTCCTCTGATTTAGACGGCAACGATTGGAGTGATTCTTTTAGCTTGTGGATCACGCCTACTGCTAACAGCCACGAAAATCTTGTTGTAATCTATGATATGAATTTTATATCTGAAACGACGATCCGTTTGTTGGAGTTCACACCTGATTTCGTGTCTAGTGCTGAATGTGACAAGCATTTTCTGATTGAATAGGGTTTTTAGCAATCCTTTACTCCAAACAATAATCATTAGGTACACTTTTCATGTCTATGTCTGGTAGGTAGTTGTACTGCAGTGTATCTTCACCCTATTGAATAGGCCTTGAACTTAGTTGACCTTGTGAGTGTCTGATTTGTTACAATTGTAGTCGATAGTTTGGTGTGTTTGCGTTGAGTTGCGAAACACCAGATTTTTCAGTCCTGTATTGATTCTGGTGATCGGAACGTGAAGGAAGGTTAGTTAGTTGTTCGCCTGCATACCCATTGTGAATTTTATGTCATCGAAAATGTTATTAATTGAATTGTGGGTACTTTTCAGCACATTCCGTTTGACGGTGATGAACATGCTATTCACATCCGCATAGCGGGTCCAAATAGTTGTCTTGATCAATGGTGAAATTAAATCTTCCACAACGAGTCTAGGTATCAGTGATCTAATTGACATTCCTTTTGTCTGTTCCAACACTTGATTATTGAACTGGACACATATTGTTAGTCTCAGATGGATGAGCTCAATAAATCTTTGACATTAGTTCTTTGTGTGATTTTGAATTTTTTACATTGCTGATTGACTGGGTTGTATACAGTTAATTATTACTATTATTATTATTATTATTATTATTATTATTATTATTACTATTATTATTATTATTCGCTTGCCACGTTTAGTTCAAGTCACCTGAATAAGGCTATAATGTCAAAAAAATACCATCAGTGTGCCACTGCATTTATGGGCATTCCCAGCCAAACCCTTATGTTGTTTGGAAGGATTGATGGAGTGGTCGTCGAATTCCACTGGATGTTTTAGAGTTGTTGACGTTTCTGTTGACAGATTGTATATATTTGTGTGTGGATCATAGGTAGTGAGACAGTTAAGTGTAGGGGAATTCTTGGTGCATGTGTTATCGGAACCATTGGAGAACATTTCCAGTATAATGTGTTTGCCATAAGTCCTGTGTCGTTAATTGGTCTAACATGGTGAGTTATTGCGGTAGGTCCTATCAACACGGTTATCCAGATTCTTGAAAGGATTTATTTACACTGATAAGTACACAATTCAGTTCTCCAATAGCTCCTCAGTCATCCTGATGTGTTTTCCTGTGTCCATTTATGTATATATTTATATATATATGTATATGTATTCTGTCATGATTATGTTCTCATTTATGAGAGAGAGATTCTTTAAAGCCGTCTGTTGTATATGGTTGAGTGGAACGTACAGCCGTGTTATTGTTGAGTCTGTCGGTTTAAGACATTTGTAAAAATACTGTTAAGGCTCTATATATAGAAAGAAACATGGTGTAATTTGAGAAAATAACTAGTGTTTAGTTGATGTGGAGTGTCCGATCCACTAGAACTACATCTAAGCCGTTATCAAAAGTGTTATTTGCAGATATCGATTACTCCTCAGTGGTTTGGGAGTTTTCTATTCACGTTGTTAGAAGGCAGTTAGCCTTTTGTTTTGTTTTACGATGGTGATTACAGCGAACAACGAGGGAATATTGGTGGACAGAAATTGTGGTCTGGTCACGTTGTTGGTGTGATTGGTTGAATGTTCAGTGTGAATGTGTGTGTGTATGTGTAGAGATTAGTGAGTTTGCTATTCACAACACGCAAGCACATTTGTCAAGCAGTCAATCAACCAGTCGTTGGACAAACTCCACTTAATATACCCCTTATTATAGCTTGATGATTAGGTTGAAATGTGTTTTCGCATAAATCTGCCAGTGATTTCTTCCATCTTGTAATGTGATATAAACAATGTGAATAAATTTCAATTTGTTTTGTTCTTTGAAATCAGTTCCTGAAACGACAGAAGTTGTGCCAACAGTAACTGAGAAGGTTCTCACCTTCTTACAACCAGTAACACCGAATATCCACACTGTACAAGACCATAAGGATCTTGAGTAAGTTATCGTCTTGCGTTTATTTTTTTCTCTTGTAATATTGATGATGACGTGATATCGAATAATATGCAGTGTAATAGAATCGTGGCTTGAGACACCAGTTTTCATTTGTGTGTTTGACTAATTTGTGTAAATCGTAAGGAGAACAGCCATCCTTGGAAGAAAGTTCATACAGCCATTAAAAATTGCCTATTGAATTGACTGGAATGTGAAAGTGCTTGATTGAAACCACCAAAACATTTTGGATGATAATGTGACCAACCGAACCGAACTGACCTGACCTGAACAATACTGACATATGCAACATCTAACCGAACGCGTTTTTGTCGTTGATGTGGGATATGTAAATGGTAATTATGATAAGTGCGAATTTAAAATTGAGTGAGAATTTCCTTGGTTGATTGATAAGTTGTTTCAAACAGCTCACACAAGTAATTGGTTAGAATTGGATAGATTAGTTGAGACACTTTATTAGTGAAAATGAACAATGTAGAAATGTGTTGTATGTGATGAGTAGGAGCAGTGACCAGATTGTGTTTCGTTCGTATATGAGGTTCATGGGACAAATGGATATGCATCGATGTTGATTTTTACGATGCACTTCGAATCTAGTATTTATCATTCAACTATGTGAATTTCAACTTCATATATGTCTATTGAAATATATATGTTGCACAGGACGTGTATGATGTTGAGTTCGATCTCAACTGAATGTTGATAATTAGTGAATGACGAATGCATTGACCATTAGGTGCCTAGTCTCATATTACACTGTTATCAATCGGAATGTCGAAAACATGATGCATTGAAACATAAACGAGTATTCCATTATTATATTTATTTGTAGACTGGAATGTCAAATTCAAGCAGATTTAAAGCCAATTCAAGTTGTCTGGGAAGTTGATGGCAAGGAATTAACTCAATCTGATCGTAATGAAATGATCTATTTTGAAGATAGTGGAGTAGCTCGTCTAATAGTACACCAAGTGGTTCCATCGGATTCTGGTGAATACACTTGCAAAGTTCATGGTGAGGTGATTGAAGCTGAGACCAAACAACAATTGACCAAAACAATTTCATCTGGCTCAATTGTTACAATTGAAGGTGAGTGAAATGAACTAAGATGAGGTGATAAGCAGTTAATAAGAAGTAACTTAACAGTGATTTCCAGTTTCTACCACTTCTCTAGATCATTTGGACTTGTGAAAAATTGTGTTACAGTGAGACAGATCACGAGAATCACTTAATTGAACTTTCAAAATTTGTGTTGTGAGAGGGATTTCACCGAGTATATTGATTGACCACGTTAAGTGGTGGTAATCACTGATAATGCTGAGTATACTGGATTGCTCACGTTAAATCATCACAATAGCCACTTACTTATCATCTCCCCCTTTCACCTGATTCCTGAAATCATTGTTGTTTATCATTGTTTTAATTAGTTAATAAATTGTATCTCTTACTGTGTGTTAACTATTTGGTGAATGGGATGCAGTTGAGCATCTAGAAACGTTCCGGTATATTTAGAGTTGACTGAGTCAAACATTAGAAAGATTTCGCAGTCGAAGTTGTGTGCACAGTAGTCTACACGAACGAATTGATGTTGTTTAAGATAAGTGGTGACTTTTGATAGGTATGAGATTTGCATTGATATAGGCGAATGTGAAGAGGAAGAGGATGACCACTTCACTGATGTGATGTTGTTTGCAGTCGGAACAATCAGTTTTGTGAATAATATTTGCATTATCTTCTCGTACTGTTGCCTCCTCTGATTTAGACGGCAACGATTGGAGTGATTCTTTTAGCTTGTGGATCACGCCTACTGCTAACAGCCACGAAAATCTTGTTGTAATCTATGATATGAATTTTATATCTGAAACGACGATCCGTTTGTTGGAGTTCACACCTGATTTCGTGTCTAGTGCTGAATGTGACAAGCATTTTCTGATTGAATAGGGTTTTTAGCAATCCTTTACTCCAAACAATAATCATTAGGTACACTTTTCATGTCTATGTCTGGTAGGTAGTTGTACTGCAGTGTATCTTCACCCTATTGAATAGGCCTTGAACTTAGTTGACCTTGTGAGTGTCTGATTTGTTACAATTGTAGTCGATAGTTTGGTGTGTTTGCGTTGAGTTGCGAAACACCAGATTTTTCAGTCCTGTATTGATTCTGGTGATCGGAACGTGAAGGAAGGTTAGTTAGTTGTTCGCCTGCATACCCATTGTGAATTTTATGTCATCGAAAATGTTATTAATTGAATTGTGGGTACTTTTCAGCACATTCCGTTTGACGGTGATGAACATGCTATTCACATCCGCATAGCGGGTCCAAATAGTTGTCTTGATCAATGGTGAAATTAAATCTTCCACAACGAGTCTAGGTATCAGTGATCTAATTGACATTCCTTTTGTCTGTTCCAACACTTGATTATTGAACTGGACACATATTGTTAGTCTCAGATGGATGAGCTCAATAAATCTTTGACATTAGTTCTTTGTGTGATTTTGAATTTTTTACATTGCTGATTGACTGGGTTGTATACAGTTAATTATTACTATTATTATTATTATTATTATTATTATTATTATTATTATTACTATTATTATTATTATTCGCTTGCCACGTTTAGTTCAAGTCACCTGAATAAGGCTATAATGTCAAAAAAATACCATCAGTGTGCCACTGCATTTATGGGCATTCCCAGCCAAACCCTTATGTTGTTTGGAAGGATTGATGGAGTGGTCGTCGAATTCCACTGGATGTTTTAGAGTTGTTGACGTTTCTGTTGACAGATTGTATATATTTGTGTGTGGATCATAGGTAGTGAGACAGTTAAGTGTAGGGGAATTCTTGGTGCATGTGTTATCGGAACCATTGGAGAACATTTCCAGTATAATGTGTTTGCCATAAGTCCTGTGTCGTTAATTGGTCTAACATGGTGAGTTATTGCGGTAGGTCCTATCAACACGGTTATCCAGATTCTTGAAAGGATTTATTTACACTGATAAGTACACAATTCAGTTCTCCAATAGCTCCTCAGTCATCCTGATGTGTTTTCCTGTGTCCATTTATGTATATATTTATATATATATGTATATGTATTCTGTCATGATTATGTTCTCATTTATGAGAGAGAGATTCTTTAAAGCCGTCTGTTGTATATGGTTGAGTGGAACGTACAGCCGTGTTATTGTTGAGTCTGTCGGTTTAAGACATTTGTAAAAATACTGTTAAGGCTCTATATATAGAAAGAAACATGGTGTAATTTGAGAAAATAACTAGTGTTTAGTTGATGTGGAGTGTCCGATCCACTAGAACTACATCTAAGCCGTTATCAAAAGTGTTATTTGCAGATATCGATTACTCCTCAGTGGTTTGGGAGTTTTCTATTCACGTTGTTAGAAGGCAGTTAGCCTTTTGTTTTGTTTTACGATGGTGATTACAGCGAACAACGAGGGAATATTGGTGGACAGAAATTGTGGTCTGGTCACGTTGTTGGTGTGATTGGTTGAATGTTCAGTGTGAATGTGTGTGTGTATGTGTAGAGATTAGTGAGTTTGCTATTCACAACACGCAAGCACATTTGTCAAGCAGTCAATCAACCAGTCGTTGGACAAACTCCACTTAATATACCCCTTATTATAGCTTGATGATTAGGTTGAAATGTGTTTTCGCATAAATCTGCCAGTGATTTCTTCCATCTTGTAATGTGATATAAACAATGTGAATAAATTTCAATTTGTTTTGTTCTTTGAAATCAGTTCCTGAAACGACAGAAGTTGTGCCAACAGTAACTGAGAAGGTTCTCACCTTCTTACAACCAGTAACACCGAATATCCACACTGTACAAGACCATAAGGATCTTGAGTAAGTTATCGTCTTGCGTTTATTTTTTTCTCTTGTAATATTGATGATGACGTGATATCGAATAATATGCAGTGTAATAGAATCGTGGCTTGAGACACCAGTTTTCATTTGTGTGTTTGACTAATTTGTGTAAATCGTAAGGAGAACAGCCATCCTTGGAAGAAAGTTCATACAGCCATTAAAAATTGCCTATTGAATTGACTGGAATGTGAAAGTGCTTGATTGAAACCACCAAAACATTTTGGATGATAATGTGACCAACCGAACCGAACTGACCTGACCTGAACAATACTGACATATGCAACATCTAACCGAACGCGTTTTTGTCGTTGATGTGGGATATGTAAATGGTAATTATGATAAGTGCGAATTTAAAATTGAGTGAGAATTTCCTTGGTTGATTGATAAGTTGTTTCAAACAGCTCACACAAGTAATTGGTTAGAATTGGATAGATTAGTTGAGACACTTTATTAGTGAAAATGAACAATGTAGAAATGTGTTGTATGTGATGAGTAGGAGCAGTGACCAGATTGTGTTTCGTTCGTATATGAGGTTCATGGGACAAATGGATATGCATCGATGTTGATTTTTACGATGCACTTCGAATCTAGTATTTATCATTCAACTATGTGAATTTCAACTTCATATATGTCTATTGAAATATATATGTTGCACAGGACGTGTATGATGTTGAGTTCGATCTCAACTGAATGTTGATAATTAGTGAATGACGAATGCATTGACCATTAGGTGCCTAGTCTCATATTACACTGTTATCAATCGGAATGTCGAAAACATGATGCATTGAAACATAAACGAGTATTCCATTATTATATTTATTTGTAGACTGGAATGTCAAATTCAAGCAGATTTAAAGCCAATTCAAGTTGTCTGGGAAGTTGATGGCAAGGAATTAACTCAATCTGATCGTAATGAAATGATCTATTTTGAAGATAGTGGAGTAGCTCGTCTAATAGTACACCAAGTGGTTCCATCGGATTCTGGTGAATACACTTGCAAAGTTCATGGTGAGGTGATTGAAGCTGAGACCAAACAACAATTGACCAAAACAATTTCATCTGGCTCAATTGTTACAATTGAAGGTGAGTGAAATGAACTAAGATGAGGTGATAAGCAGTTAATAAGAAGTAACTTAACAGTGATTTCCAGTTTCTACCACTTCTCTAGATCATTTGGACTTGTGAAAAATTGTGTTACAGTGAGACAGATCACGAGAATCACTTAATTGAACTTTCAAAATTTGTGTTGTGAGAGGGATTTCACCGAGTATATTGATTGACCACGTTAAGTGGTGGTAATCACTGATAATGCTGAGTATACTGGATTGCTCACGTTAAATCATCACAATAGCCACTTACTTATCATCTCCCCCTTTCACCTGATTCCTGAAATCATTGTTGTTTATCATTGTTTTAATTAGTTAATAAATTGTATCTCTTACTGTGTGTTAACTATTTGGTGAATGGGATGCAGTTGAGCATCTAGAAACGTTCCGGTATATTTAGAGTTGACTGAGTCAAACATTAGAAAGATTTCGCAGTCGAAGTTGTGTGCACAGTAGTCTACACGAACGAATTGATGTTGTTTAAGATAAGTGGTGACTTTTGATAGGTATGAGATTTGCATTGATATAGGCGAATGTGAAGAGGAAGAGGATGACCACTTCACTGATGTGATGTTGTTTGCAGTCGGAACAATCAGTTTTGTGAATAATATTTGCATTATCTTCTCGTACTGTTGCCTCCTCTGATTTAGACGGCAACGATTGGAGTGATTCTTTTAGCTTGTGGATCACGCCTACTGCTAACAGCCACGAAAATCTTGTTGTAATCTATGATATGAATTTTATATCTGAAACGACGATCCGTTTGTTGGAGTTCACACCTGATTTCGTGTCTAGTGCTGAATGTGACAAGCATTTTCTGATTGAATAGGGTTTTTAGCAATCCTTTACTCCAAACAATAATCATTAGGTACACTTTTCATGTCTATGTCTGGGAGGTAGTTTCGCTGGTGCATTTTCATATTTTATAATCGCAATAGCCGCTTAATACTTATCTCTCCCTCATAAATGGTTGCTGCTCGAGCTTTTTTATTGTTTTAATCACTGTTCTTACTATTGTTTCTCGTTTTTCCATGTTACTTCTTGTTGCTGAATTTCAGTTTTTTGAATAATGTCTGTGTGCTTTTGCTTGATTCCTTTTTCATAATCTGATATGCTTCTTGTTTTAGTTTGTGTTTGTCGAAGCTTACGTAATTTAGTATGTTTGTTTGATTGTTTAATTGATATATTATCAAATACGTTTTATTTGTTTAACTTTATACGTCATCAATGATTAATTTTCTTTATTATTTTAATTTTTATGAACATCTCCATTCAATCATCAGCTGCTGAAAAAAAAGAGGACAAACTCATGTCACCAATTTTTGTTCACGAGTTAACACCACTGAATATTTCTGAAGGTGAAGAAATTTATTTAACAGCTACTGTTAAAGGAAATCCTCAACCTGAAGAAGTGATTTGGAAACATAATGGAAATATACTTCAACCAGACGTAACGGATGTTGTAATGTTCTATACTCCAGAAACAGGCGTTTGTGAATTGACAATATCTGAAGCATTTCCTGAAGATTCGGGAATTTATTCTGTTCAAGTCCAGAATACTGTTGGTATGGCTGTTAGTCAAACTGAAGTACTTGTATTGGTAGAGGTAAGAAACGAACCTACAATTTTAAAGTCAGAAGATCAGAAAGAATCAATTGTTGAAGATGTTTTGAACGTTGTTACTGATATTTCAGGTGATAAAACAGTTGTATCTACGGTTGAAGGTGTAGAGTTACCTAAACAAGAAGTAGTTGTTAATATAGTGCAAACTGAAACAACGGAAATGTATTCAATGATTGAAACTCTTCCAGAAATACCACAAGCGGCGATTTATGAACATATCATAGAGGAAACTGAATTCGAAATAAGTTTGGAAGAACCACTAGAGATTAGTGATGATGAGTTATTGCTCGATGAAGGAGTTACACCAACACATGTAGTTGTATTGGATGTTCTTATACCTCATGATTCTGTGAGCATTGATGAAACAAGTATAAGCATAGAGGAAGCTGGCAAGGCTCAGTCGATCCCAAGCGTCACTGAAATTTCTTTACATGACGTTTCTTTAGCCGCGATTTCAGACGTTAATATAAGCGAAGTAAAAGCTCTCGATGCCAAGGTCACAACACAGGAAGAAAAAGAGGAATCAAATGAAAAAGAAAACCGAATTCAATCAATAGAAGCTATGAGTTCAGACTCAAAAGAACAACGAAAAAAAGGGCAAAGTGAAGACACAAAAGATGTGGAGGTGGAGACGGTTGAGTTGGTGTCAGTGAAGGAGGCTGTGGTGGACGAGACCCCAGTGGAATCGGAGACAGTCTCGGTCTTAGGTGTGACGGAGGAGAAGAGCGTGGTCTCAGCGACAGAAGACTTTGCCATGGAGGTGGAGCAGGTGACTTTGACCGTGGATGACGTGTCACCTCGTATGGAATCCCTGACGTCCTCAGCTGAAGAACGTGTTGTCAGTGAGGCTGTTCCACTGGAGGAGACGGTCTATGATGTGTACGAAACGGAACAGGTTGAAGCTGTAACACGTCCCACCACTGACGCTGTCGCTTCTGGTGTTGTCTCCTCGACTACTCCTTCTCTGTCTGACGTTGTCAGTGTTGAAGAAGTTCCTTCTGAGGCGAGTTACTTATATGTGCATACACACAATGCACAGCCTTAGGCTTAGTGGCATGGCAAGTTCTTCCGCTTCAGTCGGTTTTGAAATAACTGGTGAATTTTTCGAAGTTTTATCGTGGAAACTGTCAGATGTTGCGCCTCTTATTGCATGCATGTCCCGTTAGTTAACAAGTTGTCTAGTACGCTCCATCAGTCTCATCTCCTAACAAACATCATGCATTTGCATTGTATTAGTGTTTGGATAAATGTGATACTGAGACTGTTTGTTTCTTCTCTGAATTTTTGTGAGGTGACATTTCACTTGTCATGGATTGTTCACCTGGTAACTTGTGACCTAATCACTTGATCTCAGTGTTTTTGAGAGAATGTATTTGTGGCCTACTCCATATGACTGACATTTGTTGTATGTTGTGTTTGAAATGTGTTTGTTTGTGGTATTTTGTTGTTGATGATGTGGTGGTGGTGGTGATGATGATGTTGTGGTTGATGATGATGATGGTGTTGTGAGTTGGAATGGATTTATTGTTAGTAATATAGGTAACATTAACTGGATTGTTCGCTCTGACATTTGGTTTTCCGGTAAATATTAACTCTTTTCCACTTGATCGGTATTGTTAGTTGTCATTTATCAAATGTGATATGGTGGTTGATTTTCTGATTGTGAAGTTGATGAGTAATCTGTTATTGAGTTGTGTGTGATTTCGATATTCAGGTGATGGGAGTATGTGTAGCTGTAAAATCCACCAATAAATAAATGTCGAGATATTTGGTTTTAGATGATGACTGTTTGTGCTTAATAGTGGTGATGTGCATGAATGATAAAATGTCGACAGGTTAGAACCGTTTCATGTCTGATATTGGTATGTCGTCTTTGTGTTGTGGTGTGTAGTTATAGGATTTTTAATGATAAGGAACGAAAGTGTTTAGCGTTGGTGGATTGTCTGTGGAAGACAATATAATTGACTTGCATGTGGTTTTGTTGATGTTGTTCTGTGTGTGAAGAATGAGGATTGGCTAAATAGAGGGTATAGATGAGGACACCTTGTCGTGTGTGGAATTGCCTGAAAGAATGACAGGTTTGATTGTATTTCGGTGTTGCATAGTTGGTTGCTGAACCCATTCTCTCATGATGTTGCCTTTAGTATGTGACACTGATAATTGTAAGTGTTTGAGTCCGGTGAAAAGTTTGTATGTGATAGTGCTGCGTTGACGTCGGTTATAAGCGACATCTGTGAAGCTGACTGAATCATGGATGATAAGTGTTGCTCTGAGTTTCTTGTCAAGTGAATGTGTAAGCGGTGATTAGTGAAGTGTGTTAGACAGTGCTTAGTGTTTAAAAGACTTATGTGTAGTACTTTCGCATCCTGTCGCCTCTGATAAGATGTCAGTTTGATCCCACCGCTTGATTTTGTTTCCCCGAATGCTGACACTTGAAACAAACACGTCATATTCATAATGTCGTTCTTTTGTATATCAGCAGGTAACGGAAGCCGGAGACACAGTGACGGCGAAGACCGCCGAGGTCATTGTTCAAGAAGGGAAGGAGTCTGTGTCACAGACCATGGAGTGGGTTTCAGAGGGTGTTGGTGAGTTGGAGGAATCCGACCGTCAGGATAGTGCTCGTGTTGTGGAGCAGCCGTATGAAGTGAGTGTGGCGGTTTCTGAGAAGCCCACTGAAGTGGCGACACCTGAGAAGGTCTCAGTGAAGGAGGCTGTGGTTGAAAAGACCCCAGTGGAATCGGAGACAGTCCCGGTCTCAATTGTTAGCAAAGGAGTGGTAGAGGTGGCGGACATGAAGAGCACAGTTGGAGTGACAGAGGAATCTGGTAGTGTGGCGGAGCAGGAGACGTTGGTTGTTGAGCAGGTGGCGGAATCCAAGGAGACAGTGACTGTTAAGATGGAGGAGCGGGTTGTACAGGATGTGGAGAAGGAGTCCGTCCCAGAGACGATGGAGTGGGTTTCAGAGGGTGTTGGTGAGTTGGAGGAATCCGACCGTCAGGATAGTGCTCGTGTTGTGGAGCAGCCGAGCGAAGTAGGTGTTGCAGTTTCTGAAACGCAAGTGGAGATGGAGACGGTTGAGTTGGTGTCAGTGAAGGAGGCTGTGGTGGACGAGACCCCAGTGGAATCGGAGACAGTCTCGGTCTTAGGTGTGACGGAGGAGAAGAGCGTGGTCTCAGCGACAGAAGACTTTGCCATGGAGGTGGAGCAGGTGACTTTGACCGTGGATGACGTGTCACCTCGTATGGAATCCCTGACGTCCTCAGCTGAAGAACGTGTTGTCAGTGAGGCTGTTCCACTGGAGGAGACGGTCTATGATGTGTACGAAACGGAACAGGTTGAAGCTGTAACACGTCCCACCACTGACGCTGTCGCTTCTGGTGTTGTCTCCTCGACTACTCCTTCTCTGTCTGACGTTGTCAGTGTTGAAGAAGTTCCTTCTGAGGCGAGTTACTTATATGTGCATACACACAATGCACAGCCTTAGGCTTAGTGGCATGGCAAGTTCTTCCGCTTCAGTCGGTTTTGAAATAACTGGTGAATTTTTCGAAGTTTTATCGTGGAAACTGTCAGATGTTGCGCCTCTTATTGCATGCATGTCCCGTTAGTTAACAAGTTGTCTAGTACGCTCCATCAGTCTCATCTCCTAACAAACATCATGCATTTGCATTGTATTAGTGTTTGGATAAATGTGATACTGAGACTGTTTGTTTCTTCTCTGAATTTTTGTGAGGTGACATTTCACTTGTCATGGATTGTTCACCTGGTAACTTGTGACCTAATCACTTGATCTCAGTGTTTTTGAGAGAATGTATTTGTGGCCTACTCCATATGACTGACATTTGTTGTATGTTGTGTTTGAAATGTGTTTGTTTGTGGTATTTTGTTGTTGATGATGTGGTGGTGGTGGTGATGATGATGTTGTGGTTGATGATGATGATGATGATGATGGTGTTGTGAGTTGGAATGGATTTATTGTTAGTAATATAGGTAACATTAACTGGATTGTTCGCTCTGACATTTGGTTTTCCGGTAAATATTAACTCTTTTCCACTTGATCGGTATTGTTAGTTGTCATTTATCAAATGTGATATGGTGGTTGATTTTCTGATTGTGAAGTTGATGAGTAATCTGTTATTGAGTTGTGTGTGATTTCGATATTCAGGTGATGGGAGTATGTGTAGCTGTAAAATCCACCAATAAATAAATGTCGAGATATTTGGTTTTAGATGATGACTGTTTGTGCTTAATAGTGGTGATGTGCATGAATGATAAAATGTCGACAGGTTAGAACCGTTTCATGTCTGATATTGGTATGTCGTTTTTGTGTTGTGGTGTGTAGTTATAGGATTTTTAATGATAAGGAACGAAAGTGTTTAGCGTTGGTGGATTGTCTGTGGAAGACAATATAATTGACTTGCATGTGGTTTTGTTGATGTTGTTCTGTGTGTGAAGAATGAGGATTGGCTAAATAGAGGGTATAGATGAGGACACCTTGTCGTGTGTGGAATTGCCTGAAAGAATGACAGGTTTGATTGTATTTCGGTGTTGCATAGTTGGTTGCTGAACCCATTCTCTCATGATGTTGCCTTTAGTATGTGACACTGATAATTGTAAGTGTTTGAGTCCGGTGAAAAGTTTGTATGTGATAGTGCTGCGTTGACGTCGGTTATAAGCGACATCTGTGAAGCTGACTGAATCATGGATGATAAGTGTTGCTCTGAGTTTCTTGTCAAGTGAATGTGTAAGCGGTGATTAGTGAAGTGTGTTAGACAGTGCTTAGTGTTTAAAAGACTTATGTGTAGTACTTTCGCATCCTGTCGCCTCTGATAAGATGTCAGTTTGATCCCACCGCTTGATTTTGTTTCCCCGAATGCTGACACTTGAAACAAACACGTCATATTCATAATGTCGTTCTTTTGTATATCAGCAGGTAACGGAAGCCGGAGACACAGTGACGGCGAAGACCGCCGAGGTCATTGTTCAAGAAGGGAAGGAGTCTGTGTCACAGACCATGGAGTGGGTTTCAGAGGGTGTTGGTGAGTTGGAGGAATCCGACCGTCAGGATAGTGCTCGTGTTGTGGAGCAGCCGTATGAAGTGAGTGTGGCGGTTTCTGAGAAGCCCACTGAAGTGGCGACACCTGAGAAGGTCTCAGTGAAGGAGGCTGTGGTTGAAAAGACCCCAGTGGAATCGGAGACAGTCCCGGTCTCAATTGTTAGCAAAGGAGTGGTAGAGGTGGCGGACATGAAGAGCACAGTTGGAATGACAGAGGAATCTGGTAGTGTGGCGGAGCAGGAGACGTTGGTTGTTGAGCAGGTGGCGGAATCCAAGGAGACAGTGACTGTTAAGATGGAGGAGCGGGTTGTACAGGATGTGGAGAAGGAGTCCGTCTCAGAGACGATGGAGTGGGTTTCAGAGGGTGTTGGTGAGTTGGAGGAATCCGACCGTCAGGATAGTGCTCGTGTTGTGGAGCAGCCGAGCGAAGTAGGTGTTGCAGTTTCTGAAACGCAAGTGGAGATGGAGACGGTTGAGTTGGTGTCAGTGAAGGAGGCTGTGGTGGACGAGACCCCAGTGGAATCGGAGACAGTCTCGGTCTTAGGTGTGACGGAGGAGAAGAGCGTGGTCTCAGCGACAGAAGACTTTGCCATGGAGGTGGAGCAGGTGACTTTGACCGTGGATGACGTGTCACCTCGTATGGAATCCCTGACGTCCTCAGCTGAAGAACGTGTTGTCAGTGAGGCTGTTCCACTGGAGGAGACGGTCTATGATGTGTACGAAACGGAACAGGTTGAAGCTGTAACACGTCCCACCACTGACGCTGTCGCTTCTGGTGTTGTCTCCTCGACTACTCCTTCTCTGTCTGACGTTGTCAGTGTTGAAGAAGTTCCTTCTGAGGCGAGTTACTTATATGTGCATACACACAATGCACAGCCTTAGGCTTAGTGGCATGGCAAGTTCTTCCGCTTCAGTCGGTTTTGAAATAACTGGTGAATTTTTCGAAGTTTTATCGTGGAAACTGTCAGATGTTGCGCCTCTTATTGCATGCATGTCCCGTTAGTTAACAAGTTGTCTAGTACGCTCCATCAGTCTCATCTCCTAACAAACATCATGCATTTGCATTGTATTAGTGTTTGGATAAATGTGATACTGAGACTGTTTGTTTCTTCTCTGAATTTTTGTGAGGTGACATTTCACTTGTCATGGATTGTTCACCTGGTAACTTGTGACCTAATCACTTGATCTCAGTGTTTTTGAGAGAATGTATTTGTGGCCTACTCCATATGACTGACATTTGTTGTATGTTGTGTTTGAAATGTGTTTGTTTGTGGTATTTTGTTGTTGATGATGTGGTGGTGGTGGTGATGATGATGTTGTGGTTGATGATGATGATGTTTTTCACCTGATAACTTCTGACCTATTCATTTGATCTATTTGTTGGTTAGAGAATGTTTTTTCTGTCTTCCTTTTCTTTTCTTATTTTGTGTTTTCACATAATATTTGTGTATTTTCTATCTCCCTGTTCACCTTTTTCGGTTTTTTATTTATTTATTTTCAGTTTTTCTGTATTAATTTCTTTGTTGTCTTCTCCTTGTTCTTCGTTTTTTTTAATCGTTTTCTTAATTTTGACTTTTCTTGTCATTCACATGATATCACTTCCTTATATTTCTTCATTACTATTTTCTTTTCTTCTTTATTCCTTTTTGTTCTAACTTATTATCCTAACTTTCTATCGGTAACGTTAATTCGTTTATCTTCTGTTATGTCCTCATATTTTATTATGTAGTGTTTTGCCGCTTGAGCAAATATATGTAATTACCATGCAGTCCACCTTATTTCTACCCAAATCTTTTTGAATTTTTTTCTGAAAAAAAACTTCGTTTATCTTTTTTAACAATTTAATTAACAATATGGTATTATCGAAAGGGGTTTTGTTGAGATTTTTAGAAGTTTCAATAATTGAAATCATGAGTCAATTGAAGGTGGAATACCATGGAAAACCTGTAAGCACTGGACAGCCGTTTCGTCTTTGCATGAGACTGCTTAGTAGGGCGTATCCACGATCCCGCCTCCCGCGAGATCTAGTGGTCTAGTGGTTAAGCGCCCTTGTGTGAAACTTATAGGCCCTGGGTTCATATATATATACTAATTTTTAAGATGATGTTACTCTTCTTCCTTTACGTTATCTACTTCTCCCTTCCATCTTCTTCATAAATATTTTGTCTCTAATTCGTTTATTTACTTATTTGTATCTTTTATCCTTCTGATTATATTTTATCATGCTAATTCTTTCTTTTTTAGTGATAATTTTTCTATCTAAAGTTATTTTGCTTAATGATTGCGTTAATATGCACCAATATCGTAAAGATTAATGGAAAATTTCCCTAAGAAACCATATTGAATATATAAGCCATAAATAGTCAAACGATTAATAAACTTTCCTTGTTTTATAAAAAAGATTTTTCAATACCTTTGTTTATTTTACCTCACTATGACCATGTCTAACAGAATTTCATTATCCGTATTAATATTATTATTATTATTACTATCATACTGAGAAACATGTACTTATACTTGTGATTATACAGTGTTAAAAATGAATCCCCCGTAAACAGAACTCTTCACTGATTCAATTTTTCTTCTTCTTCTTATTTTTTTTTCTTAAAAATCAATAACTGATCAATTAATATGGATAATAACATAGACTTTTTTGACGTTACAATTTGTTCTATATCTACACATTACTTATCTTAATGATCAGCTTGATAAACATTATGCATGAAATACAATGATGTATTATGTGACACATTCAAATACGATACCCGTTTTACATTTTCTTAAATATATATATATATATATATATATATATATATATATATATATATATATATCAATGGTGGTGATGATGGTGATTACATTTGTTGTTTAAGCATGATGAATAAATTATCATCAGAATGGGTTTTGTGGAGAATTTAAGAAATTTCACAGGTTTAAATCATGAGTCAGTTGAAGCTAGACCACCATTGAAAACCTGGAAGCACTGGACGGCCGTTTCGTCCTTGTATGGGACTCCTCAACTTCGTGGATTGGTTGAAGTTAGACATTAACACCGTTGGATGCCGGCTCAGTGGTCTAATGATTAATTGCTCGCGCGCGAAGCCAGTAGGTCCTGGGTTCGAGCCCCGCGTGGTGCGGGATCGTGGATGCGCACTGCTGAGGAGTCCCATACAAGGACGAAACGGCCGTCCTGTGCTTCCAGGTTTTCAATGGTGGTCTAGCTTCAACTGACTCATGATTTAAATCTGTGGAGTAAATTATCATTATTATTATGGTGTCATTTATTCATGCTTTTTAATATTATGTGTTTGTTTATTGGCTGTAATTTAAATGTGAATACTAATTAATTAGAGTAGTATATTAGTTGATATGCGAATTACTATTCTAATTATTTATTATTAAAATTTATTTTAAATTTTTTTAGGTAAAACCTCCAGAATGTTCAAAACCGACTGGTTAGTTATACATTGTAATAATATTTTTATATACTTTTTGTACATTTTTTTATAATTTGAAGATGGTTTACATTGTAGACTGATTACTATTGGGAATAAGGGAGTATTAGACCGTTGGTTCGATCAGATTGATCCTTACTCATATTCCCATTAAGGAATGAATCTAAGACTATTAAGTCTTGCTTTGATCTCATAACGTTTTATTTTCTTTAAAAAACAATGGCATACTATAAGGATTAATTCATAAAATCCATATTCATGTTGACCATTTTCATTCATAGAAATTAGATAGATAAGTAATAACTGACCCACTTTCATATAATAAAATTGATCATGTAGCATTGTCTCTTTTAAACAATCTTCTTCAATAAAGTTCCAGATGTAATTGTTCAAAAAATCGATTTTTATATGAGTAGAGAATATTTTCTTTAATAAATGTTTATTTGGTTTTATAATTTGAACAACAATGATGAGACTGTGATTAAAATTTGTTATCCTCACGCTCCCCTTTTTAAAGAGTATAGAAGAAACCCATAATCGGTTAACTTCAACTCTACAATTATAATTAATAATAATTCAAAGGAAGAGTTTAAATGGATTGGTTCTTTTTTTTAAAGATTAATTCAATTTGTCTATAGTACTCGTAGTAGAATGACCTCAATTTTAGGTACTTGGAACTGTAAACCTACTTTGTTTTAGCATGGAATATCTCAGAAGTGAATACTCAGAACTTCATGAACTAATCTAGAACTAAATCACTAAACTGCAGGCAATTATAGATTAAATGAAGTTGTTTTTTAGTTTGGTCCATGGAGATCTCTCACTTTTATGCAGTCTGACATATCTCAACAGAACTCCAGGGAATTATCTTCAAGCGAGTTACCAGTGAGCACATGATTATTATTAACAGAATAAGGGGTTTTTAGAGATTGTTGTTCACGTCTACCTCATATGTATGGTTTACCAAAAGTTCACAAACATGACGTTCTTCTTAGACCTATCCTATCAATGATCAACTCACCACATCATAAAGTCGCACGCTGGTTAGCAGAAAAACTAGAACCAATTCATCGTAGATTAGCAACATATACGTTAAGAGATTCATTCCAGTTTGCTGATAGACTAAATCATACGAATGTTAACGACAAGTTCATGGTCTCTTTTGATGTAACATCCTTGTTCACCAATATACCACTTTTTGAAACTATTGATATAATTTGTCAGAATGATGATCTCCTACCTTTACCAGCCCCAGAATTCAAAAAAATACTACTAATATGTACAACAGATGTTCAATTCCAATTTAACAACACCGTATATCGCCAAGTCGATGGCGTAGCAATGGATAGTACACTAGGTCCAATTATGGCAGATATTTTTATGGGGTATCTTGAAAACACGATACTTAAACACGCAATTAGTGAAACAACGGAATACTTTAGATATGTGGACGACACATTTATCATCTGTCATAATAAGCAACATGCAATCCGCCTGCTCAAACTCTTCAATAACGCTCATACTAACATACATTTTACCATGGAGCACGAACAGAACGACATGTTCCACTTTCTCGATGTTGCCATAAAACGCAGGGGAAACGGGACAGTCCAACGTTCAATCTATAGAAAAAGTAATTGGAATGGCCTCTACCTGAAGTTCAATAGTTTCTGTCCAATTAGTTACAAGAAGGCGTCGGTTAAAACACTATTTTACAGAGCAGAAAAGATATATACCACCGACAAACTGGAAGAAGAATTAATGAACGTAGAAAAATGTCTAAAAGAAAACTTTTATCCACAAAAGTTTATTAACAAATATAAAAGGCCCAAGGAAAAGAAAACGGTAATAACTATGGTCAATAAAAAGCCAGTATATATAAATCTTAACTTTAAAGGTGATGACGTCGCACAAATTATCAACAAGAGACTGAATATAGCCGGAACTTATCCGGCTGCTAAACGTTTAATTCTCTATAAAACAACATGTTCAATAACCAAATCAAAGATCGACAAGCAACCCTTTTATGTTACCGCCAAATGTATTTATAAATTTAAGTGTGTCTGCCAAAGCAGCTACATCGGCCGAACTGAGAGGAGAGCATATCTTAGATCCTTTGAACATGTTCCAAAAAAGTCTTAGAACAAGGGGAAGAAAGACTCTGAACAGTGCAATCACCAAACATCTCCTTGATACAGGACATCAGGTAGATACCTTACAATCCTTTAGGGTGATTAGTAAGCAGCCACACTCCAGACTTCTGAAGTTTGCTGAAGCCATTGCTATCAGGCGTCCAAAACCTGACCTATGTATTCAAAAGGAGACGGTGGTTAATCGTTCTTTGTCCTGGTGACAAATATTCCTTCACTGCACCTTTAAAATTTTTTTCTTCCTTTTTTCCGTTTTTTTGCATTTATTACATCAATGACTCTATTTTATTTTTTCAACTATCTTTCAACTGAATAATCTTTCAACTGAACCCTATTCATTATATTCCTATCAATGTTTATTCATTATGTAATCGATTGTTTCTAACCCACTTTTGAACTGTTGTCACAATTAATGTTGTAGAATATTCTTTCACATTAGGTATATATTTACAATATTCAGTTAGCAATTTAAACCCATTATGCAATGATGAGCTTTTACATATCACAGGTTGTAAGCAGCTGACGAGAATTCATGCTATTCTGTTAGAATCATTCAGTTCTTGCTCTTTTCAAAATGATAAAGGTAACTGTGTGTATGAAATTTTCAATGATGGTCTAGATTACATCGACCCATGAATTCAACTATTAAAATTACTACAATCTCCACAAACCCCTTTTCTGATCAAAATGTATCTGAGTCATATACTCGTATACATGTTATACGATTGTTGTTAATCAAATCCTCAAGTACCCTGTATGGACTATGTCTTTTTCAAAGGTATTTTCTAGTTTATACTAGACGCTTCATAAATCTCTTTTACGGTTTATGAAATTCTTTTATATTGACTAACTGTTGTACTTCATTTTATTCTTTATTTAACCATGATTCACTGTATAAGCTCCCACTAATTTTTGTGCGACTGATGTTTAAACTTTATTTTATAGAAACACATCTCATCAATAAATTTCACACATCCATTTTTTTACTTAAGTAATCAGGTTATTGTACTTTCAGTACAGTAGTTCAGTCGTCATCAAACAGTATGAATCAATCTAATCTTCTACAAATTATCCAATAATATTTTTGTAATTAAAGGATAATAATTAACAACGATTTTTAATTTCATTCTAGCTCCTTCAACTCCTGTCAATATAAAAATTATTATAATTCCACCAGAAAGTCCATCTTCAAAATCTAAACTTCATATAACATGGCAACAACCTGATGATATTCCAGTCACTAATTTTTATATAGAATTAAAACCATCAAATTCCAAAACATGGCAAGATGTATCTGCTGATTTTACTATAACTGAACCTTATGCAATTCTGCCAACTGATAATTTACAAGAATTTGTCAGTTATGAATTTCGTGTTATTGCTGAAAATGAAGCAGGCAAAAGTGTTCCGTCATTACCATCAAATTCAATTGAATTAGGTAAGTATGATCACAGGAAAATATATATTGCTTTTAACCCATACGAATTGAGGTGATGTTAATCAATAATGCACTGAATAAACATTCAAACAAAGGTTAGAATTTAAAATTAGAAAACAGTTTGTAAAGTAAAATTAGAGAGTATGCAAAATCATTAAGAGTTTAAAATACAATAAAGATTTATACGCATTATAATTCAGATCATGATTTGATAATATGAAAATAAAAAATAAAAAATAAAATAATATTCTACAAATTCTAATACAGATTCTAATCATTTCATCTAGGTATACCGCTAGAATTCATTCGCCCATTGACGGATATAACTGTCAGCGCAGTGACAAATGAACCAGTCATACTTGAATGTGAACTATCTCGAACTCCACGTGACAAGATTCAATGGTTTAAGGATGGAAAAGCACTACCCAGCAAACTGTCGAGTAGAATAAAAGTTGAAGAGCTGGAGAATGGAAAAGTTCACCGAATTATCTTCAGTCCATTAGCTGAGGAAGATCTGGGTGTTTATTCTGTGAAAGTAGAGAATTTGACAAGTGAAGCACGAGTGGATATGAAGAGTGAGTTATTAATTACTGTTAATAAAGCTCATACGGAGTTTCGATTTTATTTCTCAACTGAAGTTATATTTAACTATTGAAGACCCATTTTTATTTGGTATATTAAAACTTTCTTAACAGAAACAAAATAATTGTCTTCTAGCGTGCCTCCTTTCTTCTTATGTTTGAAATTATTGTAAGTAGTAACGCTAATAATACATGTTGAATATTAGAATGAAAAAAGTTGTTGAATTTTCTATCCACTTACAGTTGCACCAACACTGAAGCTGTCGGAATCATTCTCTGACAAAGTCATCATGAAAGCAGGAGAGGCGGCCGTCTTCGAAATACCATTCGTCGCCAGTCCGAAACCGACAGTGACCTGGTCATGGAGGCCAAGAACACGTCCTGATGCGGAGTTGGGATCAGCTCAGACTCCACGATTTAAGGCTGACGTGGTGTCCGGACTGACATCACTTCCAGTGAGTAAGGTGAAGCGTGAAGATGCTGGTGAGTACAGTGTGGTCATCAGTAATGAATTGGGCGAGGTGACAGTGAGCATTGAGTTGATTGTATTGGACAAACCATCTGTACCTCGCAATTTAGTTGCGAGTGATAACACTGGTGAGAGTGTTTTGTTCAGTTGGACGGAACCAGAATTCCTCGGTCTTCATCCTGATGTAGGAGTTAGTGATGGATTGAGTTACGTTGTCGAGATGCGTGAGTCAAATCAACGTGCGAGTAGGTCGGTGACAGTGACGAGTGAATTGAATACTCTTATAGACAAATTGCAAGTGAACAAGTCGTATGTGTTTAGTGTTGCAGCTAAAAATGATGTCGGTCAGTCGGAATTCGCTGAAACGAGTCCAGTTTCGACGAAGTTGGAATATGGTAAGTTTGTGTTTGTATTATATAGTTTTGTTTATGATTGAATTTTCGAGGCTATTGACCTTGTCGGCAAAGCATGTTGTTACTCGATAGATCTCAGCAAAAGTGCTTGGATAAGGCTTTCAAACGGACAATGCTTGGATTTACTTTTCAACCGATTTTGAAGTTTTTTCAACCGGACACAAAGAAAATGAAATTCGTCGTTCACCTGTGCTCTGAATGTCAACTGAATTGAGTAGCGACAATTATTTAGTCGATCCAAAATCTCATTGAGGTCCATTGATTTCTGGTTAGGAAGAATGTCAGACGGTTCCTTACAGAGATCTATGTATGAATTTAGAGTTGCTTAAGTCGTTCAACTGTCTATGCTGAGGTACTCTAAACACAATGTTGTCGAGATGAGTATGAGTATGAGACTATTGGAACGTCTGTTTAGCGTTTAGACAGCTCTGGTATCACCGAAAATCTATTACAAGTTTTATGGTGTACATTCAGCTACTCACATAGATCAATATTCCAACAAAACAGGCACGTTGAAAACACGTAGATTTGTTGGTGGTTTTATTTAATGTTGTCGATGATGCATAGACTCAATTCGTCTATGTGCATTAAATATTCTAGCACGCGAGCAGTTTGTCACTCTTCACTCTGTTTTGTCTCAATTGTAAGCTTTAGAGTATGATCTGCAAACTGTGGTTGAGTGATTCAATGCGAAAATTTCTTAATTGTAATTAATGCTGGTGTGTTTGTTTCATCCAAAGAATAGTCGCTGAACTCCTTGTCAATAAATTCATATTGTTGATGTCGGAGAGATGAAAAATCTCCAATGCTTTCGGAAACACCTTTCAGTTTGAGCGATTGAGAAGCTTGTGGATGTGTAGACAACCCGATAAAACCCATCTGAAAGTTAGGGTATCGGTCAAACACTGTCACTATCTAAGGAGGCTGACTTAATAGTTTGTTGAAGACTAAAGTGTACATTTTTCTGTCTCTAGTTCTGTAGGTGAACTTCTGATAACATCGGCTGTATGAATCCATGATGTGGACTAGTTGGAATGTTATTTTACCGTTCTTTGTTCCAGCAGTGCTCTGTGCACCGTGACTGTATAATGGATTATTTCTTAGTTTTAGTTAAGCTATTTGTGCATTGTGGATTGTTTTGACCACCTACTGGAATATGTTGACTGACATCTTTCAACTGTAGGAACGCCGACGAGATTGTGCAGGTACATTTTAATTGTGGTCCTTTGTTTGACCCTATTTGCATTTCTTGAAGCACATGGGTAATGTGATGCATCACTTATTCAACCTCTGTTTCATGATTCGATTAAGAGTTAGTGAATACTCATAAGAAATAATGGCATTGAACAACGATTTATGTGTCCAACTGAACACAAAATGAGTCGTTGGCTCGACCGAGGTCTTACGTATTGTCGATCGTGCTTTGAATGCCTTGTTACAGATATGTGTATAACATTGTCACTGATTATCTAACAGTGTGAGTTACATTTTGAATGTAATTTGAATGCTTTCTGAAACCACTAGGTCCACCATCGAGTCCAGTCAATGTGAAGGCAGTCGTCAATCCACCGAAAGCGTCTATCAAAGATCAAACGATAGAATTGACGTGGGAACAACCAACCGACCAAGTGTCTGCCAGTGGACCGGTCACAAACTTCTACATCGAATTGAAGCCTGAAGATTCAACTCGATGGCAGGACGTGAGTGCCGACTTCACAATCACTGAACCACACTTCACACTTCCTACTGATAAATTGCAAGAGTTTGTGAGTTATGAGTTCCGTGTAACGTCAGAGAATAAGGCTGGCAAGAGTAAACCTTCTTCACCATCGAATGCTGTTCAACTAGGTAAGGGATAACACTTGTTTCAGAGTTGTATGCATGTGTGTGCAGGTGTGTGTGTGTGTATGTATGTATCTATATGCATCGAATTCCAAGTGATTTCGCTTTAATCTATCTATTGGCCAAGATGAATGTATCCAAATCAGGTGGAATTAAGTTGGAGAGTAGGATGGACTAAGTCCTTACGAGAAACTTGTACTAGTGTGATCATTGCATGTCGCCTATTAGATTGACCTGTAAGAATGATCGGTCAGTAGTAATAGATGATTGATGTTGCATAGACTGAAGCAGCAGTACATGCAGCTGTGCGTTCAGTTGAAGAATCTGATTGTAGGAACTAACTACTGAACGTCCTAGGTTACTTCGTTTTTCCAACTGACTGATTACCAACCAAAGATAAATGGTAGATCATCTGGCAAATATATCAGTGGTCTTTATGACGAACGAGATAATGAGTAGTTTCAGGTGGTATTGATTTTTCTAATTTCCAATTGTACATGAATATCGTTAATTTGCACACGATCAAATTCGAATAATGGGCGTTTGGGAGCTGTGATAGTCATTGAGTTTGAGATTTAGTTATTATTCTGTAATGTAGAAGTGGTTCAGGATGAATGTATCAGTGTGGAATCTATCCATGTCAATGTTTGCTACTCACCGAATCACTGAAAGATGTGGAAAATGGTCTCAGAGTATCACACTTCATTGGTATTTTGAAGTGAAGCCATATTTTGATGCGGAATCTGAATGTCATGGGCAGAATATACCACTAGTGATGGATAGTTGAAAGACTCATTTGGATGTGCCTACTACCTTATTTAACAATGCATCTGTGTATTGAATGCATTTAGATTTGTGTAATGGACTACTGGAATGCTACATTCAAGCATAATACTCAGCAAATAGTATCATACCTAATTGATTTCAAGTCATTTCTATATTCGGTTTGTTTATTATTAGTGTGATCACATTTCAAAACACAACCAGTATCACTTTCATAATTAGTAGCAAGCGCAAAATCTTCTTTTCCATATTATAATAGAGTTGTTATTCATTTCATCTAGGTATACCGCTAGAATTCATTCGCCCATTGACGGATATAACTGTCAGCGCAGTGACAAATGAACCAGTCATACTTGAATGTGAACTATCTCGAACTCCACGTGACAAGATTCAATGGTTTAAGGATGGAAAAGCACTACCCAGCAAACTGTCGAGTAGAATAAAAGTTGAAGAGCTGGAGAATGGAAAATTTCACCGAATTATCTTCAGTCCATTAGCTGAGGAAGATCTGGGTGTTTATTCTGTGAAAGTAGAGAATTTGACAAGTGAAGCACGAGTGGATATGAAGAGTGAGTTATTAATTACTGTTAATAAAGCTCATACGGAGTTTCGATTTTATTTCTCAACTGAAGTTATATTTAACTATTGAAGACCCATTTTTATTTGGTATATTAAAACTTTCTTAACAGAAACAAAATAATTGTCTTCTAGCGTGCCTCCTTTCTTCTTATGTTTGAAATTATTGTAAGTAGTAACGCTAATAATACATGTTGAATATTAGAATGAAAAAAGTTGTTGAATTTTCTATCCACTTACAGTTGCACCAACACTGAAGCTGTCGGAATCATTCTCTGACAAAGTCATCATGAAAGCAGGAGAGGCGGCCGTCTTCGAAATACCATTCGTCGCCAGTCCGAAACCGACAGTGACCTGGTCATGGAGGCCAAGAACACGTCCTGATGCGGAGTTGGGATCAGCTCAGACTCCACGATTTAAGGCTGACGTGGTGTCCGGACTGACATCACTTCCAGTGAGTAAGGTGAAGCGTGAAGATGCTGGTGAGTACAGTGTGGTCATCAGTAATGAATTGGGTGAGGTGACAGTGAGCATTGAGTTGATTGTATTGGACAAACCATCTGTACCTCGCAATTTAGTTGCGAGTGATAACACTGGTGAGAGTGTTTTGTTCAGTTGGACGGAACCAGAATTCCTCGGTCTTCATCCTGATGTAGGAGTTAGTGATGGATTGAGTTACGTTGTCGAGATGCGTGAGTCAAATCAACGTGCGAGTAGGTCGGTGACAGTGACGAGTGAATTGAATACTCTTATAGACAAATTGCATGTGAACAAGTCGTATGTGTTTAGTGTTGCAGCTAAAAATGATGTCGGTCAGTCGGAATTCGCTGAAACGAGTCCAGTTTCGACGAAGTTGGAATATGGTAAGTTTGTGTTTGTATTATATAGTTTTGTTTATGATTGAATTTTCGAGGCTATTGACCTTGTCGGCAAAGCATGTTGTTACTCGATAGATCTCAGCAAAAGTGCTTGGATAAGGCTTTCAAACGGACAATGCTTGGATTTACTTTTCAACCGATTTTGAAGTTTTTTCAACCGGACACAAAGAAAATGAAATTCGTCGTTCACCTGTGCTCTGAATGTCAACTGAATTGAGTAGCGACAATTATTTAGTCGATCCAAAATCTCATTGAGGTCCATTGATTTCTGGTTAGGAAGAATGTCAGACGGTTCCTTACAGAGATCTATGTATGAATTTAGAGTTGCTTAAGTCGTTCAACTGTCTATGCTGAGGTACTCTAAACACAATGTTGTCGAGATGAGTATGAGTATGAGACTATTGGAACGTCTGTTTAGCGTTTAGACAGCTCTGGTATCACCGAAAATCTATTACAAGTTTTATGGTGTACATTCAGCTACTCACATAGATCAATATTCCAACAAAACAGGCACGTTGAAAACACGTAGATTTGTTGGTGGTTTTATTTAATGTTGTCGATGATGCATAGACTCAATTCGTCTATGTGCATTAAATATTCTAGCACGCGAGCAGTTTGTCACTCTTCACTCTGTTTTGTCTCAATTGTAAGCTTTAGAGTATGATCTGCAAACTGTGGTTGAGTGATTCAATGCGAAAATTTCTTAATTGTAATTAATGCTGGTGTGTTTGTTTCATCCAAAGAATAGTCGCTGAACTCCTTGTCAATAAATTCATATTGTTGATGTCGGAGAGATGAAAAATCTCCAATGCTTTCGGAAACACCTTTCAGTTTGAGCGATTGAGAAGCTTGTGGATGTGTAGACAACCCGATAAAACCCATCTGAAAGTTAGGGTATCGGTCAAACACTGTCACTATCTAAGGAGGCTGACTTAATAGTTTGTTGAAGACTAAAGTGTACATTTTTCTGTCTCTAGTTCTGTAGGTGAACTTCTGATAACATCGGCTGTATGAATCCATGATGTGGACTAGTTGGAATGTTATTTTACCGTTCTTTGTTCCAGCAGTGCTCTGTGCACCGTGACTGTATAATGGATTATTTCTTAGTTTTAGTTAAGCTATTTGTGCATTGTGGATTGTTTTGACCACCTACTGGAATATGTTGACTGACATCTTTCAACTGTAGGAACGCCGACGAGATTGTGCAGGTACATTTTAATTGTGGTCCTTTGTTTGACCCTATTTGCATTTCTTGAAGCACATGGGTAATGTGATGCATCACTTATTCAACCTCTGTTTCATGATTCGATTAAGAGTTAGTGAATACTCATAAGAAATAATGGCATTGAACAACGATTTATGTGTCCAACTGAACACAAAATGAGTCGTTGGCTCGACCGAGGTCTTACGTATTGTCGATCGTGCTTTGAATGCCTTGTTACAGATATGTGTATAACATTGTCACTGATTATCTAACAGTGTGAGTTACATTTTGAATGTAATTTGAATGCTTTCTGAAACCACTAGGTCCACCATCGAGTCCAGTCAATGTGAAGGCAGTCGTCAATCCACCGAAAGCGTCTATCAAAGATCAAACGATAGAATTGATGTGGGAACAACCAACCGACCAAGTGTCTGCCAGTGGACCGGTCACAAACTTCTACATCGAATTGAAGCCTGAAGATTCAACTCGATGGCAGGACGTGAGTGCCGACTTCACAATCACTGAACCACACTTCACACTTCCTACTGATAAATTGCAAGAGTTTGTGAGTTATGAGTTCCGTGTAACGTCAGAGAATAAGGCTGGCAAGAGTAAACCTTCTTCACCATCGAATGCTGTTCAACTAGGTAAGGGATAACACTTGTTTCAGAGTTGTATGCATGTGTGTGCAGGTGTGTGTGTGTGTATGTATGTATCTATATGCATCGAATTCCAAGTGATTTCGCTTTAATCTATCTATTGGCCAAGATGAATGTATCCAAATCAGGTGGAATTAAGTTGGAGAGTAGGATGGACTAAGTCCTTACGAGAAACTTGTACTAGTGTGATCATTGCATGTCGCCTATTAGATTGACCTGTAAGAATGATCGGTCAGTAGTAATAGATGATTGATGTTGCATAGACTGAAGCAGCAGTACATGCAGCTGTGCGTTCAGTTGAAGAATCTGATTGTAGGAACTAACTACTGAACGTCCTAGGTTACTTCGTTTTTCCAACTGACTGATTACCAACCAAAGATAAATGGTAGATCATCTGGCAAATATATCAGTGGTCTTTATGACGAACGAGATAATGAGTAGTTTCAGGTGGTATTGATTTTTCTAATTTCCAATTGTACATGAATATCGTTAATTTGCACACGATCAAATTCGAATAATGGGCGTTTGGGAGCTGTGATAGTCATTGAGTTTGAGATTTAGTTATTATTCTGTAATGTAGAAGTGGTTCAGGATGAATGTATCAGTGTGGAATCTATCCATGTCAATGTTTGCTACTCACCGAATCACTGAAAGATGTGGAAAATGGTCTCAGAGTATCACACTTCATTGGTATTTTGAAGTGAAGCCATATTTTGATGCGGAATCTGAATGTCATGGGTGGAATATACCACTAGTGATGGATAGTTGAAAGACTCATTTGGATGTGCCTACTACCTTATTTAACAATGCATCTGTGTATTGAATGCATTTAGATTTGTGTAATGGACTACTGGAATGCTACATTCAAGCATAATACTCAGCAAATAGTATCATACCTAATTGATTTCAAGTCATTTCTATATTCGGTTTGTTTATTATTAGTGTGATCACATTTCAAAACACAACCAGTATCACTTTCATAATTAGTAGCAAGCGCAAAATCTTCTTTTCCATATTATAATAGAGTTGTTATTCATTTCATCTAGGTATACCGCTAGAATTCATTCGCCCATTGACGGATATAACTGTCAGCGCAGTGACAAATGAACCAGTCATACTTGAATGTGAACTATCTCGAACTCCACGTGACAAGATTCAATGGTTTAAGGATGGAAAAGCACTACCCAGCAAACTGTCGAGTAGAATAAAAGTTGAAGAGCTGGAGAATGGAAAAGTTCACCGAATTATCTTCAGTCCATTAGCTGAGGAAGATCTGGGTGTTTATTCTGTGAAAGTAGAGAATTTGACAAGTGAAGCACGAGTGGATATGAAGAGTGAGTTATTAATTACTGTTAATAAAGCTCATACGGAGTTTCGATTTTATTTCTCAACTGAAGTTATATTTAACTATTGAAGACCCATTTTTATTTGGTATATTAAAACTTTCTTAACAGAAACAAAATAATTGTCTTCTAGCGTGCCTCCTTTCTTCTTATGTTTGAAATTATTGTAAGTAGTAACGCTAATAATACATGTTGAATATTAGAATGAAAAAAGTTGTTGAATTTTCTATCCACTTACAGTTGCACCAACACTGAAGCTGTCGGAATCATTCTCTGACAAAGTCATCATGAAAGCAGGAGAGGCGGCCGTCTTCGAAATACCATTCGTCGCCAGTCCGAAACCGACAGTGACCTGGTCATGGAGGCCAAGAACACGTCCTGATGCGGAGTTGGGATCAGCTCAGACTCCACGATTTAAGGCTGACGTGGTGTCCGGACTGACATCACTTCCAGTGAGTAAGGTGAAGCGTGAAGATGCTGGTGAGTACAGTGTGGTCATCAGTAATGAATTGGGCGAGGTGACAGTGAGCATTGAGTTGATTGTATTGGACAAACCATCTGTACCTCGCAATTTAGTTGCGAGTGATAACACTGGTGAGAGTGTTTTGTTCAGTTGGACGGAACCAGAATTCCTCGGTCTTCATCCTGATGTAGGAGTTAGTGATGGATTGAGTTACGTTGTCGAGATGCGTGAGTCAAATCAACGTGCGAGTAGGTCGGTGACAGTGACGAGTGAATTGAATACTCTTATAGACAAATTGCAAGTGAACAAGTCGTATGTGTTTAGTGTTGCAGCTAAAAATGATGTCGGTCAGTCGGAATTCGCTGAAACGAGTCCAGTTTCGACGAAGTTGGAATATGGTAAGTTTGTGTTTGTATTATATAGTTTTGTTTATGATTGAATTTTCGAGGCTATTGACCTTGTCGGCAAAGCATGTTGTTACTCGATAGATCTCAGCAAAAGTGCTTGGATAAGGCTTTCAAACGGACAATGCTTGGATTTACTTTTCAACCGATTTTGAAGTTTTTTCAACCGGACACAAAGAAAATGAAATTCGTCGTTCACCTGTGCTCTGAATGTCAACTGAATTGAGTAGCGACAATTATTTAGTCGATCCAAAATCTCATTGAGGTCCATTGATTTCTGGTTAGGAAGAATGTCAGACGGTTCCTTACAGAGATCTATGTATGAATTTAGAGTTGCTTAAGTCGTTCAACTGTCTATGCTGAGGTACTCTAAACACAATGTTGTCGAGATGAGTATGAGTATGAGACTATTGGAACGTCTGTTTAGCGTTTAGACAGCTCTGGTATCACCGAAAATCTATTACAAGTTTTATGGTGTACATTCAGCTACTCACATAGATCAATATTCCAACAAAACAGGCACGTTGAAAACACGTAGATTTGTTGGTGGTTTTATTTAATGTTGTCGATGATGCATAGACTCAATTCGTCTATGTGCATTAAATATTCTAGCACGCGAGCAGTTTGTCACTCTTCACTCTGTTTTGTCTCAATTGTAAGCTTTAGAGTATGATCTGCAAACTGTGGTTGAGTGATTCAATGCGAAAATTTCTTAATTGTAATTAATGCTGGTGTGTTTGTTTCATCCAAAGAATAGTCGCTGAACTCCTTGTCAATAAATTCATATTGTTGATGTCGGAGAGATGAAAAATCTCCAATGCTTTCGGAAACACCTTTCAGTTTGAGCGATTGAGAAGCTTGTGGATGTGTAGACAACCCGATAAAACCCATCTGAAAGTTAGGGTATCGGTCAAACACTGTCACTATCTAAGGAGGCTGACTTAATAGTTTGTTGATGACTAAAGTGTATATTTTTCTGTCTCTAGTTCTGTAGGTGAACTTCTGATAACATCGGCTGTATGAATCCATGATGTGGACTAGTTGGAATGTTATTTTACCGTTCTTTGTTCCAGCAGTGCTCTGTGCACCGTGACTGTATAATGGATTATTTCTTAGTTTTAGTTAAGCTATTTGTGCATTGTGGATTGTTTTGACCACCTACTGGAATATGTTGACTGACATCTTTCAACTGTAGGAACGCCGACGAGATTGTGCAGGTACATTTTAATTGTGGTCCTTTGTTTGACCCTATTTGCATTTCTTGAAGCACATGGGTAATGTGATGCATCACTTATTCAACCTCTGTTTCATGATTCGATTAAGAGTTAGTGAATACTCATAAGAAATAATGGCATTGAACAACGATTTATGTGTCCAACTGAACACAAAATGAGTCGTTGGCTCGACCGAGGTCTTACGTATTGTCAATCGTGCTTTGAATGCCTTGTTACAGATATGTGTATAACATTGTCACTGATTATCTAACAGTGTGAGTTACATTTTGAATGTAATTTGAATGCTTTCTGAAACCACTAGGTCCACCATCGAGTCCAGTCAATGTGAAGGCAGTCGTCAATCCACCGAAAGCGTCTATCAAAGATCAAACGATAGAATTGACGTGGGAACAACCAACCGACCAAGTGTCTGCCAGTGGACCGGTCACAAACTTCTACATCGAATTGAAGCCTGAAGATTCAACTCGATGGCAGGACGTGAGTGCCGACTTCACAATCACTGAACCACACTTCACACTTCCTACTGATAAATTGCAAGAGTTTGTGAGTTATGAGTTCCGTGTAACGTCAGAGAATAAGGCTGGCAAGAGTAAACCTTCTTCACCATCGAATGCTGTTCAACTAGGTAAGGGATAACACTTGTTTCAGAGTTGTATGCATGTGTGTGCAGGTGTGTGTGTGTGTATGTATGTATCTATATGCATCGAATTCCAAGTGATTTCGCTTTGATCTATCTATTGGCCAAGATGAATGTATCCAAATCAGGTGGAATTAAGTTGGAGAGTAGGATGGACTAAGTCCTTACGAGAAACTTGTACTAGTGTGATCATTGCATGTCGCCTATTAGATTGACCTGTAAGAATGATCGGTCAGTAGTAATAGATGATTGATGTTGCATAGACTGAAGCAGCAGTACATGCAGCTGTGCGTTCAGTTGAAGAATCTGATTGTAGGAACTAACTACTGAACGTCCTAGGTTACTTCGTTTTTCCAACTGACTGATTACCAACCAAAGATAAATGGTAGATCATCTGGCAAATATATCAGTGGTCTTTATGACGAACGAGATAATGAGTAGTTTCAGGTGGTATTGATTTTTCTAATTTCCAATTGTACATGAATATCGTTAATTTGCACACGATCAAATTCGAATAATGGGCGTTTGGGAGCTGTGATAGTCATTGAGTTTGAGATTTAGTTATTATTCTGTAATGTAGAAGTGGTTCAGGATGAATGTATCAGTGTGGAATCTATCCATGTCAATGTTTGCTACTCACCGAATCACTGAAAGATGTGGAAAATGATCTCAGAGTATCACACTTCATTGGTATTTTGAAGTGAAGCCATATTTTGATGCGGAATCTGAATGTCATGGGCGGAATATACCACTAGTGATGGATAGTTGAAAGACTCATTTGGATGTGCCTACTACCTTATTTAACAATGCATCTGTGTATTGAATGCATTTAGATTTGTGTAATGGACTACTGGAATGCTACATTCAAGCATAATACTCAGCAAATAGTATCATACCTAATTGATTTCAAGTCATTTCTATATTCGGTTTGTTTATTATTAGTGTGATCACATTTCAAAACACAACCAGTATCACTTTCATAATTAGTAGCAAGCGCAAAATCTTCTTTTCCATATTATAATAGAGTTGTTATTCATTTCATCTAGGTATACCGCTAGAATTCATTCGCCCATTGACGGATATAACTGTCAGCGCAGTGACAAATGAACCAGTCATACTTGAATGTGAACTATCTCGAACTCCACGTGACAAGATTCAATGGTTTAAGGATGGAAAAGCACTACCCAGCAAACTGTCGAGTAGAATAAAAGTTGAAGAGCTGGAGAATGGAAAAGTTCACCGAATTATCTTCAGTCCATTAGCTGAGGAAGATCTGGGTGTTTATTCTGTGAAAGTAGAGAATTTGACAAGTGAAGCACGAGTGGATATGAAGAGTGAGTTATTAATTACTGTTAATAAAGCTCATACGGAGTTTCGATTTTATTTCTCAACTGAAGTTATATTTAACTATTGAAGACCCATTTTTATTTGGTATATTAAAACTTTCTTAACAGAAACAAAATAATTGTCTTCTAGCGTGCCTCCTTTCTTCTTATGTTTGAAATTATTGTAAGTAGTAACGCTAATAATACATGTTGAATATTAGAATGAAAAAAGTTGTTGAATTTTCTATCCACTTACAGTTGCACCAACACTGAAGCTGTCGGAATCATTCTCTGACAAAGTCATCATGAAAGCAGGAGAGGCGGCCGTCTTCGAAATACCATTCGTCGCCAGTCCGAAACCGACAGTGACCTGGTCATGGAGGCCAAGAACACGTCCTGATGCGGAGTTGGGATCAGCTCAGACTCCACGATTTAAGGCTGACGTGGTGTCCGGACTGACATCACTTCCAGTGAGTAAGGTGAAGCGTGAAGATGCTGGTGAGTACAGTGTGGTCATCAGTAATGAATTGGGCGAGGTGACAGTGAGCATTGAGTTGATTGTATTGGACAAACCATCTGTACCTCGCAATTTAGTTGCGAGTGATAACACTGGTGAGAGTGTTTTGTTCAGTTGGACGGAACCAGAATTCCTCGGTCTTCATCCTGATGTAGGAGTTAGTGATGGATTGAGTTACGTTGTCGAGATGCGTGAGTCAAATCAACGTGCGAGTAGGTCGGTGACAGTGACGAGTGAATTGAATACTCTTATAGACAAATTGCAAGTGAACAAGTCGTATGTGTTTAGTGTTGCAGCTAAAAATGATGTCGGTCAGTCGGAATTCGCTGAAACGAGTCCAGTTTCGACGAAGTTGGAATATGGTAAGTTTGTGTTTGTATTATATAGTTTTGTTTATGATTGAATTTTCGAGGCTATTGACCTTGTCGGCAAAGCATGTTGTTACTCGATAGATCTCAGCAAAAGTGCTTGGATAAGGCTTTCAAACGGACAATGCTTGGATTTACTTTTCAACCGATTTTGAAGTTTTTTCAACCGGACACAAAGAAAATGAAATTCGTCGTTCACCTGTGCTCTGAATGTCAACTGAATTGAGTAGCGACAATTATTTAGTCGATCCAAAATCTCATTGAGGTCCATTGATTTCTGGTTAGGAAGAATGTCAGACGGTTCCTTACAGAGATCTATGTATGAATTTAGAGTTGCTTAAGTCGTTCAACTGTCTATGCTGAGGTACTCTAAACACAATGTTGTCGAGATGAGTATGAGTATGAGACTATTGGAACGTCTGTTTAGCGTTTAGACAGCTCTGGTATCACCGAAAATCTATTACAAGTTTTATGGTGTACATTCAGCTACTCACATAGATCAATATTCCAACAAAACAGGCACGTTGAAAACACGTAGATTTGTTGGTGGTTTTATTTAATGTTGTCGATGATGCATAGACTCAATTCGTCTATGTGCATTAAATATTCTAGCACGCGAGCAGTTTGTCACTCTTCACTCTGTTTTGTCTCAATTGTAAGCTTTAGAGTATGATCTGCAAACTGTGGTTGAGTGATTCAATGCGAAAATTTCTTAATTGTAATTAATGCTGGTGTGTTTGTTTCATCCAAAGAATAGTCGCTGAACTCCTTGTCAATAAATTCATATTGTTGATGTCGGAGAGATGAAAAATCTCCAATGCTTTCGGAAACACCTTTCAGTTTGAGCGATTGAGAAGCTTGTGGATGTGTAGACAACCCGATAAAACCCATCTGAAAGTTAGGGTATCGGTCAAACACTGTCACTATCTAAGGAGGCTGACTTAATAGTTTGTTGATGACTAAAGTGTATATTTTTCTGTCTCTAGTTCTGTAGGTGAACTTCTGATAACATCGGCTGTATGAATCCATGATGTGGACTAGTTGGAATGTTATTTTACCGTTCTTTGTTCCAGCAGTGCTCTGTGCACCGTGACTGTATAATGGATTATTTCTTAGTTTTAGTTAAGCTATTTGTGCATTGTGGATTGTTTTGACCACCTACTGGAATATGTTGACTGACATCTTTCAACTGTAGGAACGCCGACGAGATTGTGCAGGTACATTTTAATTGTGGTCCTTTGTTTGACCCTATTTGCATTTCTTGAAGCACATGGGTAATGTGATGCATCACTTATTCAACCTCTGTTTCATGATTCGATTAAGAGTTAGTGAATACTCATAAGAAATAATGGCATTGAACAACGATTTATGTGTCCAACTGAACACAAAATGAGTCGTTGGCTCGACCGAGGTCTTACGTATTGTCAATCGTGCTTTGAATGCCTTGTTACAGATATGTGTATAACATTGTCACTGATTATCTAACAGTGTGAGTTACATTTTGAATGTAATTTGAATGCTTTCTGAAACCACTAGGTCCACCATCGAGTCCAGTCAATGTGAAGGCAGTCGTCAATCCACCGAAAGCGTCTATCAAAGATCAAACGATAGAATTGACGTGGGAACAACCAACCGACCAAGTGTCTGCCAGTGGACCGGTCACAAACTTCTACATCGAATTGAAGCCTGAAGATTCAACTCGATGGCAGGACGTGAGTGCCGACTTCACAATCACTGAACCACACTTCACACTTCCTACTGATAAATTGCAAGAGTTTGTGAGTTATGAGTTCCGTGTAACGTCAGAGAATAAGGCTGGCAAGAGTAAACCTTCTTCACCATCGAATGCTGTTCAACTAGGTAAGGGATAACACTTGTTTCAGAGTTGTATGCATGTGTGTGCAGGTGTGTGTGTGTGTGTGTATGTATCTATATGCATCGAATTCCAAGTGATTTCGCTTTAATCTATCTATTGGCCAAGATGAATGTATCCAAATCAGGTGGAATTAAGTTGGAGAGTAGGATGGACTAAGTCCTTACGAGAAACTTGTACTAGTGTGATCATTGCATGTCGCCTATTAGATTGACCTGTAAGAATGATCGGTCAGTAGTAATAGATGATTGATGTTGCATAGACTGAAGCAGCAGTACATGCAGCTGTGCGTTCAGTTGAAGAATCTGATTGTAGGAACTAACTACTGAACGTCCTAGGTTACTTCGTTTTTCCAACTGACTGATTACCAACCAAAGATAAATGGTAGATCATCTGGCAAATATATCAGTGGTCTTTATGACGAACGAGATAATGAGTAGTTTCAGGTGGTATTGATTTTTCTAATTTCCAATTGTACATGAATATTGTTAATTTGCACACGATCAAATTCGAATAATGGGCGTTTGGGAGCTGTGATAGTCATTGAGTTTGAGATTTAGTTATTATTCTGTAATGTAGAAGTGGTTCAGGATGAATGTATCAGTGTGGAATCTATCCATGTCAATGTTTGCTACTCACCGAATCACTGAAAGATGTGGAAAATGATCTCAGAGTATCACACTTCATTGGTATTTTGAAGTGAAGCCATATTTTGATGCGGAATCTGAATGTCATGGGCGGAATATACCACTAGTGATGGATAGTTGAAAGACTCATTTGGATGTGCCTACTACCTTATTTAACAATGCATCTGTGTATTGAATGCATTTAGATTTGTGTAATGGACTACTGGAATGCTACATTCAAGCATAATACTCAGCAAATAGTATCATACCTAATTGATTTCAAGTCATTTCTATATTCGGTTTGTTTATTATTAGTGTGATCACATTTCAAAACACAACCAGTATCACTTTCATAATTAGTAGCAAGCGCAAAATCTTCTTTTCCATATTATAATAGAGTTGTTATTCATTTCATCTAGGTATACCGCTAGAATTCATTCGCCCATTGACGGATATAACTGTCAGCGCAGTGACAAATGAACCAGTCATACTTGAATGTGAACTATCTCGAACTCCACGTGACAAGATTCAATGGTTTAAGGATGGAAAAGCACTACCCAGCAAACTGTCGAGTAGAATAAAAGTTGAAGAGCTGGAGAATGGAAAAGTTCACCGAATTATCTTCAGTCCATTAGCTGAGGAAGATCTGGGTGTTTATTCTGTGAAAGTAGAGAATTTGACAAGTGAAGCACGAGTGGATATGAAGAGTGAGTTATTAATTACTGTTAATAAAGCTCATACGGAGTTTCGATTTTATTTCTCAACTGAAGTTATATTTAACTATTGAAGACCCATTTTTATTTGGTATATTAAAACTTTCTTAACAGAAACAAAATAATTGTCTTCTAGCGTGCCTCCTTTCTTCTTATGTTTGAAATTATTGTAAGTAGTAACGCTAATAATACATGTTGAATATTAGAATGAAAAAAGTTGTTGAATTTTCTATCCACTTACAGTTGCACCAACACTGAAGCTGTCGGAATCATTCTCTGACAAAGTCATCATGAAAGCAGGAGAGGCGGCCGTCTTCGAAATACCATTCGTCGCCAGTCCGAAACCGACAGTGACCTGGTCATGGAGGCCAAGAACACGTCCTGATGCGGAGTTGGGATCAGCTCAGACTCCACGATTTAAGGCTGACGTGGTGTCCGGACTGACATCACTTCCAGTGAGTAAGGTGAAGCGTGAAGATGCTGGTGAGTACAGTGTGGTCATCAGTAATGAATTGGGCGAGGTGACAGTGAGCATTGAGTTGATTGTATTGGACAAACCATCTGTACCTCGCAATTTAGTTGCGAGTGATAACACTGGTGAGAGTGTTTTGTTCAGTTGGACGGAACCAGAATTCCTCGGTCTTCATCCTGATGTAGGAGTTAGTGATGGATTGAGTTACGTTGTCGAGATGCGTGAGTCAAATCAACGTGCGAGTAGGTCGGTGACAGTGACGAGTGAATTGAATACTCTTATAGACAAATTGCAAGTGAACAAGTCGTATGTGTTTAGTGTTGCAGCTAAAAATGATGTCGGTCAGTCGGAATTCGCTGAAACGAGTCCAGTTTCGACGAAGTTGGAATATGGTAAGTTTGTGTTTGTATTATATAGTTTTGTTTATGATTGAATTTTCGAGGCTATTGACCTTGTCGGCAAAGCATGTTGTTACTCGATAGATCTCAGCAAAAGTGCTTGGATAAGGCTTTCAAACGGACAATGCTTGGATTTACTTTTCAACCGATTTTGAAGTTTTTTCAACCGGACACAAAGAAAATGAAATTCGTCGTTCACCTGTGCTCTGAATGTCAACTGAATTGAGTAGCGACAATTATTTAGTCGATCCAAAATCTCATTGAGGTCCATTGATTTCTGGTTAGGAAGAATGTCAGACGGTTCCTTACAGAGATCTATGTATGAATTTAGAGTTGCTTAAGTCGTTCAACTGTCTATGCTGAGGTACTCTAAACACAATGTTGTCGAGATGAGTATGAGTATGAGACTATTGGAACGTCTGTTTAGCGTTTAGACAGCTCTGGTATCACCGAAAATCTATTACAAGTTTTATGGTGTACATTCAGCTACTCACATAGATCAATATTCCAACAAAACAGGCACGTTGAAAACACGTAGATTTGTTGGTGGTTTTATTTAATGTTGTCGATGATGCATAGACTCAATTCGTCTATGTGCATTAAATATTCTAGCACGCGAGCAGTTTGTCACTCTTCACTCTGTTTTGTCTCAATTGTAAGCTTTAGAGTATGATCTGCAAACTGTGGTTGAGTGATTCAATGCGAAAATTTCTTAATTGTAATTAATGCTGGTGTGTTTGTTTCATCCAAAGAATAGTCGCTGAACTCCTTGTCAATAAATTCATATTGTTGATGTCGGAGAGATGAAAAATCTCCAATGCTTTCGGAAACACCTTTCAGTTTGAGCGATTGAGAAGCTTGTGGATGTGTAGACAACCCGATAAAACCCATCTGAAAGTTAGGGTATCGGTCAAACACTGTCACTATCTAAGGAGGCTGACTTAATAGTTTGTTGATGACTAAAGTGTATATTTTTCTGTCTCTAGTTCTGTAGGTGAACTTCTGATAACATCGGCTGTATGAATCCATGATGTGGACTAGTTGGAATGTTATTTTACCGTTCTTTGTTCCAGCAGTGCTCTGTGCACCGTGACTGTATAATGGATTATTTCTTAGTTTTAGTTAAGCTATTTGTGCATTGTGGATTGTTTTGACCACCTACTGGAATATGTTGACTGACATCTTTCAACTGTAGGAACGCCGACGAGATTGTGCAGGTACATTTTAATTGTGGTCCTTTGTTTGACCCTATTTGCATTTCTTGAAGCACATGGGTAATGTGATGCATCACTTATTCAACCTCTGTTTCATGATTCGATTAAGAGTTAGTGAATACTCATAAGAAATAATGGCATTGAACAACGATTTATGTGTCCAACTGAACACAAAATGAGTCGTTGGCTCGACCGAGGTCTTACGTATTGTCAATCGTGCTTTGAATGCCTTGTTACAGATATGTGTATAACATTGTCACTGATTATCTAACAGTGTGAGTTACATTTTGAATGTAATTTGAATGCTTTCTGAAACCACTAGGTCCACCATCGAGTCCAGTCAATGTGAAGGCAGTCGTCAATCCACCGAAAGCGTCTATCAAAGATCAAACGATAGAATTGACGTGGGAACAACCAACCGACCAAGTGTCTGCCAGTGGACCGGTCACAAACTTCTACATCGAATTGAAGCCTGAAGATTCAACTCGATGGCAGGACGTGAGTGCCGACTTCACAATCACTGAACCACACTTCACACTTCCTACTGATAAATTGCAAGAGTTTGTGAGTTATGAGTTCCGTGTAACGTCAGAGAATAAGGCTGGCAAGAGTAAACCTTCTTCACCATCGAATGCTGTTCAACTAGGTAAGGGATAACACTTGTTTCAGAGTTGTATGCATGTGTGTGCAGGTGTGTGTGTGTGTGTGTATGTATCTATATGCATCGAATTCCAAGTGATTTCGCTTTAATCTATCTATTGGCCAAGATGAATGTATCCAAATCAGGTGGAATTAAGTTGGAGAGTAGGATGGACTAAGTCCTTACGAGAAACTTGTACTAGTGTGATCATTGCATGTCGCCTATTAGATTGACCTGTAAGAATGATCGGTCAGTAGTAATAGATGATTGATGTTGCATAGACTGAAGCAGCAGTACATGCAGCTGTGCGTTCAGTTGAAGAATCTGATTGTAGGAACTAACTACTGAGCTTTCTTGGTTTCTTCGTTTTTTAATTTTCATTTCATTCTTTTTGCTTTCTTTCTTTGACTCTATCTGCCTGGGATTGTTTATTTTCATTTTATTATTGGATATTACGTCACTTCCTATATAATCATCACAGCATACATCCTGCGCAAGTAAATCGATATTACTGTCATCAATTTTTCAATTTTTATCCATTGCAAATCATTCAAATTTTTTTTTTAATTTACGACTTTCGCATCGGCGAGTGTTCGTATGTTGTCAGTAACTAAATGGATAACATTTTGGCTCTTAAATCTTAGTATTCGGTTTTATGTACGTCTAACTGTCAAGTTCTATATAGTACGAAATACTCGTCTTAGATTTTACTTCTATCTGCGATTCATTTTTACAGTATGCACAATTAATTTGACAAATCTTTAATTACGAATTTTTTTAAAAAATCGAGGTGGACTGATGTAAGCTGAAAATCTTCGATGATTTTAGTTGTTATTTTAATTGATGTCTATATTTGTTGTGCTAATATGTATTATAGAAAGAGCAACAGAGGAGACTTTTAAAAAAAATGATTTCTGTAAATCAAAGCATTATGTCATAATTGGTATTTTATTAAAATATAAATTTTATTAGCTGATTAACAGTGAAATAAAAAATAAGTAATATGAAACTGAAATTCAGGTTCTGAAAATGGATGGATGACATCAAATTGAGAGTGATTTATATGTCTTTCATCGGATATAAAGTAGTTTCTGATCTCATTGAAATCCTGAACCGATTTAAGTAAAGCAACCACTGAAAACATGTAAGCACAGGATAGTCGTTTGATCTTAATGTAGGACTCCACGGCAATGCATATACTCAACCCCAGATGCACAAACTCTAAAAATTTCTGCATGCGCGGTCGTGGATGTGCACTGGTTATAAGCCCTATACTAAGGTTAAACGACCGTCTAGTACTTCCAAATTTTCAGTGGTTGTTTAACTTAAAACGGCTCAACAGTCTTCACAACCCTATACTTACAGCTTCTGATCTTTCTATTGCCACCGCCTCAGCAAAACATAGTCTATTCGAAACCTTACATTGTTTGCTTCGATTGTGTCCAATTTCAAGCAGATGATGAGCAATTGTACTACTGAAAATGTCCTATCGTTTCAGCTGAAACGTTTTTGAAATATTCTAACTTTCATGAAGTGAGCACTTTAACTAGTAGAGTTAGCGGAGATCATTTTATAATACAGACAGGAAATAACGGTAATGGCATTGAAAACGAAAGGAAATGAGACATATTTTTACCCGGCCGTCTGTAACCGCCGCTTTATATGTTAAAATGTATGTGTAACTATAAATATAACTTTAAAAATAAAATTTATCCGACAACAATAAATATGTTGGTTACCATGAAATAATTTACAGAATATATCATTGAATAACAGTTAAGAATCCAAAATTTCAGTGGTTGAGATGATGAATCAATTGAAGCTAGACCACCATGGAAAACCTGAAAGTACTGGATCGCCGTTTCGTGATATTGTGGGACACCTTAGCGGTGCCCATCTGCGATCCCGAACGCGTGATGAGAACCCAGGACCAATCGATCTCGAGCGTGAACAATTAACCTTTACAGAACTGAGCCAGCCGGCAACCAACGGTGTTAATGTCTTACTTCAACTAAATTGAGCGACACATTCACCGTTGTCATCATTTACTACCTCGCAACAGACCTGGTTGAATTCCGCTGGTCACTGCTTCTCACTAGAACCTAGGAAATACCTCTTGAATATTTACTGTAGAACCCCAAATACTCTTTCATCGAATTTTATTTCAAGAGGTATAATATGATACTCATCATTGATTGAAAATGAAAAACAAACACAAATCACAAATACTTTATAACTCTTAATCTTTCTCATTTTCCAGGCATTCCACTCGAATTTATACGACCACTAACTGACTTGACTGTTGACAAAGTAACCAAGGAACCAGTCATCCTTGAGTGCGAATTATCTCGTACTCCTCGTGATAAAGTACAATGGTTGAAGGATGGGAAACCTATTGGTCGTCTACCAGACCGTGTGACAATTGAGGAGTTGGAGAATGGAAAAATCCATCGTGTGAAGTTCATTTCATTAATGGATGATGATTTGGGTGTATATAGTTTACGTGTTGAGAAGTTATCTAGTGAATGTCGATTAGATATGAAAGGTATGTCTATAAATTTTGTGTGAATTTTTTTAAAATTTGTTTTGAATTCCTTTATGAGTTACATATTAGTGCTCACAGATAACAATTACATTTTCGATCTAAAATTATACCAATAAATTCGAGTCATGTGTGCTATAAATTTTACCCTTATTACTACTATTATTACACTAATATTGATTACTGCTTATGGCTAATGATCATGTCTACACAGTACTCTTACTCGTGCGCAACCTACCAGTCGGGTTGCTTGAAAATTCAGATAAATTAATCAAACCATAAACACCATTTATTCAAACTCAAAACCTCGCTTAATAATATATATGATCAATTTGTTATACTAGAGGTGCTTTGGCATTCAAAACACAATTCACTCCTATTAGAAAACTTTATATCTTCAAGTCCCTTCCCTAGACTGCCATATTTCATCTCTAAGATTATGATCTTGCTTTTAATCGCTTATCCTGGACATAAAGGTACATATTCAAGAAATATATTTCAATATTTTTCCGCTTTAACTAGAATGATAAATGGAATAAATATCTTCAAAATGACATTTCTCATACTAATATTGAATTTGATTAGATGACAGTATAATCTTCTAATTGTAGACCATAGTACTCAACGTTCCACTTTAAAGAGTTAAAATAAAATTGTTCAATAAATAAAAAAAATCCTCTTGTAAAAAAAAACGTGCAGCATAGTTTATTCAAACACATTCACTTTATGAATCATACAACCGTAAATCCAAAACCTTGAAATCAAACAGTGAATGACATGCATTTTGTTAACTAATCGACAGACATTTTAATGCCTAAAGTATTTTTTACAACTGGTAATCATTTGTTATCTGTACACTTACAGTACCACCAACATTGAGATTATCTGATTCGTTCTCCGATCGAGTGGTCATCAAGGCTGGAGGTGCTATGGTGTTCGAAATACCATTCACTGCCAGTCCTAAACCAAAAGTCGAATGGACATGGAGACAGCGAAGTCGACCAGATGGTGAATTGGGACCGGTACAAAGTCCACGATTTAAGGCTGACGTGGTGTCGGGATTGACGTCATTGCCTGTGAGTAAGGTGAAGCGTGAGGATGCCGGTGACTACACAGTGGTGATCAGTAACGAGTTGGGTGAAGTGTCTGTGACGATTCAGATGATTGTGATTGACAAGCCATCTGTACCTCGTGATTTGGAGGTGAGTGAGAACAGTGGTGAGAGTGTGTTGTTGAGTTGGAAGGAGCCCGAATTCGTTGGTTTGTCCACGACGCCGACGACGACGGATGTGAGTGGTGCTGGTGGATTGTTGGAGTATGTGGTTGAGATGCGTGAGTCTAGTCAACGTGCTGGTCGTGGAGTGAGAAAAACGAGTGAATTGAGTGTGAGGATTGACGATCTTCAGATCAACAAGTCGTATGTGTTTAGTGTTGCAGCGAAGAATGATGTTGGTCAATCAGAGTTTGCAGAAACGAAACCAGTTTCTACTAAATTAGATTATGGTAAGTATATTTCTACTCAGATTTTTATTGTTTTCCTTAGTTATTTCAAATTGTATATTCTAGATCATTTACGCATCAATATTACGACTACAACTGGTTATGAGTTGGACCACTGAAAATAAAACATTTCTTAATAAATGGTTCATGCTAATAAGGTTGTGTTAATGAAACACGTTTTCAGTAGTTCTCATAAGGATAACTGGGAACCATATTTTTTTAGAACAAATATACATTTTTAGCCGTCGATCACTTCCTGACTTAAGTTCGCTAATATCTACTAGCTTATTTAATCACTTTTTTAGCCTAACTAGGTTAATCATTTCATTCTCTGTAGACTTAGTGTAGATGGGAAATTATGAGAATAAATTAAAATATGCTTGCCAAGTAATAAATGACACTGATTTGGTTGTCTACATCAGGAAAATTTCAAGTACTTTCTCATTGGATTAACAATATTCTTTTAGTCAACGAACCTGTTACTGACAACAAGCTTATACAGCGTTCCACAAAGTATTTAGAAAAATATATATAGTATGAATTCGGCTACGACACTAACAAAAATAACTCAAGCTTAACTACCGTATATGCCAAAACTTGATTCTCCACACAAATTTCACCCATTTCGATGCCAATTATCAGGAAATTATAAAGAATACCTTCATGAGTTGCCCAATTACCTTTCAATTCCTCTTCTTGAGATTGTGAATTTATAACTCCTGGTTACCTTACGTCAGAATAAGTTGAGTAGATTCAAATACATGTTTAACTTTCATACAGACCTCTTTGATCATTATTATTCAAACGTGTTGAATAACTACCTAAAGAACATAGAATAAAAGAATAAACACAGGAAAAAAGATTAACTCTAATCATTTTCCTATTGAATGCTAATAAATCAAAGTTATTCACTAAATGCTTTTAAATAACTAAAATAAAATATATGTATAACAAACAAGTACCGAATATTATGTTAATAAACTAAAATGAGTCACTGATGTGGATGTAATGTAGAATCGAAAAAGCAGTATCAGGAATCCAGTCAAGTTTCATTCTTCTTATGGCAAACATAAAACTGCGATCTATGTACAAAACAATTTTCACAAAATATGTGCATCTAGAAATATGGTAGGAAGGATTATTATTGATTTGTATTTATTAGCTTGAATTTAAGCTTACAAAATCTCGATATTTACTAAAACCACTAGGTCCACCATCGAGTCCAGTCAATGTGAAGGCAGTCGTCAATCCACTGAAAGCGTCTATCAAAGATCAAACGATAGAATTGACGTGGGAACAACCAACCGGCCAAGTGTCTGCCAGTGGACCGGTCACAAACTTCTACATCGAATTGAAGCCTGAAGATTCAACTCGATGGCAGGACGTGAGTGCCGACTTCACAATCACTGAACCACACTTCACACTTCCTACTGATAAATTGCAAGAGTTTGTGAGTTATGAGTTCCGTGTAACATCAGAGAATAAAGCTGGCAAGAGTAAACCTTCCTCACCATCAAATGCAATACAATTAGGTGAGTTCTGTGTTTGAGTTTGTTGAGTTCTCTTATTTAGTGTCTTTGTCTCTACCATATAAGTGACTTTCCGATACATTATGAACTTCGTGTTTGTAAATTGATAAGCAAGTTGTTCATACAAAACTGCTTCAGATCATGCGATATGTGTGTTTAATTTCCTAAAAATACTATATTTTATAACATTTCATAATGATCAAGTTCTGTCAATTGAATTGCAGTATGGATTCTGGTTTGTGTAACCCAACATGGGATACGTTATTTCAAGATTTTAGGATGCCGGAGACAGTCAATGGAAATCTCTGGATGTAAGTTTCAATAGAATTCGGTCAACCATAAGGTTTAGACATATATAACATTGGTCACTATTCAGTAATCACTCAACTTTAAGTACATCGGTCCTACAGGACGTCAGTTTATTCCATAATAGCTCAGTGATAACGATTTAAACTTCGACGTCGAACAATGCCTAATCTAATCCCTTAGAGATCATCAATTCCCTAAACATTACAGTTTTCCTTTTCTGACAAATATCAACTACCACAAAGCTCGCACCAGATTACGTTTCTTGTCAAATACTTCCAAACACGTATAATCTCAGTTAACTCATCAGTAATATTTCAGTTCCACTTAATTTATCATTTATTATCAATAGACAATGAACCTTGATTGTCAAAATGATCTGTCATTCATCTAGATGTAATAAAAAATAACAGTAATGATGATCAGCTGTCTGGGATGATTAGAAATTCTCTTACTACTGCATTTGTGAATAGCCTTTGTTCATTATAAACATAGATGTATGATGGCTAGCAGTGAAGTCCAGGACGCGCGTTTCGCCGTACTCAGAACACTTAAGTTGGATGTGTCTACCTGCTCATTCCGGGACTCGAACCCAGTATCTTTCGCTTCAACCGCCATCACATTATCCATTTAGCAACTGAGTCCGATTAGCTACTAGCTTGTGTGATGGGGTAAAGTTTAATTCGTTTTTGTATTTGTTGTTTGAATCTTCCCATTGATGTTTAGTAGTGCAATGGATCAATCTATTATTGGCATATGTGCATCCTGTTTGGATTGCCTCGATATTCCTTTCAGTCACATATGACAATAAAAGACTAATCAACTGCAATCTTAAACATCTATGGGAAGTAACAAACGTTCAATACAAAAATAAGTTTTTGTTCATGTTAGATACATTTGTGCAATGTTGCAATATCTACTTTACAAGCTGATATTTCATTGAGATTTTTATTTACACAGAATGATTCATAAAAAGGTAAGTGTTCCACCTATATGTTACAAAAAAAATATTCAAAAGTTGAAAATTTACTACAAAACTCTACTAATAGTCGTTTTAAGCATTAGTTTTTATCATGAAATCTTTAAATTTCGGCTAAGATTCAACTCTATTCACTTTTAACGGGATGTTACACAAACAAACTAATGGTGTAGCAATGGGATCCCCCGTATCCCCGATTGTAGATAACCCGTTTATGGCAAACATTAAATCAAATATTTTCATCAACAACATTAAACCACGAATTTTGCTTAGATATGTAGATGATACCTACATTGTGATAAAAAAGACTCATCTAAGATCTTTTTCGAAACGAATCAATAAACTTCCACCGAACATCAAATTTACGAACGAGAATGAAAATGAACATGTTGAGTTTCCATTTTTAGATTACTAAGTGGAAAGAAATCAAAATGAAATTCTAAATCCATCCATCTACCATAAACCTACACTCTCTAATCGTTATATTAACTTCAATTCAGCACATCCATTCAGTGCAAAGATCTCGCTAGCCTTAAATCTTTTTAGAAGTACTAACAAGATTATCACATCGGAAGAAGATAAACAAAAAGAATAAAAGAATGTAATTGACATCTTACAACTTAATAATTTTCCTATGAAGATTATTAGAAGTATATGAAAACAAGACGTTTCATTGCGTAATAATAATAGTTCGAATGAAATACCATGGATTGGTACTGCAGTTTTAACATAACGTCATTGCACAACAGAATAACTCAACATAGAATTAAAGTATATTACAAAACGACGAACACACTTCGAAATACTTTAAATCGCTTAACAGAAAAAAAAACCCTCTTCATGTCAACACAGAACTGCGTCTACAAATTAAGATGTGTCGATTGTGATGCCTTCTATATTGGAGAATCATCTCGTGAAATCTTGACTCGAACCAAAGAAAACACCTAACAATCACATAGAACTGGATAGACTTCAAAGTAAATCAGCAATAGCAGTTCACGTTATTTTCAACGATCAATAAATCGATTTCAAAAATATCAAAATATCACAAGAACATTTTTACAATTACAAAGAGAGGAGAGTAGTTGAAGCATTCCATATAATGCTTAATCCTACTGCTCTCAATGGAAAAGAAAGCTTTACTATACATCCGACTTGGACTATCTATCCAAGATACCATATCTGATATTATTCACATTTCACACTATTATCTTACATAAAAATTATACTCCATCCTTTCTCACCATGAAGGTCACAATTTCTTATCCGTGACCTTGCACACATACACAAACTTCCATACATGTCGCTTATGAATCACCTAGACCGATATGACATGATATTGATTTGTTCAGACATAAATCACAAACATTCTGTACCTCTTGATTTCTCTCATTTTTTCAGGCGTTCCACTCGAATTTATACGACCACTAACTGACTTGACTGTTGACAAAGTAACCAATGAACCAGTCATCCTTGAGTGTGAATTATCTCGTACTCCTCGTGATAAAGTACAATGGTTGAAGGATGGGAAACCTATTGGTCGTCTACCAGACCGTGTGACAATTGAGGAGTTGGAGAATGGAAAAATCCATCGTGTGAAGTTCATTTCATTAATGGATGATGATTTGGGTGTATATAGTTTACGTATTGAGAAGTTATCTAGTGAATGTCGACTAGATATGAAAGGTATATATAATGATTTTTTAAAAAGATCTGAATATAGTTTGTATCTGTATATGATTCTATTCATTTTTCTTTATTTAGCTCAATTGGCGTTATACTTAAAATGTAAAATTCATAAAATCGTTAAGAGCATTATATTTCGCTTAACCCTCTTACTATTGTTCACATAGTTTTGATGGTTGAGATCATGAGTCGATTGAAGCTAGACCATCATGGAAAACCTAGAAGCACTGGATGACCGTTTCGTCCTATTGTGGGACTACTCAGCAGTGCGCATCCACGATCACGCCTCACGAGATTCCAACCAAGGACCTACCAGTCTCGCGCGCTAGCGCCTAACCACTAGACCACTGAACCGGCCGGCGTCCAACCTGGAAAAATATCTTGAAATAACGATCAACTTTGTCCATTAATCAGTTTTACTATCAAATGTAGAATTTAAATTTTTTGATTAGTGCATACAAAGATGTTCCATCATGCAACAAATTGATGCATATCCATCATGTATTCTCGGCTGACCATTTTAACTTTATTTACGTGGTATTCTATAGACTGTATATATTTCCTTGACTTAATATATATAAACTGTATTTTAGCTCAAATTTCGCTTTATCATATCTTCCAAATCTTTTTTTTCGGCAAATTACATTCCAGATTGATGTGTAATGACATTATTGTGTAGTTTTAAGATGACTAAGTAAATTTATCATACTATTTCCATTCACTACAAAATGATCCACGCTTACAATAAACTGACCAAAAGGTAGATCAGATGGTACAAATGAAACTACCCACAATTTATCCAGTGCCAGAATATTTCATTTGAAATACTATCAATTGTATCAGTTTGTATTAGTACGGAAATGAAACCTGTTCCACCAAAGTTTTAGATATGGATGGCTAATGACTCTATACAAATGCAATACCAATATTAAAGGCTTTCTTCTCATAAACACTATTTATCATAAAGATAATGATAAACCAAACTGATGAACCAGCCACACCTTTTTTCTCTGGATAGTTTATTTCATGATATTTAATTCTCAAGATATTGACGTAATGAAAATAAACGGTTTTGTAAATAAATGTAAGTGAATATTATACGTGATGAAGACACAAAAACGGTTGAATAACGAACCTGTATTTTCATGGACATAAACTTTTTCTTAATAAACATATTTTTGTAAATTAACAGTACCGCCAACATTGAGATTATCCGATTCGTTCTCCGATCGAGTGATCATCAAGGCTGGAGGTGCTATGGTGTTCGAAATACCATTCACTGCCAGCCCTAAACCAAAAGTCGAATGGACATGGAGACAGCGAAGTCGACCAGATGGTGAATTGGGACCGGTACAAAGTCCACGATTTAAGGCTGACGTGGTGTCAGGATTGACGTCATTGCCTGTGAGTAAGGTGAAGCGTGAGGATGCCGGTGACTACACAGTGGTGATCAGTAATGAGTTGGGTGAAGTGTCTGTGACGATTCAGATGATTGTGATTGACAAGCCATCTGTACCTCGTGATTTGGAGGTGAGTGAGAACAGTGGTGAGAGTGTGTTGTTGAGTTGGAAGGAGCCCGAATTCGTTGGTTTGTCCACGACGCTGACGACGGATGTGAGTGTGAGTGGTGCTGGTGGATTGTTGGAGTATGTGGTTGAGATGCGTGAGTCTAGTCAACGTGCTGGTCGTGGAGTGAGAAAAACGAGTGAATTGAGTGTGAGGATTGACGATCTTCAGATCAACAAGTCGTATGTGTTTAGTGTTGCAGCGAAGAATGATGTTGGTCAATCAGAGTTTGCAGAAACGAAACCAGTTTCAACTAAATTGGATTATGGTGAGTTAGTATATGCATACCATGTCAGTTTGAATTCGACTCTCAGTAACATCTATTCAATCCAGTAATCATGGTTTTACTGTATTCATAATATTTTTACCGTGAATTCGCATTTCATCCGGTTGCTATTTCATTTAGTCGCGTGTCCAATAATAATCGAGTCTAATTATTTTTATCACTCTGACGAACAACCTACCTCTTAGACGAATGGTTTTGTTCTCGTAATTTTCTTGATTAATATGAAGTTTTCTGTTATGCACACATATGTCGCTTACTTTCTATTTAGACACCTGTATTGTGTACTTTCACGTAGATTTCTCGACTTTGATTCTTGGATTTGAATAGATAAGACTGGATGTCTTGTGTGATGATTCTTTAGAAAATAAATGAGTTGCGATTTGATAAAGCTTCTTTATCGTACATCCATAGACACAGATTTCTTAAAGGACAAAAAGTATCAAAGTGAACGATTGTTTTCAGTAACTTCTTCATCTGGTTCTGTAGTTATAAATCTAAAATTATTACTTATATTATAATAGAAATAGTCTTAAAATTGAATTAATCTCTATTATGAATGAAAGATGACGAACTTCACGTCCATTGAGTCTTATGTGATACAAATTACTAACAAAATAATGCGAAGTCATAAATTTTAATATAAGGTAATTTATAACGAGAATGAAAACTTGGAATGGTGGTCTGACTAAGATCCGTATGGTATGGTAATAACAATATTACTATTTCTAATAATAATGACAATAATATTAGTTATTATTAAGATCAGGCAAAATAAGGAAGGTTAGTGTATCATTAGGTATGGGAAGAAATGTCTTGAAAGCGGGTACAAATGGTAATGAAAGGAAAGGTGTTGGAGGATCCAAAAAAAACTTTTCGAAAAACAGCCAAGAAAGGCTCTGAAAACACTTAGAAGCATCTTATCCAATCAGTGTTCACTAGAAGTTTTGCCAGAAACATCTAGAAAGTGAAAAGTAACGTGTTGAGCTTTTGATTGGATGATTAGTTATGCTGCTACCATGTTTAGTAGCATTCCAGAATTTTCCGGAAGCCCAAGGACATCGAAAATACTATAAAAACCCTAGATTTACTGTACATAAACGAACCTTTGGAGTAAAGCATTTTCTTCTATATTTGCATCTTTTCTTTCGTGTAGATCTTTTGTGTAGATCTAACCTAGGGGTTACTAGAAGAGCTTAGGAACCGAATCTAGTGTTTGCTTGGCATTAATTGCACGGCCACTGTGATTCCCTACCACCTATTGATTAGAAATTGTACGGTGTGATAAAAAACTTTAAGGATTGGTGATTGATGTACTTGTTTTGAAGTATTTGCTCAAGTGATAATGAGCAAACATTTTGTCACCTTGATTAATTTTTTAATTATCAGAATGGGTTTTGTGGAGACTTTAGGAAGTTCACTGGTTGAAATCATGAGTCAATTGAACCTAGACAACCATGGGAAACTCGCTCGCAGGACTCGAACACAGGCCTTCAGTCTCACGCACGAACGCTTAACCTACTGGATCACTGAGCCGGCATCCAATGGTGTTAATGTCTATGTATTCTTAATAAAATTCAAATGTAAAAATGCAAATTTTCACATCTAATCAAAACACTTGATGCTATTTCGATTTGAACTAATCAGATTACAAAGATGAAGAGCTTACGACTAATTAAAAAATCATTAAAGGTGACAAAATGTTTGTTCATTATCACTTGAGCACACACATTCAAAAACAAGTTCATCAATCACTAATTCATAAATTTTTTAATCGCACCCTAAAAATTATCATCACTGGGTGGTGGGGAAACAGCCGCTGTGTAATTAATAGGACGAAAGGGCCATTCAGTGCTTCCAGATTCTCAATGGTGGTCTAGCTTCAATTAACTTATGATTTCAACTATTGGAATTACTATAATATGCACAAAAAACCCCTCTGAAATTTGTGTTAACCCAATTTATCGAAGTATGCATTAGTTTTCACAGCGTTATTTTTATTTGTATCATCCCATTGCACAAGCAAGTGCCTGTCAGGACTCAGTTGCTAAGTGGATAACACGATGGTGTTTGGAGCCAACGGTACTGGGTTCGAGTCCTTGAGTGAACATCAACTCTGAGATGCAGGTACTGTTGTAACGGGTGAGACTGCAGGTTATGGAGCAGCGTATTTATTGATCGGATTAATGTGACACGCAAACACGTACGAACGACCCAGAGTCCCGATTGACCCTGCCTCCCTGTCTATCCCAGCCAGTTGAGTCCAGAACGAAAGTCACAGCCTCTGATATATGAATCATTGTATTTCAGACATACTCTATTTATATACTAACCAAACATACAACATCGTACCATAAAAATAGAAAACAACATTTTGTACAATATTCAACAAGTGAACAGATATCAACCAATAGGAAATGTCCATTTAAAGTCCAAGGACACCATTGGACTTAACATGATAATTGTTGGTCTATCCTTCCGCATCCACAACAGGTACATCCAGCTGACGGGTCCCAAATAAGATGAAACGCGCGTCCAGGATTTCACTGCTACCCACTATCCATCTTTGCCAAATGTTATTTTGCATTGAAAAAATAAATAAAATGTTATTTACAGTTGGTGCCAATTGGCCTGAACTGAAAATAGTATTTTTTTTATAGAACTTAAGCTACCTTTTCTGAATATTTTGTGAATACGATAGACAGCGCTGAGTAATGACTGACTAACAATATTATCATTTTCAATACTTTTAATGAATATGATTTCAATTTTTTAACTGAAATATGTGTGCTTATATGTGCTGATGTAGTTTTTAAAAGATCACCAATTTTAAAAGTGTGTAATCGAACTTTTAATTAAAATCCCCGAAATGTAGCATTTTCAAAGAATCATTAATCTGAGTGTATGAAATGTAAAGTACTAATCTACTTCTTTGTTTCGCCTACTGTTATCAGAAAATCATTCTCTAACTTTCTAAGATTCAGTGCATGAATGACCAAAAAATATGTTCGAGTTTCAATGGTTGAGATCATGAATCCATTGAAGCTAGACCACTATGGAAAACCTGAAAGCACTTGATGGCCATTTCGTCCTAATGTGGGACTTCTCAGTAGTGCGCGCCCACGATCCCGCATAGTAAGACTCGAACCCAGGACCTCGAATTAAATAAAGGAATAAGATAGTAGATTGAATCTAATTATATTTTCAAGTAAAAATATGCATTTACGTTGAAGATTTTAGTTATTTAATTTATTGTAAAATATATCATAGTAGATAAGTTCACGTTGTTATAAAGGAGAACATAGGTGAGGACAACTGTTTGTGTTCAAATACAAAATTATTGAATCACTTGATAGAAATGAGATCCATGCAGTGAATACTTCATTTACAAATTTCCATCATTTGTTCTTCACATTCTGTATGATTCTTCCAGTTTCCAATCCCTCCTTAATTTCTTTTCTATTCTCTTCAACTCGATCTTCTTAGCCTTGTGCTGCCAGGTTTTGCACTTCCGATTAATGTTACATACTACTGATGTCGACAGACATGTGGAGTATACATCACAACGTCTTTTATTAATTATAATCACAATTAACTTCAAATTCTCACAGTAAATTAAAACAGTTATAAACTGTGCTTTGAATAAACTTAGGAGGTTAAATAGATTGTACGTAATGCAGTTCACCGGCAGCATATAACCGAACAAAAGTCACAATATTCTCGTCAAGACTAGATTATAACATGATATAAATTGTAATCATTATACATATAATTAATCAATAGGAAACCCTTATTGACTTATGATTACAACCTGTATTAAACTTATTAGCTTATAGAAGTTGATCATAACAAAAATAAATCAATAGAAAGCAATTAAATAATAAAATAAATTAAATTACTCATTTGTGGATACCAGTCAGTCAGTCAGTCAGCTACAACGTAGGACCAGGCACATATGTGCATCGGTCCAGGTTGCGCGCCCACGATCCCGCATAGTAAGACTCGAACCCAGGACCTCGAATTAAATAAAGGAATAAGATAGTAGATTGAATCTAATTATATTTTCAAGTAAAAATATGCATTTACGTTGAAGATTTTAGTTATTTAATTTATTGTAAAATATATCATAGTAGATAAGTTCACGTTGTTATAAAGGAGAACATAGGTGAGGACAACTGTTTGTGTTCAAATACAAAATTATTGAATCACTTGATAGAAATGAGATCCATGCAGTGAATACTTCATTTACAAATTTCCATCATTTGTTCTTCACATTCTGTATGATTCTTCCAGTTTCCAATCCCTCCTTAATTTCTTTTCTATTCTCTTCAACTCGATCTTCTTAGCCTTGTGCTGCCAGGTTTTGCACTTCCGATTAATGTTACATACTACTGATGTCGACAGACATGTGGAGTATACATCACAACGTCTTTTATTAATTATAATCACAATTAACTTCAAATTCTCACAGTAAATTAAAACAGTTATAAACTGTGCTTTGAATAAACTTAGGAGGTTAAATAGATTGTACGTAATGCAGTTCACCGGCAGCATATAACCGAACAAAAGTCACAATATTCTCGTCAAGACTAGATTATAACATGATATAAATTGTAATCATTATACATATAATTAATCAATAGGAAACCCTTATTGACTTATGATTACAACCTGTATTAAACTTATTAGCTTATAGAAGTTGATCATAACAAAAATAAATCAATAGAAAGCAATTAAATAATAAAATAAATTAAATTACTCATTTGTGGATACCAGTCAGTCAGTCAGTCAGCTACAACGTAGGACCAGGCACATATGTGCATCGGTCCAGGTTGCCATACCACATCAACACAACAAGATGAACACCAGATTCGTAACAGTGGTTAGGTAAAAGGTGGTAATATATAAGAGAAAGATTGCATATAGAGATATAGTACAAGAAGAAAGAATTGGTTCGTAGAAAGAAAGATATGAAGCGATTTTAATCTCATAGTTTAAAGGGAAGACAGGGAGTGTATACACCGACGCCATTGTGATCGATTTTGAGCCATGTCACCAAGAGTCTCCACCCATTGGTTACGATAGTCACGCAGACCCCAACCAAGTAGTCTGCATCTACCAACATGGCTCAGACTAGAGGATAGTGACTTCAAGCACTGATGACACGTTTTGGTTTGGCCGCCCCTAACTTTCTTCCAACCATTTCCAATACCGGATAGCATTGCACGTCGTGGTAATCGGTGTTCAGGCATACGTAACACGTGGCCTAACCATCTCAGTCGATGAAGATTGTGGATACCACAAAATAATTGACTTGAGTTTGACTTCAATCTGTTTATTGACTCTGTTGTTACAGTTAAATAAACCGAATTCTTGATTGTCTGTAATTCTATGGGAAAAGGTAACAAAATTTGTCCAGTAGTTATACCTTGACGAATGCAGAAGAAACTGATATAATTATTGAAGCAAATCTTGGTATCACCACTTGTTATAACAATATGTTTTTGTTGTTGAAATGGTAAGTTACAAACAAAAGTTCATTAAAACAATTAAATGAAATCGAATATATGTTGCAAAATTTAATACAGATAATTAAAGATGACTGATGTCTCTCTCTCTATCTAGGTCCACCATTGAGTCCAGTCAATGTGAAGGCAGTCGTCAATCCACCGAAAGCGTCTATCAAAGATCAAACGATAGAATTGACGTGGGAACAACCAACCGACCAAGTGTCTGCCAGTGGACCGGTCACAAACTTCTACATCGAATTGAAGCCTGAAGATTCAACTCGATGGCAGGACGTGAGTGCCGACTTCACAATCACTGAACCACACTTCACACTTCCTACTGATAAATTGCAAGAGTTTGTGAGTTATGAGTTCCGTGTAACGTCAGAGAATAAGGCTGGCAAGAGTAAACCTTCTTCACCATCGAATGCTGTTCAACTAGGTAAGGGATAACACTTGTTTCAGAGTTGTATGCATGTGTGTGCAGGTGTGTGTGTGTGTGTATGTATGTATCTATATGCATCGAATTCCAAGTGATTTCGCTTTGATCTATCTATTGGCCAAGATGAATGTATCCAAATCAGGTGGAATTAAGTTGGAGAGTAGGATGGACTAAGTCCTTACGAGAAACTTGTACTAGTGTGATCATTGCATGTCGCCTATTAGATTGACCTGTAAGAATGATCGGTCAGTAGTAATAGATGATTGATGTTGCATAGACTGAAGCAGCAGTACATGCAGCTGTGCGTTCAGTTGAAGAATCTGATTGTAGGAACTAACTACTGAACGTCCTAGGTTACTTCGTTTTTCCAACTGACTGATTACCAACCAAAGATAAATGGTAGATCATCTGGCAAATATATCAGTGGTCTTTATGACGAACGAGATAATGAGTAGTTTCAGGTGGTATTGATTTTTCTAATTTCTAATTGTACATGAATATTGTTAATTTGCACAGAATCAAACTGAAATAATGTGCGTTTTTTTAAAACATTTCATTTACCGCTCAAAATTAAACTTTAAATCCGTGTTGTTGAGATTTTCTAACGTCAATGAATTCATGAATCGATCAGTGTTAGATCACTATTAAATATGTGGAAGCGCTAGATGATCTATTCGTCTTAGCATGGAACTCCTCAGTAGTTTGTATCCACGATCTCTGACGCGGGATTCGAACCCATGGCTTAAGGCCTTGCACGTGAAAGTTTCACTTCCATACCACTGGACAGGCATCCAACCGTATTAAATTCTAACTTCAACCAATCCACGATGTCCTGCAACCATTTCGCGTTGACTTGGTTGGATAACTGCGTCACTCTACAAAGTTGAAATGTATACCAGAACGAAACTGCCTTTTAGTGCTTCCTGGTTCACTCTGGTGGTTTAACGTTGTCGGTCAAGTTCTTTTTTTCTCATACCTAAGTTTATTAAGTAAGTTGTCGTATATTCTTTATTTTTTTATTAGACCAAATCTTGAGACATACGAAAATGTTTGTTCTCTATACAATAAAATCACAGTTCTAGCTAATGATGAGTCCTAGCTATAACTGTATGTATGACTATGTGAAAAATTTCATTTGATCATTTTTCAGTAACCATCAACTTATGAGCACCGATGTGAAAAGATAATACCAGGTCGCGGAATCTTCGCACTGTGATATTCTAATCAACACATCATTGAAATTGTCAGGATGTCTATATCTTATTATTATTATTATTATTATTATTATTATTATTATTATTATTATTATTATTATTATTATTATTATTATTATTATTATTATTATTATTGCTTTATCACCATTAATAACACTATGTAAATCACTGAAAAAAATTATTCTTTGTTTTTAAAGGTATTCCACTAGAATTTGTTCGTCCGTTGATTGATGTTACTGTAAGTGAGGTTGATGGAAAACCAGTTGTATTGGAGTGTGAATTATCTCGTTCATCACGTGATAAGGTACAATGGTTAAAAGATGGTAAATCTTTAAGTCGTTTACCAAACCATGTATCAGTTGAAGAATCACGTGACAATAAAATTCACTCTATTAAGTTCTCTTCCTTAACTGATGATGATTTGGGCGTCTATACGATAAAAGTAGAAAAGTTATCAAGTGAGGCGAAACTTTCAATGAAAGGTAAGTTTATTATATCAGTATATGTATACATATATACATCACTCAAGCAATATTCTTGAAAAATCTGTTCTTTTGTGAATACACATCAATATGCTTTTCTTTTTATTTCAGTTCCACCAACATTGAGATTATCCGATTCGTTCTCCGATCGAGTGATCATCAAGGCTGGAGGTGCTATGGTGTTCGAAATACCATTCACTGCCAGTCCTAAACCAAAAGTCGAATGGACATGGAGACAGCGAAGTCGACCAGATGGTGAATTGGGACCGGTACAAAGTCCACGATTTAAGGCTGACGTGGTGTCGGGATTGACGTCATTGCCTGTGAGTAAGGTGAAGCGTGAGGATGCCGGTGACTACACAGTGGTGATCAGTAACGAGTTGGGTGAAGTGTCTGTGACGATTCAGATGATTGTGATTGACAAGCCATCTGTACCTCGTGATTTGGAGGTGAGTGAGAACAGTGGTGAGAGTGTGTTGTTGAGTTGGAAGGAGCCCGAATTCGTTGGTTTGTCCACGACGACGACGACGGATGTGAGTGTGAGTGGTGCTGGTGGATTGTTGGAATATGTGGTTGAGATGCGTGAGTCTAGTCAACGTGCTGGTCGTGGAGTGAGAAAAACGAGTGAATTGAGTGTGAGGATTGACGATCTTCAGATCAACAAGTCGTATGTGTTTAGTGTTGCAGCGAAGAATGATGTTGGTCAATCCGAGTTTGCAGAAACGAAACCAGTTTCAACTAAATTAGATTATGGTGAGTTAGTATTTGTTTACCGTGATTTACAAGATTTGAACTATTTTTGTCGTTCATAGTAACTGAAAGAGGATAGTTTCGTATTGGATTAAATAGGATTTTATAGATAAATTTTAATTTTATAACTTTCTTTAGGACCTCCAACTCCTCCATTGAATGTTACTGCATCTGTATCTCCATCATGTGCTGAACCAGAAGATCAAATGATAACAGTGAGTTGGTCCGAATCTGAAACAGCACCAACAACAACATCTACTGGATCATCTCCACTTTATTACACTGTAGAGTATAGAGTAGATGAAGGACGTGTTTGGAATAAATTAATCTGTGGTAAAGAAGTTACTGGTATGAAATTAGATTTTCCTCCACTTAAAGAAAATTTGAGCGCTGGTAAATCATATGACTTCAGAGTTATAGCTGTAAATAAAGCTGGTGCAAGTGAACCATCAAAACCATCGAATTCAATCCAACTAGGTCGGTTTCTGTTCATTTTATCATTATTATTACTAGTTCATATATCTTTGCCTATTACTGTGCACTATACAACTTTCAGAATGAATAATTGAAGTATGTGGCTTATTTTTTGTCATTTAAGCATAAAGTGACATTGAGATACCTAAGTTCATTTTAATTAAACCAGAAAATAAATTATATAAACGAAATATCTATTATAAAGAGCCCATTTCACCTTTATTTTTTCCTCTCTAATTATCATCCTAATACCTCCCAGTGATAGGTATTTCAAAACATAAAGCTCATTAACTTTGATGTAATTGCACTACTGATATATGGATTACGTCTGTTAAATCACCAGCACTGGTAACTGATATTCTAAAAGATGGTGAAGATTTGTAGCTCAGGTGGATGTTTTTGTTCGCTGAGAGCAATACTCCATCAAGATTTTCTAAGAATTTAATGAATCACATCAGTATTATGATATATCGTAATATCAGTTTCTATAGAGGAAAGAAAGTACACATTCATATAGACTTTCAGCTAGATTACACTGAAGCTTAATAATACTTTATCCCTTCATTTTGTACGTTATCTAGTTTTAACTTGGTTTTCACAATCGCATATAATAATAGTTCTGAACAATTTGGGTATCTTGTAAGCGTTGAATTATTACTCCACCATTGAAATTAAGCAAAAATCAACATTGCTACTTCAAATATACATCGTGACCCTGAAATCTCATTGATTAGTCAGTATAATATGTATACATATAGCGAAACGATCTTAAAAGATGATTGTTGTAACATGAACATTTTAATCATTTAACTTCATTTACATTATAATGGGTTGCCAATTCATTAATTTTACACGGCCTTCTATTTGTATGCACACAATCCTTTATTGCTATTATTCATATTACGTAATCAAGCATTGTAATATTTCTGTTACGTCATTGTGTTCGTATGTCCTCACGGAACTAATACTTTAGAAATATCATATTTTTGGTATTTCAACAAGTTTCTGTTTCTTATTTCTTGATCGGTTCTGACATTGAGCGGTCGCCAGTCAGTAGTTAGCGGTCCAGTAAATCGACATCTAAATAATGTACATTCTTTTCAATGCATATTGCCAGCAACCACGATTGTAGTTTTTTTGTAACTTGTACAACGAATGGTTGTACACTTTTCAGAAACGCACCTGAATAGGTTTATGCGATTAATAGACATAATGTGTCAAAACAAACAACAACAAACACAGATAACTTGTTGAAATATTTCAATGGGATGAACAGGTAGCCCAGGTGTTCAAGAAAGTCGCTAAAGATATAGATATACATACGATTGTACAGCTCAATCAGAAATTCATTGAAAAGAGATCCCTTCATTGAACTTCGTGTTTTTAATCTTATTTGTTGGTTACGATAACTAAACAAAATGATACTTAAGGTGGTTCTAAAGCTCTAATTAATGTTTTTCCAATATTTTTTCTAAAACATAATGTGGTGCTTATTACGATAATGAACAGTTTTCTACATAAGCTGTTTGGTTATTTTGCCATTTGTGAAATATCCAGAATCAGGTAAATGAAATCATATATACAAGAAAATATAGATTTAGATTTTGAGCCATATTTATAAAGTCGTAAGTGGTTAGATCAAACTATGTTAAATATAAGCAAATTTGGATAGTGGATAGCAGTGAAATCCAGGACGCGCGTTTCGTCCTATTCGGAGCTCGTCAGTTGGATGTACCTGCATCTCAGAGTTGATGTTCACTCAAGGACTAGAAACTAATACCGTTCGCTTTAAATGCCATCGCGTTATCCACTTAGCTACTGAGTCCTGATACACGCTTGCTTATGCAATGGATTCCACTGCTAGCCACTATCCATCTTTACTTAGAATGCTTGTGAATTAAGGCACTATCGAGGCAATCCGCACAGTATGCACGTATACCAATAAAAGACTAATCAATCGCAATCCTAAACATCAGTGTGGAGATTTAAGTAAACAATACCAATAGAATCTATTCATATATTTTTTTCTATTATTATTATTTCATTTATTAACAGGTATAGTACTTGAATTTATACGTCAATTAGAAGATTTAATTATAACTAACATTGAACCAATTGAATATAAATTAGAATGTGAATTATCACGTAAACCAAGAACAATGACAGCTTGGACAAAAGATAATAAACCATTAATTATAAAATCAGATGATACTCATATGAAATTTATTGATCAAGGCACAATTCAATCAATTCATTTTACACATTTAATTGATACAGATATTGGTGATTATGCAATACAAGTAGAGAATATTTCATCAAAATGTAAATTAGAAATTAAAGGTAAATATGATACTAATAATGACTTAATCACTTGTGATGTAATAATCATAGTGAATACAATTAATCAGCTAATTAGTTTCAGTGGACTAGTTTGTGACATGAAAATAAAATGATTCATTTTCATTCTAATAATTGAATTAATGAGTTGATTTAATTTAGCTTACCATTAAAATTCTAGAAACACTGATTGATGGTTGTTTCGTCATAGTATGAAACTCTTCAATAGTGCTGCTCCAATGCTTCCAAATTTTCAATGATAGTCTAACTGAAATTGATTCATGAATTCAACTTTTAAAAATGTTACTAGAAATTTCAATAAACTCCTATTTTGATAATTTTCGTTTGTCATTTGATAATTTGTTATAATTGTTTAGAATAGAAATAATACAAAGAAAGCATCAACCTGACTGAATTTCAAGTCTATGATGTATAGTCAGTCAGTCAGTCAGCTACAACGTAGGACCAGGCACATATGTGCATCGGTCCAGGTTGCCATACCGCATCAGCACAACAAGATGAACACCGGATTCATAACAGTGGTTAGGTTAAAGGTGGTAATATATAAGAGAAAGATTGCATATAGAGATATAGTACAAGAAGTAAGAATTGGTTCGTAGAAAGAAAGATATTAAGCGATTTTAATCTCTTAGTTTAAGAGAAGACAGGGAGTGTATACACCGACGCCATTGTGATCGATTTTGAGCCATGTCACCAAGAGTCTCCAACCATTGGTTACGATAGTCACGCGGACCCCAACCAAGTAGTCTGCATCTACCAACATGGCTCAGACTAGAAGTTAGTGACTTCAAGCACTGATGCCACGTTTTGGTTTGGCCGCCCCTAGCTTTCTTCCAATCATTTCCAATACCGGATAGCATTGCACGTCGTGGTAATCGGTGTTCAGGCATACGTAACACGTGGCCCAACCATCTCAGTCGATGAAGATTCATAACCTCATCAACTGATTTACCATCATTTCCTAATACCCTGCGTCTAACCTCACTATTACTTACCCGGTTATCCCAACAGACATCAGCAATATTTCTAAGGCATCTGTGGTCAAATACTAATAGCTTACGAGTGTCTTCTACTATTAATGGCCATGTTTCGCTGCCGTAAATTAAAACAGAACGGACTGCTGCGCAGTATACTCCTGATGTATAGTGCTTATATCTGATTAATTGAATGAGTACCTTTGTAAGAGAATAAAACGTTATATTTTGAAAAACAACCGTAGTATTTATGTAACGATACCTAACAGTAAAATGGATAGTTCAACAAGTTGAATATTAACATATTTTAGTTTTACTTTTACTGATACTTGAGATCATGAGTCAACTGAAGCTAGATCACCATGGAAATCCTGGAAGCATTGGAAGGCCATTTCGTCCTATTGTGGTACTTCCCAACAGTGCACATTCACGATCCTTCCTCGCCAGATTCCAACTCAGGACCTATCCATATCACGCGCGAGCGCTTAACCGTTATGACACAATATCATGACAATAATTTGTATCAGAAGGGGTTTCTGTGAATATTATAGTAATTTCAATAGTTGAGATTAAGAGTCATTTGAAGTTAGACCACCATTTAAAACATGGAATTACTAGATGACTGTTTCATTCTATTGTGGGACTCCTCAACAGTGCGCATCCACGATCTCGCCTCACGAGATTCGATTCCAGGACCTATACTTTGATTTGATACACTATAAATAGACTGGATCACTTATACACAGATACATGTTCACAATCAATAATTGAGAACAAAATACATGTAAGACAATGGTTTATTCAACATAAATTCAATCGATCTATAGCAAAATTAAGATAAGATTTACATTACAAAGTATAGAGTGAGCCTATTTATCTTTTCCCACTAATCAACTGTAGACTTATTTGAAGATAAGTAACAGTTAAGAATTATTTATGAATATAATTGACAAGTAAACCATAGGTTTGGTTGATAAATGTATATACATCCACACAGATAGTCAATCAATGTGCTTAAAACATCTGGCTTTGCTAATGTTCTAACATGTTATTCATTTATGTTAAGATCAATTGGTTTGATGAACTCTTGAATTTCATTTTAATAGTGTGCATATGTAAGCATCAACCAAGCATAAGCGATTCGACTATAACGGGATGAGTATTGGAATAGTTAGAAGTTTAAGAACTATTTTTCCAGTTATTATCATTGACGTTTCAAGGAATAACAGACTTTGTGTTCTCTAAAATCTTCACGAATGTAACCTGAAACAAACTGCATTTATCAAACTAATATCTATTTTCACATGAATTCGAGTGATGAAAGCCAAAATATGATACATATGTATAGTAAATTTAAGTAAGACTCTAGTGTGTTCAGTTTACATTGCTTTTACGCTTGTATTTCATTACAGAACCTTAAACTTGTTGACTTAGATTTAGCCGTTATTATCATCAAACTTATAGTTTAGTTTGACTTATTATTGGGTCTTTTAAAAGTATTTTAAAGTTGTCCTTTTTTCATTTATTATCATTGTTCAAACTATAAGTGAAGATTGTCAGATAGTTGCTTATAATGCATTTTGTTTTCTTTTTTTTTTTAATGTTTACAGCTCCACCAACAATTCGAATATCTGATCAATTTGAAGATCATATTACTTTAAAGGCGGGCACTTCAAAAATTCTAGAAATTCCATTTATATCTTCACCAAAACCTAAAATTAAATGGACATGGGCACCAAGTACTGACTTGACTCAAGAACAACCACCTAGATTTAAACCGGATATAGTTGCTGGTTTAACTACATTACCTTTAAGTCGAGTGAAACGTGAAGATAGTGGAGCATATAAAGTTAAAATATCAAATGATCTTGGTGAAATTTTCATAACAATTCATGTCATTGTTATTGATAAACCATCTCCACCAAGAAATCTTACAATAACTGATGCTACAGAAAAATCAGTCATGTTTAATTGGGATCTACCAGTTAGTGTAAATGAAAATGAATCTTTAGAATATGTTGTTAATTATCGAGATGCAACCAAATATTCAAGTCAACCAATTAATGTTTGTGTAACAAAAGAATTAAAAACATTTATAGATGGTCTTAAACTGGGATCTCAATATATATTCTCCGTTTGTGCACGAAATGAAGTTGGTGATTCCGCCTTTGCTGAAAGTCAAACATTCTTAATGAAGTATTCTTTTAGTAAGTTAATTTTCTTAGGTTTATGATTGTTATAAGCATTATTTGAGAATGGAGTAGTTTATTTGTTTTGTCAGATGAAATTACAAGATATAGTGAATAAATTTGTGGTGAAAATTCAGGTGTACGTGTTACATATATCCCATATTTAATGTCATTGTTCCCTTTTTTAAAATAGACCCACCTGAAGCTCCAGGAATACCTCAGGTTAGTATAATAGAAAGTGGTCACGTTTCACTGGAATGGACACCTCCTTCATCAGACGGTGGTTCTCCCATCACAGAATATTTCATTGAGAGCATGGATGAACGTCCAATTGTAAAAGGTCAGCGCCGTACATCGACCTACGGTTCTCGAACACAATGGAATTCGCTAACTACAGGAATTATATTTGAACCTAATGTTCAGCCGAAAGCTTCAGTAACTGGTTTGTCTCCTGATAAACAATATACATTCCGTGTATGTGCTGTTAATAAAGCTGGTAAAGGGCCATTTAGTCCACCATCAGAATCTTGTTTACCCTTAATGAAACGTAAGTTATTTAACGAAATATTGATTTATTTGGTTTCTTATCAAAATTTCTATGGACAGTCTGAAGTATTTTAAAGGTTTTTAGGGTACTTATCAAAGTACGTGTACAACAGTGACGCAAAATACATATTACTTGTTACTGATTTCTCTAAGTAAATGATAAAGAATACCTAACATGTCAAGTTGGTTATATCTTCTAAAAATGCCGCATTATGTGGCTTTATTCATTTATTCAATGTAGTCACCTTTGAAAATGTTACGATTCAAATAAGGAAGTAACTTCAAAGAATCATTTTCACAAGATATTTAAGAATTTTTGATGAATTAGATTGTCAGAACTTGGGAGGCATGACAATAACACTAATATGAATTTATCTTTGCTTCATATAAGTTCCGACTAAGTAGTATACACTTTATGAGTGCTTTTAGTTATTTTAAAGATAAGCCAATTTAATTATAATGTCAACGCAGGGTTGTGGTAATGGTTGAATTTCAGTGAAATCACGAACCGATCTAAGGTGGACGACCATTGAAAACCTGGGAGCACTGGATGATCACTCCTTCCTAGCACGAGACTCATCAGGAGTGAGCATCTATGACCTCCCAATTGAAAGTCAAACCCTGGAACTTTGATCTCACACGCAAACGCAAAACCTCTAGATTACTAAGCCGTCACGAAACGGTACTAATGTCTAATTTCGATCAATTTGCTATATTGTGTGACTATTTTCCATTTTCTTTGGTCGTTAACTTCCTCATACCGTACAATGTTTTACTCCAGTGATCACGGCTTCCCATTAAGATTTATTTCTCAAAACGGATTAAACGCGTAAATGTTATTTTGCTCTATCGTCTGAGTCCACTACTTATATAAATGTATGCATATATGCGAGCGCAGCCAGCTACTTGAGTGAGGAAACCAACAGTAAGCAGAAAACTTTTATTAGCTAAACTGAATCAAGAATATTTGTTCAACTCACTCATAAATTTATATCTTTTTTTGCTGGGAAATTAAGGCAACATGTTTCTCTCTTTAGACAAGGAAGCCAATCTTGATTAATAGTATGCACCTATCAGCGTCTCTCACTTATCATTTGGCTTATATCTGATTGGCATAGTGAATCAGTGAATGATAGCAAAATTTACATCGCTTCACGTTTTGTCGCAGCCTGTCCTGTTCTTTAACTGTTTTTTTTTACTAATTTAGCTCCTAAAGTTCCTGGAAAACCTGGTCCTATAACCGTCGAACCTTTAAATGAAACAAGTGTCAATTTAAGTTGGACACCTGGCACTGTAAACGAAGACTTTGGACCAGCTGATTATTATATAATTGAAGCTTGTGAAGATGACGGTAATGAGTGGAAAGAAGTTGGAAAGACAACCAAGCCAGATGATTGTAACTTGAATGTGAACAATCTAGATAGTTCAACACGTTATCAATTTCGTGTTCGTGGAGTGAATAAAGAAGGTGTCGGTGAACCATCAAAACCATCAGAAAGGATTTGTTTAAAGAAAGGTAATTTTTAAAGTTAACATTTGTGCTCAAACTTATTTTCTCTTTTGTTTTCTTACTGATGTTTGTATTTAACTATAATTGCGCAAAAGAATTTACACTAAGGCTAAACTATTTTAGTATGCCCAGTTAGATAACGACTTTGAATCTTCAATGTCAAGGTAAAAAATTAGTACCACTCACAGTGTGTCGAATGAGTAACCTTGAAAATGATTACTTTATGTAGTTCTTGAGGTTCTGTAAATGTAATGATAGTCCATTGTACAACCACTGAGTAGAAATAACATTGTACACATAAAAGTAATTTAAATGTCTATTTTTTTGGATGGATGGTAAAGTAACTCAATTAATCATTGCCAGTTTTCATTTAACCCCACTCACTTCTCATATGAATCATACTCACACCAATGAAGTTGGATTAAGTTAATTCTTTGATGTCAAAACAGATCATTAATCCATAATTTCATTTCATCGACCTATTTACAAAAGTGTATTCAAACAAATTTGAGGCTATATGTTAGGATGTGCAGAAAAATATACCAATAGTTATCATGTTAAGTCTAATGTTGTCCTTGGACGCTAAATGTACATTCTCTATTGGTCGATATTTGCTTCACTTGTTTATTATTGTACAAATGTTGTTTACTATTTTCATGGTACGATGTGGTCTGCTTGGTTAGTATATAAACAGAGTGTGTTTGAAATATAGTGATTCTTATCTTAGAGGCTGTGACTTGTGTTCTGGACTCAACTGGCTGGGATAGACAGCGAAGCAGGGCCAATCATGACTCTAAGTCGTTCGTTACGTGTTTACGTGTCACTGGATCGATCGATATAAAGCACTGTTTATCAAAACTTGCACACCCGTTACAACACTATATAAATCGGTTTATTTAACTATTTGACTTATTATAAATAATTCATAGGCAACCTGATCTTCAGTCAAATGAATAAATTTCTGTACCAAAATATATTGAACTAAAAATTTATAATGGACTTTCAAAATTAGCAAACTATGTAAAATCTTGTACACATTTAGATCTAATTAATTCTTGTCGAGCTATATTCTTAACTGAACCAAGTTTTAAGTTCATGGACTGATAAAAAGGCATAGACATTACAAGATAGTTTTAACAATTGATAGAATGTTGTATAATAACTGGCAATGATTCATATAGTATTTAAGGTTTATTCATATCACTTTATAGAATAAATTATATAATGTCAGGGTTATGATTGTCTACCAACTTGATCCAATCAAAATCACACCGATCCTAACACTTAATTCAACCAACTACATGAAAGTAGAAGACTAATCATGTATAAGAAGCATATTTGTCAAGCTGAATGAAAGTGTACTAATACAAGAAAAGACTGTAAGCCATTTATGAAATGAGATTTTCTTAACGAAAATCAAATGGACTATATATATTTTACTACTTTTGCTATTATTAGTACTATAGTGAACAAGAACACGACTGGGGACGACTAAATAAATTACAGAACAACTTACTAAAATCTGAGAATTATACAGAAAATACTTAATTTACAATCAATCAGTTGTATCAAACTTGATTGTTCCTTTTGCAAATATCATACTATCGTCTCAGATTTCATTGTTTCTATATTTTTATACCAAATTGCTTTCTTTTTCCGTTCTTTCCTTTTCAATCTTCTACTATAATACATTCTATTCTTAAATATCCTTTCATACTACTTATGTGAATATAAGTAGTTCAAATCATAATACTATTGTTTTTAAATCATTTTTAGATGCTCCATTAGTTATAACTAAAGAATTAGAATCAATTCATTTGAATGAAATTCCACAAACAATTGAATATGAGTGTCATTTATCTAAATTACCACAAAAAGTTCAATGGTTCTATAATAATAAACGTTTAGATACATCAAATTTACGTAAATATCGTTTTATTGATGATGGTAAAATACAAAAATTAGAAGTATTAAAAATTACATTAGATGATGTTGGTGAATATTCTATTAAAATTGATAAGTTAGAATCAAAGGCAACATTTGAAATTGATTGTAAGTTCTTTTTGTGTACTTTTTGATTATGTAATATCATTATGTTGCTTGATTTTGATTCAGTGTAATAGTTGAATGAGAATTTTTATACTTTGTAAAATTTGTTTCTATCATTAATTGATGTCAGTTAAAGAATTAGAAGGGGTTTTGTGGAGATTTTAGTAAATTTATAGTTGAATTCATGAGTCGATTGAAACTGGCACACCATGGAGAACCTAGAAGCACTGGACGGTCGTTTCATCCTAGTATGGGACTCTTCGGCAGTGCGCATCCACGATCCCGCCCCCCGCGACATTCCAACCCAGGACCTATCAGTCGCGCGAGTGAACGCTTAACCTCTAGGCCACTGAGTCGGTCGGCATTCAATGATCTTAATATCTAACTTAAACTAATCCACAAAATTGAGTCACAGATCACCAATATCTTCAGTGAGTTACTATTTCGCAACAGACCCGTTTGAACTGCACGGGTCACGGCTTCCCAATAGGATGAAACGGCCATCCAGTGCTTCCTGGTTTTCCATAGTGGTCTAGCTTCAATTGACTCATGAATTCGTCATTAAGAATTAAAGAGAAATAGAGGATTGTTGCTTTCAGTTTTGAGAGTTTTCAAAAACGAACATATAAAACACTACACAAAATTAAAATTCATAACCTCCATGTATAGCTGAAAATAGTTAGACATTAATGTGCCATTGTGTTGAAATTCATTTATTCCTTTTTTTGAATTGATGAAATTTGTAATATAGTACGAACACTATAAAATATTATTGATTTTTATTATCATCGTCTTACCTTCGACGTGGCTGATTAAATGGACAGTTGCTTCTTGTTACACCTTTAAGAACCTATCTGGAAAATAGTCATTATAGAGAATAAAATTATAATATCTTTGTTCAATATAACCTGGTTCTCAATGATCTTCCAAATGATTTCATTCTGTATTAAAAGTTATTTTCACCTTTGAACAAATATCCGCGAACTATATATCTAAATAAAAATAATTGGGTGAGACTATAATTTATGGACGACCTTTGAGCGACGCCAGACCGACCTTGAGAGTGTTCACCTAATAACTAGGACCAAATAAGGGTTATAAACCGGTATGAGGAAACAGTTGATGATTAGGGTTAGAAATTAGATTTAAGGTTTTCATCACGAATTGACGTCAGTTACAAGACCAAAACCCTATTTATCTGAATAAATGAGTGAATTTTGCGCTAAAATCTGAGATCTGTTATCTTAAACGTGATTGGTTCGTTCATAAATTATAGTCTCGCCAAAAATTGATTAGATTTCTTTAATTCACATTATCTGTCACCAACACAACAGATAAATTTTCACGTTACATCCCTAGAAATGATATGAATTCTCACTACAAGGTGATATATTACTGAAAATGATGATGATGATAATAATAATACGTTGGTTAGAAACTTTAAATATACTTAGAATTATATTATCAAATTCACTGTACATAAGCTTAACAAAAGAAAGTTAATAAAACATGATTTACTTGATATGAGTGCTGTGGTGTGTGGTGTCCAAAAACTGATACCGATACATGATGTGCTACGCGTTAACCACCCTCAACCGACTACTTTGGCGAGAACACTACAGTGAGCGAGGAAGTGCATTGAGCTACCGAATGAAATTCACAAATACTCATATATATATATATATATATATATATATATATATATATATATATATATATATATATATATATATATATATATATATATATATATATATATATATATATATATGAGTATTTGTGAATTTGGCTTATATACGAATTGCCTCGATATTCACATGCATTATAATCAGAGTTGAATTGTGGCTAGCAGTGGAACCCAGGATGTATGTTTTATCCTATTTTGAACTCCTAAGTTAACTGTACCTCCATCCTAGAGTTGGTGATCACTCAAGGACTCGAACACAAATGCACATATGCCAAAAGGGACTAATCATTTGAAGTTCAAAACATCAGTGGATATATTTAGATAACAAATACAAATGAATTGAACTTCACTCCATTCTACAAGTCAGTTACAATCAAGATTCATTAGCTAATTGGATAACGCGATGGTGTTCAAATCAAACGATACTGGGTTTGAGTCCTGGAATGTTTAGTAACTCTGGAGTCTAGGTACATCCAACTGACGAGTCCCAAATAGGACGAAACGCGCGTCCTGGATTCCACTGCCAGCCACTATCCATCTTTGCTAATTAACAACTGTTTAATGAGTGATATTTTCTTTATGTATTCTTTTGGCAATCATGGTAACTTTTTTAAAGAAAGTGTTTACCAAAATTATTTACGTTTATTCTGTGTTTGTCTATAAATACATCCCATGATTTAAATATACAAATAAATTATTTTATTATCTTTCATGTTTAGTACCACCTAAACTCTGTCTACCAGATGATTTCTCTGATACAATCATACTTACTCAGGGAAATAATCGTAATATAGAGATACCATTTACTTCTTGTCCACCTGCCACCAGTATTGTTTGGTATTGGAATGGTAGTCGTACTCTGCCTGATCCAACAAAACGAACTGTTCCAGATAATGATTCAAAGTCTCAAGCGGTACTTCGTCTTACTGCAGTACAAGTTTCTGATGCTGGAATTTATGAAGCTATTATCACTAATCTATATGGAGAAGCTAAAGCAACCATAACATTGAAAGTTCTTGGAGTCCCGGGTCCAGTAACATCATTGGAAGCACATGTTGAGTCACCTACAGAAGTATCTGTTTTATGGAAACCACCTGAAGATGATGGCGGTAGCCCATTGACAGGATATAAAGTTGAACAACGTCAATTGGCTCCTGAACCTGGAGGTGTTTTACGTTCTCAGGCTAAGGAGTGGAAGTCAATTGCAAATGTTAGTTCAAAATCAAAAACATCTAACGAAGAAGAACCATTTGTACATCGTATCACAGGGTTAACTGAAGGAGCCACTTATTTGTTTGGTGTTTCTGCAGTTAATGATTGCGGAAGTGGACCAAGGAAAGAAATTTCCGATGGCTTAATAATGAAATCTCCTTATGGTTAGTTAAATTATTGAAATATCTATTCATCTTTATTTAATTTTGTATGACATAAAACCATTATATATGAAACACCCGAAGAATTCTCATTCAAATTGTGTACGATTAACTATCGAACAATATGAGTTTACCGAAAATGAAAGATTCAAAATCTTATCAACTTCCTATTAGATAGATAAACTTACATTTCAGTGTTCATTTCAGAGTTAATAAGTTAGTGAAAAGCAGTTTAATGTCTGTTCAATAGGATTATTCATAATCCTTATACTCTACTACTTACTATCAGAATATAATCATACTTACTTACTTACGCCTGTTACTCCTCGAGAAGGAGCACAGGCCACTCACCAGTAGTCTCCATCCAACCCTGTCCTGGGCAATCCTTTCCAATAATTCGACTTCTGATTGAGATCATGAATCGATCAATGTTAGACCACCATTGAAAACCTAGAAATACTGGATGGCTGTTACGTGATATTATGTTACTCCTCATTGGTACACATTCACGATCCCGCAGGCGGAATTCGGACCCAGGACCTTCGGTCTGCCACGCAAAAGTTTAACCTTTAAACCGCTGAGCCGGCTGAAGGGTTACACAAGATCCAGCTCAGAGAACAAAACTCCATCAAAATTGAAATTATTTAATCAAACGTGATCATCTATGAAGAATTGTTCAATTCAAAGATAAGTTTCATTATGGATTAACATAGTGATTTTCAACTATAGGGTAAGCAAAACTATGTTGATTAGAAATAATGATAATAAATACCTCTTTGTTCAATGCAAAATAAGTCGGTACATTAGAAAGTTCGAGGGTAGATAAATACTTAAAGTACACATTTTCGGTTACAGCATAAGATACTGACCATGTACCTAACTTTAATCCATACACATGCAGACAATATATACACATGTATGATAGTGTTGTAACGTTATATTTCTTTATTTTTATGTCACAGATATTCCGGAAATTCCAAAACAACTTACTGCTAAACCACTAAATCATTCCACTATTGAATTAGAATTCAAATTACCAGTCACTCATGTGGAAGCGCCTTTAACTAGTGTAATTGTTGAATATCGTCCTAAAAGTGTATCAAGGTAAATACTTTTATAAAAATATTATCAGATGATTATTAATTAAAATAGTTATATATTTATAGTCCGTTTATATTAAACTCGTATTAAAGTCAGAGGGGGTTTTGTAAATATTATAGTTATTTTAATAGTTGAGTTTATGTGTAAATTGAAACTAGATCATCATGGAAAACCTAGAAGCACTGGACGGCCGTTTCGTCCTGGTATGGGACTCTTCAGCAGTGCGCATTCACTATCCCGAACTCTTGAAATGTGTAGGTCTCCATAATTCAGTTAATAATGAATAGAAAGAGAAAAATCGAGGATGAGTAAGGCTGTCTGACATTGGTCTTTATTTAGAATACATCTGTACATCTGAAGCATGCTATTTGCACATTATTGAGATATTAATTTCTGAATCAAATTATGTTGTTATGTGTACTCAAATAATTTTAGTTCTGCCAACAACATTTGCTATATAATTATTGCAACATAACATATCAGCTAACAATGAAAATATTAATTCTTTATTGCTAACAAACAAACCTTGTATAATTGAGATCATGAACTGTATGATGTTAGACCAGCATTGAAAACCTGGAAGCGCTGAACGATCGTTTCGTCCTACCGTGGGACTACTCAGCAGTGCGCACTCACGATCCCGCTCACGGGCTTCGAACCCAGAACCAAAACGGCCGTTCAGTACTTACAGGTTTTTAATCCTGGTCTAACATCAATCAGTTCACGATCTCAATCAAATAACTAATAATCTCCACAACATTATACTGATAAATCTTATATAAGTTTTTTATCGCAGGTAAGAGAAAGTAAGATTTATTCATTAGCTTGTACTTAACAAATTGTCTTATCCAAAAAAAGCACAATTTCGTAAGTTAATTCTCAATTTATTAACATTAAATTATTTAATAATTAGATGGAAAACCCAAACATTTGAACCATGTTCTATAGTACAAATTGATAAACTTGAAGCAAATACAGAATATGAATTTCGTGTAAGTTGTACTAATTTGGCTGGTAAAAGTGAATCATCAAATCCTGTTAAAGCTAAAACAAAACAATTGCCAAGTAAGTAAAAAGGAATCACGTTTGTTTTCCTTCATTTATATTTCATAAAACTATTTAAATTTTGAAATGATAGAGAATATTTGTAACTTAGAATGGAGATATTTTAGTAATTATGGTCTCTGAGATAGATGATTTGATTGTGAAGCTTTAAGAATAATGAATGGTAATTTTTGGGATCCATTTATGGACCAATACTATACGTATATTTTTATCGTGTAATCGTTATGTAACTAAACTGTTCATATTCATGTCCCTGTTATTATGAGTTCTATTTTGACCTATAAACTATTATTACACGATTTACCATTCTTGAGTTATCCCCAGTCTATTAATTACAGTCTCTCACATTCATAGCCACTTTTGGCTTGATCTTGTGCAAATATTGTTTCATATTTTATGGTACGTTGTGGTCTGTCTGGTTGGTATATAAACCCCGTATGTTTGAAAATAAATGATTCATATTGCAGAGGCTGAGATTGGTGTTCTGGACTCAACTGGTTGGGCTAGGCGTGAACCGGGACCAATCAGAACTCTAGGCTACTCGCACGTGTTTTATGCGTCACTGGTTCAATTGATAATTTGCTGCCATCTAATCTGCAGTCACAGTTATAACAAACTTTCATTATCCTTTTAAACAACATTATTATCAATATGTACTTGAAAATGAGATGATTTGTTGGAATTTCTTCACAATTAACTAACATCTTATTCTGTTAACCTGGAATTTGTTTGGTTTTTATTCTTAACTCTATGATTGTTATCTGCATCACTTTTTGTTGTTGTTTTTATTGTTTGGTTTCTCTTATAACTTCAGCTTTGACATTACAGGCGCCAATTCTTTGTTTCAATGTTTCACAATCAAACCAACCAATTCAGAAATCATTACACCAATATTTGAAGTTAATTTTTAAACCTTTGGTTTAGAACCAATAAAATTAGGTAGAAGTTATCAACAAATAAAGATTTTTTCATTGAAATCTCAACCTTAAACCACGACACTTGACACTTTTCCTAAATATTTCAACATACATTCCCTACATGGTGCTATAAAGGTACTTTGTATTTAAGTACAGATATTTTCATGAAAGCCATTAAGTAAACGTGATAAAACTAACTGAATATTAAAGATATGCATTGAAGTACAAATAGAGGTAGAAAAGATACCGAAATACACTGTATGCTGAAACAGTAATCATCATGGTCATTTCTTTATTCATTATGGTTGTTATTTTAAAGGAAATGTCAAGTTTCCCAACTAGTCAATGAATTGGCTTATTTAGAAGTAACCAGACTTAAAAGGAAATATGGACGATGACATTGATTCACTTAATCTAATCTATCCAGTTTTTCATGACATTAATGATGGAGGGGAAAAGGCTTTGATAAACCCTAAAAAGATCTGAAGTTAGGAAACTGATGAAACTATGCGGTCTTAGGAAACATCCAAAAGAAATTTAAGACACAACTGGCTTTGCCTTCATTATCCCGTTCAGATAATGACCGAATTTATTACTAATTTCAACACGTTTCCTCGAAATCACTTAAATTTTAGGGTCACGTATGATCTAATAAACATAGCTGCTTTCTGTTCATATACTAACCTCCAAAGTAAAGTGTTTCTTCAATACTTTCTACCTTGCGTTTTCCATCCGGGGTTCAAGAGTAGAAGACTTTCGAGAACTGGAAAGGGATTACGAAGTCGGTATCCAAGCCTTCAAGTAGAATATGTATCGTATCATATGTCGTACAATCAGCAAATGTTGATAAAACTGAGTGTCTCTCGATCTAAAATACTACAAGAGCTTAAAATATGATTACTGACTGAATCACTGAGTTATTTAAATTTATTTATCAATTTTTGGACGGGTTTTAATGAGCCTCCTAAAATATGTTTCAATGTGTTCCAACAAATATATATATATATATATATATATATATATATATATACCAAGTACAAAATTTATCTTCTATCGAATTCAGATAACTAATACTAATCAATATCATCAACGAAGTGAATTTACTTCTGAAACTCTAGATACTAGTCATTGGTTCATAATTGATAAATAATCATTAATCCGTTACTTCTTCCTTACTCTTCCAATACCATAATCTTTACTGTTAAAAAATGTATTCATTTCAGAACCTCCTGATACTCCGAAGCTTGACAGTGTTACACCAGTCAATACAAACTCAGTAAAAGTCAATTGGTTTTCTCCAACAAATGATGGTGACAGTCCAATTACATCATATCAAATAGAGATGTGCGATGCGAAAAATGGCACTGAAGTATGGAAACCAATTGATGCTTTAAACATAGATCGTGTGGATCAAAGTTTACTATCTCCAGACGAACAAAAGTCATATGAGTTAATTGTGAAAAATTTAGACAATTCCAAATCTTTCAAATTTCGTGTTATTGCTGTGAATAGTATAGGACCAGGTAAACCGTCTAGAAGTTCACAACCTGTTACACCTGGTAAGTTATTTACTACTTACTATTTCTTTGGTAATAAATGAATGTTTAGTCTATTTAACGATTCATGTAAATGTTATTGAAAAACAAAGAATAATTCAGACAACAGTTATATCTGACAATTTCCGTTATTAGGTTCTACAGCTAGAAATCCACAACTATTGCATTAAAATGGATAGAACAAGACCATTTTATTCTCTTCATAACATGTTCAATCAATTTCTATGTGAAAATTAGTTTTTATCAGTATGGGGTTGTGGAAATTATTAAGTTTTTGACTGAGATCATGAACTGATTGATGTTAGACAACCATTGAAAACCTGGAAGCACTGGACGGTCGTTTCGTTGAGGTTAGACATTAGCACTGTTGGATGACGGCTGAATAATCTAGAGGTTAGGTGTTCGTGCACGAGGCCGAAGGCCCTGGGTTCGAGTCCCGAGAGCGGGATCGTGGATGCGCATTGCTGAGAAGTCCCACAATAAGACGAATCGGCAGTCTAGTGCTTCCAGGTCTTCAATGTTGGTCCAATACCAATCGGTTCATGATCTCAATTACAAATAATTAATTTTATGTCCCTAATATGTATTAGTGTTGTTAAGTCATAATTATCTCTCTTAACATTCTTAGAATTGGGGTTTGTAGATATTATAGTAATTTTAATAGTTGAATTTTTTGAGTCAATGTAAAGTAGACCACCATTGAAAACCTGGAAGTACTGGACGGTCCTTTCGTCATAGTATAGTACTAGAACATTCATTCATTTATGAACTGAAACCCATTCTTTATCTTAATCGACCAGTCATATGTGAATTAGCCATGTAGGATAAAGTATCGATTAATTATTCTCATGTAACGGATAGCTTAACACTGCTCATTAAATGTAAATTTTAGGGATTTTCATACAAATGTTTTTACAGAATATTTAATCACTATGTATATATTAAGAAGAAATTGTTATTCATTTTACATCTAAATAAGACCATTTTGATTGTATATGAATTATTGTACAGAAAGTACAAAAGGAACAAAAGAAGTTTACATTTGGACACTTTTAATTATCAAACAAAATACTTTGGCTTTTTCTTTCGACTAATGATAGTTCTATGTAATATGAAAAGAATTTTGACTAGCTACTTATGAGTATCTAATCATAGTTTCACTCGATAATAAAGTGTAATATTGATATTAATCCTATTGTAGTGAATGAGAACAAAAGTGAGGACAATCGGATGTATTGGAATACAAAATTACAGAACATCTTAGTAAAATCTGAGAACCATACCGTAAATACTTCATTTGCAAATTGTCAATCAATCGTCTCAAACTTCATTGCTCTTTCGTTTCCACACCAATCATTCTCCGTTCTCGTTCACTTTTCTTCGATCTTCTTAACCTTCTACATCCTGACATATCACTTTCGATTGATAATAAATACTACTTATATCTTTCGACATCAGTAGCATACACCACACTATGTTGATTTTTGTTGTGAATTCTCCATAGAATAAAAATAATAAACCTGGCAGTTACTTTCGTTAACAGTAAAATCCTGATTTTAAAAATTGACTATTCACCATTTTTTGAAAAATAATGACTTGGAAATTTAAATCAACAGGTGAATAGTGTATCTTATTGGAAATCACAGTGTTGAATTACTTTAGTCTGAGTTTTGTTCTCGCAGGTGGATAGTTTTTTCGTGTAACTCTCATTGTTCCTCTGAACAACATCAGCACAAATTTCCCTTCTATCCTAAAGTTATTTTTTTCTGATAATGTTGTTTGGAAGAACAATAAGAGTTCCATAGTCAAACCATTCAGTTCAGAGAACAAAACTCCTAAACTATACATCTGAGCTAAAAATCTCCACTATTCAAAGTTGAATTACTTGTTCATACGTTCATGTATTATAATTTCCAATTTATTCATACAAGTTACATAATATTTTATGTCAGCCTTAAAAACAACATACAATTCATGAATAACACTATGAACAGATCACTTCCTCAAATGTTTATCTTTTCAAACAATGTCATAAATATTATAAGCAAATATGGATAGTGGCTAGCAGTAAAATTCAGGACGCGCGTTTCGTCCTACTTTGAACTCGTCAGCTGGATGTATCTTCATAGTACGCACATATGCCAATAAGAGACTGATTAATTACAGTCCTAAACATTAATGAGAAGATCCAAGTAAACGATATCAAGTGAGTTTAAACTTCACTCCACTGCACAAGCAAGTGGCTATCTAAACTCAATAGCTAAGTGAATAGCACAACGATGTTTGAAGCAAATGATGCTAGGTTTGATTCATTCAGTGAACACCAACTGTGAGGTGCAGGGACATCCATCTGACGAGCCTCAAATAGGACGAAAGGCGCATCCTGGATTCCACTGCTAGCCACTGTCTATCTTTGCTTATAGTGGTTGTGAATTAAGGCAATATCGAGGCAATACGCACATTATGCACATATGCCAATAAGAGACAGATAAATTTCAGTTTTAAACATCATTGAAAAGTTTCAGGTAAACAATATCATGTGAATTTCATGTCATAAACAGTTCTTAGCTTTTCAGTACAATATCATTTGATTATATAATCTTGTTATCCTTATTAATACCTCTCATAAACTATTCATAGTTATATGAAAATGTTTTGAAATCCATTGCTATTTTTTTACCTGAAAAACTTATAGGAATTGAAGTCAATATTATTCGACCATTGAATAATGTTTGTTTTGATGAAATTCCAAAATCTGGAACAAAAGTTGAATTAGAATGTGAATTAAGTCAATCTAATTGTCGAGTAAATTGGTTATATAATGGAAAGCCAATTGTATTGGGTAAGAAATATGATTTCTCTCCAGAAGGAAATGTTTATCGATTAATTATTAATGATATAACACTTGAAGATATGGGAGTTTATGAATTGAATTATAAGAAGTTAAAAACACAATGTAAAGTAGAAGCTAAAAGTAAGTTTAAAAATGTTAAAATAATAATTTAACTACTTGATAAAAGTATAAGTAGTGTGTTTTTGCTTAATTATTTTATTTATAACTTTGTACTATGCATCTCACTCTAACATATGTTGTATATTCAAAAATAATCATCTGCTTGTGATCATCTTCAATACTAACTAAAAGTGAAAATTTTCTGTTTAATAGTCTTAGATTTCAGGCTAACATAGTTATATTTTATTAATACTACTGTAGTGAATGAGAACACCAGTGGGGGGATAACCAAATGTTTTTGAATACATTACAGAATATTTAAACAAAGATGTATAGTGGCTAGAAATGGAATTCGAGACGCACGTTTCGTCCTATTTGGAACTCATCAGCTGAACAAGCAAGTGGCTATCTGGATTCAGTAGTTCAGCGGATAACGCGATGACTTTTGAAGCAAACAGTACTGTGTTCAAGTGAACATCAATTGTGGTATGCAGGTACATCCAGCTGATGAGTTCCAAATAAGACGAAACGTGCGTCTTGGATTCCATTGCTAGTCACTATCCATCATTGTCTAAAAATTCTGTAATGTATTCAAAAACATTTGGTTATGCTTGTGAATTAAAGCAATAACGAGGTAATACACACAGTATGCACATACACCAATAAGAGATGGATCAATTGCAGTCCTAAACAACAGTGGTAAGATGCAAGAAAACAACATCCAGTGAATTTAACATTACAAAATTTCTTGGTAAATTCTGGGAAGCCCACAGTAAATACTCCATATGCGAAATCTTCATCAATTGTCTCGGACTAATCGCTCACTATTCTCGTTCTTTTTACTTCAAATTTTTCAACCTCCTGCCTTCCAATATCTCAATTTTGATTAATGATACATACTACTTATATCTGTCGATATAAGCAGCACACTCCACACTACGTATCACGTGAGAATCATTCTTAAAGTTTAGTAAACTGTTGAAGTAATCTTGACTTTTAATAATTATGAAGAATCCAATGTTTGGTAAATTATTAGACAAAATAAATTTTATGATTATTTGTATATCAACCAATCACGATCTAAATGAAACTTAAGCACTGGGATCAGATTAAAAAGTTGGGTATGTATTGGGAAGAATTGATAAAGCTCATAGTCATTGCATTAAAAAAGATTGTTAGAAACATTTGCTAATCAAAATTAGTTCTATCAGATTGCTTTTAGTGATTAGGATAAGTGAACCCAAGATAAGCAGATACAATCTAGTTCAGATCAGATCGTGCAAGTTATATAATTGACCTTTATAAAACTAGAAAATAAAAACAAACCAATTTTTACACTAACTGTTATATCCCGATAAGAATAACGAATGGCAACTGTTAGAATATATTTCTGGGTTAATAATATACATGTATTTTTATGGTATAATTGTTATGTAGCTAAACTATTCATATTCATGTTCTTCGTATTACAAGCTTTATTTTGACCTGTAAACTATTACTGTGCGATTTATCGTTGTTGAGTTATGCCTAGTCCATTAATTCACTGTCTCCCACATTCACAGTCACTTTTGGCTAGATCTTGTACAAAAGTTATTATCTATTTTATAGTACATTGTGGTCTGTTTGGTTTGTATATAAACTCAGTATGTTTGAAATACATGATTCGTATCGTGGAGGCTGAGATTGGTGTTCTGGACTTAACTTGTTGGGCTAGGCGGGAAGCAGGGTCGATAAACAATCTAAACTGCTGGTACGAATTTTATGTGTCATTTGTCTGGTTGATAAATCACTATTCCCTAATTGACAGTATCGTTAAGTTATACATTGATAGGAGTAAAAACTCACAAGTTATAACACTAACCTAGCCCTAGATCATTAAATTAAGATTGCGATAAACTCATTTAATGTTAAAAAAATTTATGATAACCTCTTCATAAATTAATGAACATGTTTTATCATATAAAATTATTTTTTAGTTCCACCAACACTTCTTGAAGATACTGAAGAAAGTCATACACGTCGTATTAATGTTGGTTCAAATTGTGTATTTGAAGTACCATTTAAAGCTTATCCAAAGCCTACTATAAAATGGCTTGCTCAAAATATACCTATCACTGATAAAACAAAACGTTATCAAGTCAATATAGTAGCTGGTTTAACATCATTATCTATACAACGTGTACAAAAAGATGATACTGGTCAATTAGCTGTTATCATTGAAAATGAACATGGAAAATTAACATGGAAATGTGAACTAATTGTTATTGGTAAGTGACTATTCAAGTTATTTGTTTCTCTTAGAATGTAGTTGATTTCAATTATCACAACTGAAGAAAATTTTTTTTAAGCGATGCTAAAAATTAAATAATAACGTGTATGTTTTTGATTAAGATCATAAAGCGATTGATGTTATACCAACATTAAAAATCTGGATGCACTGTTTGATTGCTATGGGACTGCTCACTATTGCTCTCGCGGAATTCGACCTCAGGGTCTTCGGTTTCACTCGCAAACACTAAACCTCTACACTATTGAGCTGGCCGGTATCCAACTATGTTAATGTCTAACCTTAAACAATCCACCAAATTGCACGATCATCTTCGATTGTACTGAGGTAGATACCTGTCTCTACCTGACATGGATTAGCTCCACTGGTCACGGCTTTTCACTAGACCGAAGGCCCTGAGTTCGAATCCCGCTCACTGCTGACGAGTCCCACAATAGGACGAAACGGCCGTCCAGTGCTTCCAGGTTTTCAATTGTGATGGTCTAACATTAATTGGTTCATGATCTCAATCAAAAACTTAAAAGGGTTTGCTTTTCATATAGTTCCATTTATCATATACTTTTATTATTCTTATTCTTATTTTAATTAGATAAACCAAAACCAGTTGAAAATTTAACTGTTGAATCAAGTATAGATCAACTTCATATGATAATGAATTGGAAACCACCGCGTAAAGATTTAAATAATCCAATAACACATTATGAATTAGAATATCGTAATTCAAAAAATCGTTCATGGCAAACATTTAAAAATGGTTCATCAGATGTAGATGATTTATATAAAATACCTAATAATTTAACAACATTTGAAATAAAAATTACAGAAAAAGAAACAGCTAATAGTTTAGCATCAAATACAGATTATTATTTTCGTATAATAGTTGTTAATGAAGTTGGAAAAAGTGAACCAACTGAAACACGTTCATTCATTAAAACACCATCATTACCAAGTAAGTTAATATCTTTTATATTATATTGTTTAAAATATTTGTATCAGATGAGTTTTGTGGAGATTGTAGTAATTTTAATGGTTAAGATCATAAGTCAGTTGAAGCTAGACCATCATAGAAAGCCTGGAAGCACTGGACGGCCGTTTCGTCCTATTGTGGGACTCCACAACTGTGCGCATCCACGACATCGCCCCCTGCGAGATTCGAACCCAGGACCTACTGGTTTCGTGCGCGAGCACTTAACCTCTAGACCACTGAGCCGACCGGTATCCAACGGTGTTAATGTCTAACTTCAACCAATCCACGAAATTGCGCCACCGTACACCATTGACTTCAGTGAGCTTCAATTGAATCATGATTTCAACTACTGAAATTCGTAAAATCTCCATCTGCTTAATAGTGACTGACGTCAAGAGACATTTCCTGGAGTTCTAGTGAAAAGCAGTGACTAGTGGAGTTCAACCACGTCTGTTGTGAGATATCAGCTCACTGAAGACAATGGATAACTTCAACTGACTCATGATCTTAACCATTAAAATATTTCTATCATAATAAAATTACTATGTTTGAATTGATTACAACTACACTTATTCTGCGAACGGAACAAAGGCTCTGTGATCAAAGACTAATAAGCTAACTATTCTGATATGTCTTAATCTCTCTAATTATAGAGAGAAAAATTCCAAGTTCGAAACCGGGAAATATATTCCTCAAGCAGCTAGAAGCATGAGCAATCACGACTTAATCTAGTTGGAAATACAATCATTTATATATTGATTTGTACACCTCTTTTTGATCAATAATCAGAATAAATCACATATGAAAAATAGTTAATACGAGAATATTCTATGTTAAAGAATAAAATGTCTCTCTGGGAAACAGAAACAAGTACTATGTAAATATAT